CGACGCCCCCGATCCCGACGCCGGACGCCGCCACGCCGACGAGGATCCTGGCGAGCGGCCACCCGTCGCCGTAGTGCTTGATCTGGGCCCAGGTGACGAGGCTGAGGAAGATGAGGATGTGGGGCTGGACCTGGAGGGCGACGTTGAGGTTCTGCACCACGTTGTACGTGCCGAGGGGGATGCCGGCGGCCGCCCAGGAGAGGTACATGAGGGGATGGAGGCCCTGCGTGCTGTGGTTGCGGTAGTTCTTGATGATCTGGGGTAGTAGCTGCAGGGCGGTCGTGTTAGCAGGCCTGACCGGGGTCCGAATACATGGCATACGGTTTATATGTATACATATCCCTAATGCCGGGGGGTGGGATTATCGTACCTGGATAGACCAGAGAACTGCCCCCGCGGTTCCCAAGATGTTGGAGGCGACGGGATTGTCCATGGTTTGCTCAGTACATGCAGCAATGTATCCTTGGGAATCGGGGGATTGAAGACCAAGTGCCAGCACGATGCCGCTGGGAGATATCGTATCGCTCCATGTACTTTATATCAAATCGGTATCTTTCCAAAAGCAAAGTACTGCTGTAATCGGTAGGAGGATGTGCGGGAAGCGCATTGCTTTTGAACAAACCAACCAGCTAAATAAGAGAGACCCACAACGAGATAAGATCTTAGAATTAGCGATAACTTTAACTAATGCCATGCGCTAAATCAAAGAGCCTTACAAGGGGCAATGATCTATAACAATTTACATACTTCCAACCGCATAGCACTCCTTGAGCCCGAGATTGCTGGTCCATCTCCGGCAATGGGAAGAGGAGTAGGCAATGGAAATCACCGGGCATTTATCTGTGGAGGCTTATGCAACTGGGCCTGCCTGGACTTGCAGGGATGGCATCCGTGACCATCTGCCGGCCTCGTGTTTTCAACCGCCGGACCGGCGGTTCAACAACATTCGGAGCTTTCATCTCGACTGGCAGAGACGGATCCATGATCGCTTCTCACCCGCCGCCCGGCGGAATATTCATTCGCATATGTAGGCTCTGCTCTCCCATCTGAGGCAAATCAAACAACTCATCTCAATTCTACTTGATTATACAAAGCTGTCACTTGATCACCAATCACCTCTCAAGAAAAGAACCGCCAACATGCGCACTCGCAGCACAATCTCGACCCCCAACGGCATCACCTGGTACTATGAACAGGAGGGCACCGGGCCCGATATTGTCCTCGTCCCCGATGGTCTCGGAGAATGCCAGATGTTCGAGAGCTCCGTGTCGCAAATTGCTGCTCAAGGCTTCAGGGTCACCACATTTGACATGCCCGGCATGTCTCGGTCTGCCAAAGCAGCACCCGAGACCTACACTGATGTCACGGCCCAGAAGCTGGCTTCCTATGTCATCTCCATCTTAGATGCCCTCGACATTAAGCACGCTACTGTCTGGGGCTGCAGTTCAGGAGCTTCCACCGTCGTGGCGCTGCTGCTGGGTTACCCCGACAGGATACGCAACGCAATGTGTCACGAACTGCCAACAAAGCTGCTGGACCACCTGTCAAATACCGCTGTGCTCGAAGACGAGGAGATCTCAAAGATCCTGGCTAATGTAATGTTGAACGACGTGTCTGGAGGCTCGGAGGCGTGGGTAGCCCTGGGAGATGAGGTGCACGCAAGGCTGCACAAAAACTACCCGGTTTGGGCTCGGGGATACCCACGCACGATTCCTCCCTCAGCTCCGGTTCAGGACCTGGACGCGTTGCGTGGGAAGCCACTGGACTGGACCGTCGGTGCTGCAACGCCAACCGAGGCTTTCTTCGACAACATTGTTACCGCCGCCAAGGCTGGTGTCAACATTGGGACGCTTCCAGGGATGCATTTCCCTTATGTTTCTCACCCGGACGTTTTCGCTAAATATGTCGTTGAGACTACGCAGAAGTATCTTTGAATTGTACGCTGCTCACAATAGCTCTGATAAGACATGGGGGAGAGGGCAGGCGATACTTTGTAGTCACTGGCAATGACTACTGTACATGGACTCGGGAAATCATTGGATTATTGCATGGCTAGAGGATAAATCAAATGGATCGAAATTATGGCTTTGTAGCCGGTGCATTTTATACCACTGGTATCGCTCCATACAGTTAGGAAGACATAAGACGCAAATTCGATTCACTTTTTTGTCATATTTCACGTCCAATGCAAAGGAAGCACCCCAAGAAAGAGGATCAGTTTTAACCACGTAGATTGATTGATACACGCCTTAATCTCTGCAATGCGTATGTTCCTGACTCCCTCCCTCTGGGCTTGCCGGACATGGTGTGCTCAACCCAACTTGCTCTTGATAAAAGCGAGAGCTTGCTGCCCGTAAATGTTAACGTACTGCTGGTGGTGATTGGCATCATTTCCGTTGCAGCAGTACGGGTCGGCCGCGTCGCAATAGCTCTTAACCAGCGAGGGATTGTACGGCGAGCACGTAAACCCGGCTGGGCGGGCAGCAAACTGTTCACAAATTAGCCATCCACTCGATAAAAGACTGTGAAAACTCGGAGATCCTCCGCCAACACTTACCCCGCCAGCTGTACACGTCCCGACATTGTACGGCAGACCTGCCCGGTTATGGGGATCCCCCATGAAGATCGCAACCTTGACAGCAGCCAGTGCGTTTCCTGACAGAGTCGCGCCCTGGCCCCCGCACAGCGCGTTGTCGATGATCTGCCCGCCCTGGGAGTAGCCGATCAGGACGATCTTGGTGCTGGGGCACTGCTGGTTCAGGCTCGTCACGGCCGACACCACGGCCGAGGTGCCCTGCTGGACCGACTGGTCGTAGCTCACGCCGCCGCAGCTGGACTGCCCGCCGCACGCCGGGTACGAGATGGCCGCGGACTGGGAGCCCGAGTAGGCCTGGAGGACCATGTTGACCAGACCCCAGGACGTGCCGTATCCGGGAGACACGGTGGTCTCCCGGGCGCCGAAGACGTAGACCCCGGGGCACGACTGTCGTGGTTCTAAGGGGGTTGCGGCCGCCAGTGAGGCGAGGACTGGGAGAATGGCTGAAATCTTCATGGTTATAGCCGGTGCTGTGGAATTGTTATTTAAATTGAAATAGAGTAATCCGAGAGGAAGTAGAGTCTCGTGTTTGGTTATGTTTACTTGAGTGAGTCTGTTGAGGGCAAATAACTCTCGAGCAATGGCTTGAGACTGTCTCTATTTATGTATGTACCTTTATGTGAATGTATATACACATCTTTAGTTTGACTCTATTACTGCTTGGACGTTGGAAATTTAGCCTGAAACTGGCCGACGAGTCAAAGAGGAGACAGCCCTGGCCTTGGCAAGGCGATGGATGGGTTGCGTCGGATCGTGACCCTCCGAGATCGAGTCCCCCTGAAGACTTGGAGTTTACGGGGGAGAGATTCCTCTGATTGGACCACGAATGTCAGAATCGAATGTCTTGGGAATTAAGGGAATAGAAACTATTCATTGAGCATGTCTGAAGGGCAGGGTTAGGCCATATTTCAAGCCTGGATATCAGATCTTTCTAGTTACTGAACAGCAAGTATCGGCTGCCAGCTGCCTCTTTTGGTGGTGCTGTCTCATAGTCAGGCGAAGATGGTTCGACCAGTGACGGTTGATAACTTGGATCAGAGAGGCATGAAACTATCCCAAGTGTAAGGCCCAATTGGGAGTCCTGGCTGAATCTAGAGGCTAAAGTGACGGTAGACTCGATTTGAGGCAGATCAGTGGCATGAATGCCAGCACTCTGTGAAACTTGGTCAACTGACGAGGCTCAATTGGGTTGATGGGATGGAGGCTCCGGAATGTCATAGCGTCCACCTCGTGTTGGAGCATGCGAGTCATGGGTTCCAAAACGTTCCCAGAATGGAACTGGAACGCCAGCCTCTGAACAGGGTTTCATTGTATGACTCCATTTGCCGCAATGAGATGCCGTGGCAAGGGTTCGGAAACAAGTGCCGCGGCAGATTCATGCATCCCACCCTGCCAAGCAAGAAACCTTTACCCAGGGCTGTAAACATGGGTAATATCACAGCCTTTTGATTAGTTGCCGAGTTGTGTGTTTCTGAATGATGACCTCGTTTGAGCCACCTCAGAGCCTTGAACAGGCTAAGTATGGTGATCCCTTCAGTAGACCCAGGTAGGGAATTTGATAACAGCCTAAAGGGCCCATGGTGCCCCAATTGAGCCTCTATGGCAGGGAAGACGTCGATCATGGGTTCCGCGAGATCCTCAATTGGAGGTTGGGTGGCTTTGTCCAGGCTTGGTGGTACTACACGGAGCTGTCGCCCACGCCAAGGATATTTTGTACGGGTGGTCAATTGAGAAAGCAAATGCATACTGAAATGGACTTGAACCGCTCGAGTAATTCCAAGGCTTACCCTGTCAACCTTGCGACACCTGGAATCTTCCATATATTCTAGCTATGTAGTAGTAATTGAAGTAGACGAAATCTAAAACAGGTTCGGCATCTTCTGTACAGGTAGTAGCTTGATATGTACCTGCGTATGGGTGCCGATGCTGGAGAGCGTGCAGCGATGAATGACTCGATAATGGGTGCAGTTCCCGGTTCACCACCGCATCTTTTCATGGCCCTTCCGGACGCTTTCTGTTGCCTCGTTATTGCAAAGTGGTTGCATTTGATGCTATGGTGTGACGTCAATCAAGTATTGGAAATTGAAGATACAGGCGATTTTACAGCGGTTGTACATGTCCTGCTGGTCCGTTAGTACCTGGAACCTAATTCTGATGGTGGACAGCGGCCCGCCCCAGCGCGCTACAGAGCTTGAGAGGCCCGCCTACCCAGTAATTAGCTTCCCCAGCATGGAGCTTAGTGGATTCAATCAATCGGATTGGCGATAACAACGTCGGCTGCGATAAGGCAAACGTGACAGACGCGTCGAATTTGCGAACCAAGACCGACCCTCAGCGTACATCGTAGCCCCGAATTGTCTGTCTTTGGTCTCAGTGGGCCATACCCAGTCCAACACCCGATATGATGGAACGGTACGATTGCCCCTTTAGTCCCGATAGGTCTATCTATCTGCTGTGTTCGTACGTCATGCTAATCTCGGCCTCCTCTCTGCAGCTACACCCAATCGTCACCATCATGGTCGTCCGGTCTCCCCACGCCCGACCGTAAAGATGCACACGCAGTCGATAGCGTACTATCACCACCTGTCTCCCGAGCAATCATACCCCTGATACCCATCGAAGATGATCCCTTCCTCAGTTCCCCCGAGACTAGCCCTCGACGCCAGTCCCTGAACCAAACCCCGTACGGAGACAAACGGAAACGAGAGGTCGACCCCCATACGATTTCGCCCTCGAAAGAGGTAGTTGTGATTTCATCCGCTTCGAGTAACGACGGCCTGCCTCCGACGAAGCGGCCCAAAGAAGCCATCTATATCGACCATGATGAGCTGCACTATCGGGTCAAGAACGATCCAGACTGGCTCCAGAAACGGTCTGGCGAGTTCATGGTTGACGGTGACGATGCCGGTCCAAGCGAACAACCACCCACCGCAAACCCAACCTTCCAATACATTCACGACATTTCCGCAGCTGGGCAACCACACTCAGGCCCTGATACACCTCCAAGCATTGTCGAACCTGTCCTCTGTCAAGAGCAACAGGACCTAGTCAATTTGATCCTCAGCGGCCGAAATGTCTTCTACACTGGCTCTGCAGGCTGCGGCAAGTCAACCGTCCTGAAAGCAGCCGTCAAGCAGCTCCGAGATCAGCAGAAGAACGTGTGCATTCTTGCACCTACCGGGAAAGCAGCACTCCAGATAGACGGCATGACCACATGGTCCTACATGGGATGGACGCCCGACGATCACAAACTAGAGCTGGCCAAGCTCATCAACAGGACCTTCCGGAAGCACGTGCGGAGACGGCTGCGCCAGACCGACGTTCTCATCATCGACGAGATCAGCATGGTAGAGAATCACCATTTGCAACGCATGGATGTCTGTCTGCGGGAAGTCCGGAAAGGTTTCGACGAGATAACTCAGCCCTTTGGTGGCTTGCAAGTCATTTTGACTGGCGACTTCTGCCAGCTTCCCCCGGTCAAGCCTTTCGAGTATTGCATGTTCTGCGGTGGCGGAACGAAGATGGACAATTGGCAGACGCAGTATGAATGTCAATCTCGCTGTGGGAAAGGTCCATTCTTGGAGGCGGACAAATGGGCGTTCAAAAGTCAAGCCTGGAAGGATGCCCGCTTGGAGCACGTCCATCTGAAGGAGATTCATCGCCAAAACGACCAGCAGTTCATCAAGATGCTACAGAAATGCCGCCTCGGCAAGCGTTTCACCTCAGCCGAGGTGGATCTCCTCATGAACCACGAGTGCAGAGTCCCCAATGCCACACGCGTCCTCTGTACCAGGGAGGAGGTGTTTCGAATCAACCACGCCGAGTTTCAAAAGTTAAAGACGGAGGTGCACGAGTTCACGGCCGTGGACGGCTTCCGCTGGAGACGCGAGAGGCACCCACACCTTGGGTATTGCAATGACCGTCTTCGCGATGGGACACTGAAAGCTCTTCGCGAGCACCGGGTCGATCCACGAGTGATCCTCCGCGTGGGAATGGTCGTCGTGCTGCAAGTCAACCTTGACCTACCCAACGGGCTCTGTAACGGCAGCCAAGGCTTGATCTGCGGCTGGGAGGACGTGGATCCAAAGAATCTCCCAATTGCATACCGGAAGGGGATGGATGAAATGGGGCCAATGGTCATTACTGGAGACTACGCAGAACTCAAGGAGCAACAGATCAGGGCGTTTTCACAGCAGACGCATGTCAAACATTGGCCGAAGGTGATTTTCCACAATGGCTTACGAAGGACCATCTACCCCTCGTGCCTGGTCAACTCGGTGGGCGAAGGAGACGGCCCTGAAGACTTCTCTGCCCTTCACAGGACTCAGATCCCTCTCGTCGCCGGATGGGCGATGAGCGTGCACAAGAGTCAGGGCATGACCTTGAACCGTGTCATTGTCGACCTGTCGAGGGCTTTTGAAGAGGGTCAGGTGTATGTAGCGCTCTCTCGGGCAACCGATCTGGCCGGTCTCCGAATTGATGGCGACGCCAAAGGCCTGTCTGTTGGAGCGGGTGGCAACCCCGAGGTGCAGGAATTTCTGGATCAGAAGTTCAACCTACAAAAGCTGCTGGAGCACCATTGACCTGCCAACAGTGTCTGTCCTGTGCATGTGCCCGTGTCAAGCCAATCTACGGGCGAATGCTGAATGGCTACAGATGCGCATCAACCGGGCTGACGCACCACCCCGAGGAATTCTCCCCTGCCCTCCAGCACGTCGCGCCTGCATCTTACCACCCATCAACCGGGAAATCTATGATTAATACATTGAATGGAGCAACCCGGAATTTTGGATATTGTCAGAAACGAACAATTCCTCATCTTGGCTAATTTCTGCATTGGCATTGGATTCATGAGCGTGTTTTGGATCAGAGGTGTCCTAGTCCTACCCGAGGCCTGGCGCTTCCATTGACGCATGGTACCCCAATGGTACTCCTGCCTTTCTCAATTGCAGCCTCACGTGCCTGTGGGAAAGTGCATCATCAACGATGGTGGCTCAACATGAACTACCACCAGCTACTCGCTAACACATACATTGATCTACCTTGGAGATTGAAAGGGGCGGTACGCAGCTGGATTCGATAGAGGCGTGAGCCGAAGTAGAGAAGACTCCAGTGAGTGCCTGGTCTTGGCCTCCTCCCGGTTGTCGGATGCCCTGTTGCTTATCTGAGTGGCGGCGGCGAAGCCAATGGGCGTAACGCGAGCAGTGAGGAATTTCGCGATGGGGGTGGTGGAGGCTGACAGGGTACGAGCCAAGTTAATTTTAAAAGCGAATGAACTTGACAAGCATTATTCAAGCTGAGCTGAGTGATTACTACTCACCTATCACTCCTAGGCGACGCTACTATGTTCTATTAGGCTACAATCAGGATAAATGTTCTAGGTTGCATGCACAGCACGGAAGGAATAGATCTCATAAGGCTGAGACTGGGTGTTTGCTGGTGTCTGGGACTTGGGTGCTCTTACATGGATGCTAAATATAGATGAATATGCCCTTGCTCGTGCGCAGAGTACATTGTGCTGATGCAAAATCCTCCCCAATCGCAGCTTATTTGCAGGTATTTTTTCATCATCAAGGTAATTACAGTACCGGCCGAGCAGAAAGCCCTTAATTGTCTGACCACAAGGCGCGCCGCCATCGCGACTCTTCCCTACTTTTTTTCTTCTCCTTTATTAAACCTACGCAATCCACCTCACCCAATTCTCTCGCTCTCGGGCATTCAGTTCCCAGCCATCTCGCTCCCGCCGCTCCAATTAATAGCTGGTCATTGCCAGCACCAAGCAATTTGGCCATGTCTGCCGTGAACCGGACAGCCGACTCGGCATCGGACACTGCGCAGCGGTACCTTGTGCAACCAACAAAAAAGAAAATCACACCAGCGGATCTCAATCCCGAGCGACGAATGCGCCGGCAGAACGAGGCTGGTCAGCCTGCTGCTGCTGCCTCTGGGACCAACCAGCAGCAGAAATTGTACAGCGAGTGGCCGCAGAGGAAGAACCATCCCGCCACTCCCGCAGCAAACGCCGCTCCCACAAACCACCAGCCGCGCAAGAACGGCGGCACGTTCCCCAACTTGCGGGCCTTCTCGTACGAGTCGCTGATCATTCTCGCCTTGTTCCTTTACTTGGTGTGGAGCGTGGCCGGCTGGCGCAGTGTCGATTCTTACTTTGCATAATGAGGGCGTGCTCGCCTGCCCACGACGGGGATGAGAGATTGTATTGGAAATGAGTTTTTCTTCTAAACTAATTGCACAAAATTGTCTTTGAAGGAATTAGCAATTGGAGTTGGGACCTTGCGGAATAGTGGTTGGCTTTGTATATGAAAATGAGAAACGTTAGAACAGAACAGTACACTTACCGCGATTTAACTGGTTCTGTTCTTAATTGAGATAATGCTTGGAGAGATGTAGCCGAAGAAGAAGGGAAAAGATTACCTGGACACGCATCGAAATCAAGAAATGCATTTCTGAAGTACTTGCTTTGAATCCTCTATGCTAATATCAGAACAGGAATACATAGTATTGTCTATAATCTCAAGCTTGGCATGTTCTGCCTTATCTACCCCCAGCATAACTTCGCAAACCCGATCAAATTGGAAATGGATATTATGACTACTTATTTCGACGTCTATCGTACTAGCACGAGAAGGTGATATCTTTTATGAGAATCTGCAATGTGAATGAAAACAATCACATATACGTACGCAAGTGCCTTCAAATCTCAACACACAAGACAACTAGAATTGAAAAAAAGTAGCTGCACGTAGGTGCTCTTTGAAAAGTATTTGTACATTTGAAGAAATCTGATGAAGGACAACCCATTGGGGAAAACGAAGCTGTGCTGCAACTCTCCTAAACGGCAACCAAAAGACAACTACAAAAAACCAAAAATCTTGCGAATCAAATACATCCTGCCTCATGAGATGTGTGGCAACCCTTACTCGAGTTCATCCCAGTCACGCTCCTCGATATCCTCGACATCGCGGGGGCGCTGACCTCCCTGGTTGCCCCAGCTCTTGCGGTCCTGACCAGGTCTGTGGCGCTCCTCGAGATCGCGAGGACGGTGGCCGCCTTGGTTACCCCAGCTCTTGCGATCCTGGCCGGGCTTATGACGCTCTTCAAGATCGCGAGGGCGCTGACCACCTTGGTTGCCCCAGCTCTTGCGGTCCTGGCCGGGTCTGTGGCGCTCCTCGAGATCTCTCTGGAATTTAAGGCGACGCTGCCGTTGACCAGAGGTCTCTTTGTTCATACGGCCGCGCTCTTCGAGATCGCGGGGACGGTGACCACCCTGGTTGCCCCAGCTCTTGCGGTCTTGGCCAGGCTTGTGGCGCTCCTCGAGATCGCGGGGACGGTGGCCACCCTGGTTGCCCCAGCTCTTACGGTCTTGGCCAGGCTTGTGACGTTCCTCGAGATCGCGGGGACGGTGGCCACCTTGGTTACCCCAGCTCTTACGGTCCTGACCAGGCTTGTGACGCTCCTCAAGGTCGCGAGGGCGCTGACCACCTTGGTTGCCCCAGCTCTTGCGGTCTTGGCCTGGCTTGTGACGTTCCTCGAGATCGCGGGGACGGTGGCCGCCCTGGTTACCCCAGCTTTTGCGGTCTTGGCCGGGCTTGTGGCGCACCTCGAGCTCGAAATCACGCTCTTCGAGTTCTTCAAAGTCACGCTCGTCAAGCTCCTCGAAGTCACGTTCATCGAGCTCATCGACATCTCGACCGCGGCGGCTACCCTGGTTGCCCCAGCTGTTGCGGTTCTGGCCGGGCACATGGCGGACGAGAAGGTCTTCCGAAGGCTCGGATCGCTCTACGAGGGAGAGCTCATCGTTCTGGGTGATTTCAAGGGCAAGTCCCTTGCTGGCGAGGCCGAGCCAAAGGAGACCGGCGAGTCCGAGGTTCTTAGTAGCGACCATTTTGAATGTGAAGTACGGATATAAATGATGGAAGAATCAAGTAATGAAGAATGATTGGCTTGAAGTAGTTGTAAATGATGAAAGAGAAAAGAGTCGATAGAAAAAAAAACTCAAGGAAAAGGTCAGAAGCCCGGCTTCTAGTGTCAGTTTTGTTTTTAGTTTGGTGTGTTGATGAATGGAAAGCTCAACTCTACGACGAGAAGCTCAACACTTAAGTACTCATTTCGAGATCACATTGTAACATAGTCTCGGCTGTCGACACCTTCTAAAATTAGTCAATTGTGCGCCCCAGGGAACTCCCCGGCCACGTATCAGTCTAACATCCTCCTACTAGTGGTGCAACATTCAAGCTAGTGAATGACTGGGCGCGGGAACGAGAGCCCGTGCCATCATTCAGCAAGAATCATTCGCCTTCTTGGGATGGATCCATGGCTCATTTACGTGCTTGGATGCAAATCCTCTGGGTCGATAGTGCTGAAACAGCGAATCACTATCCTAAAAGGGGTCATTTTTCGCACTCTATCCAACCAGCACTCCCCAGTATCCACCTTCATAACTATGCCCAGGCCACGAAAACTAGCTAGTCCTCCAAAAGTTGGCGTTTTTTTTATTAATATCCTGCTTTGTACTGCCGCCCGGTATTAACATACAGGGATGATCTATAGAGAATCACAATCTAGGACAGATTGAGAGTCATGGTTCGCATATGCCTTGCAGCGCCCCTGGAAAGACTCGCAAATTTAATGCGATCCATACTCCTGGAATCCAGCATCATGCAACCTACATTCTACACATTCAGAGCCTGGGTCGGTTAGGATGGCTTGCGAGCGTTCTCATCCTTGGTGTATCCAATTATTTTTTAGAAAAATGTAATGAAAATCACCTTTTGTCAAGACTGTCGATAGATTCACAATGCATTTTGTGGATGGCTTCGTGATTATATCTTATCTTAGGAGTAATCTAGCACCTATGGCACATCCAGACCGAGTTTGGATTTGCCCAACAGTCATAGGTGTGTTGAGGCGAATCAGGAACACTGAAGGGCAAGTGTCTGCTCAGGGATTGCAACTTAGGTACAACCTTACTGGAACGGTGCTAGTCCGGCGATCCTGCCTGGCGTCATTTCGTCTCTCTCGAGGAGTATCAAGATTCCATCCTGGTCCTTTCTCAGGTGGAACTCGAAAGCCCAAAGGAGTCTAGGTGTCTAGATCGTTGTTGGTTGTCCAGGTCTGCCCGTGAGGTAGCAATCGTGGGAAGAAGATGAGGTGATCAGTGGCACTAACGCAATTCAGGACTGCTGCTCCGACTGGGATTTTGAATCGGTTGTAGGAATCATCCTTGGCTATACCCTGGGGCAGACCCTGACTTACAGGGTTAGCCGATTCAAAGCACATGCACAAGGCTAGACGCGTACTCGTCAGTGTTTCTTGCAGTCTCCACGTATAGATCATATTAATTGGATCTGTACGTTCTGTTAGCCTTGGATCACCCACGATGATGTTGATTTCTTCTTGGACTTTGGCTTAAACACCAATCTTAATAAAGAATCATCGCCTAGTACCATCATCTCCAGGGCTTTGCGTGCATGCAGCACATCCAACATACTTTGACAGACACAATCAGTGTTACATTACGTATCACTGGACAATGAATAGCGTCTATTCAGCGTCGCTTAGCGAAGGTAGCTTACGTGGCTGCTTCTCATGAGTGCTCGTAATTGTACCAAACGTCTTCCTCGGAGGGGTTGTCGCTTGAGTGTGTATCAGACCGCTACGATAGCAACTCGGAACCACTGCGGTCCTTACTAAGATGGTATTATAAAATGTGACTCGGTCTGGCACACCGAAAAAGGGGATTTCACGGTCAGGTCATCAGCAGACGGAAATGGTTTCCCACAAGCAACAGTTGAGCCAATAATGTAGTTGTAGATTGTAGTTCGTATTCATTGTATTGAGTTGTCGGGCTCTGGCAGCTTCCATTGCTGTTAAACTTTATTCTCTTTCTCTTAGGTAGATTGTAGATTGTGGTGATGATGGGCTTCATGAAGAAGTTGGCCTGTCTCAAAATTCCAATGAAAATCAACTCAAATTTTGGGAGTAGAGCTTAGTTGAGCAGCCTACCTAGTAAGGCAGATAAGTGTTCGCCAACTTCGATGCCGTTTAGCTTGACGCGAAAGATGTTTGCTGCCAACGCGATACGTTCATGCTATCATACCTACATGTATTAATGAAGACCATTCTCACTCACGCCCGAAAAGCAATGTTGAGTTCGTTGCAAAGCCCTCGGGACAGAAGATCCATTCTTTTCGAGTATATGGCACTCTTCGACTATAAAAGATGTATATGTTCCAAGAATAACTAGTGTTTATTTGCCTGATTTTGGAGGGACGACTGGACCGTCTACCTTAGTGTTCAGTTGGTAGAACCCTTCTGGCAACGCTGCCAACATAAAGTACACTCCCGAGTCTATTCCTTAAATTGTCAATGAACTTCTTGTTGGGAAACTCACGTATGTTTTTCTTTATCGAAATGCATCTCATCGAGATATCAAGGTTACCACAGCGGTCGCAACCACCTTGATGGGCATAGGGTAGGATAATACCCAACGGAGCGGATCCTCTAATTTCCCTCCAAGCCCCTGAAATTCGATCGTCATGTGGTTAGGTGGCTGTGGCTGCTGAGACGCCTTTGAGATAGCCTCAACTTTGTATTCATATTTTCAAGTTTAAACATAACTCTACATTGTTATCCATCAGGTTAACTGCTAAAGACGATTCGGTTTGCCTTTAGATTAGCTCCTAGATGTGTTTGACTGGATATGTTGTTTTGGGTGAATGGAAGCCCTGAAAGATTGGTTTGTCAACGCTGTGGCTCTATCCCTGCCTCGTCCATTATACAGGGGGTGCTTGTACTCGGATTCAATCAAATCAATCAATCTATAGAATGAAAATCATCTGATCCTACGAATGGGCAAGTTTGCCCCTACAGTAGATAGCGTTATTACTTCAGAGAGGGACTCTAGCTCTATATCTAGATTTGCAAGATGAGTCTTGATGCGTTACGATACCACCGATCTTGTATTTTGCTACACCATGTATGAAGTTTGTTGTCAAAGCGAAAGTTAGTTATGAAGAATTATTGTAGATTGCTATCAAGAGTGCAAAATACCAGAGTGTCACTCTATTTCAGACTACCCTGTACCAAGCACGTTGCTCAGTGATCTGGTGTCGCAATACGGCTAATACGCAGGCGACCAATCTTGAAATTTGTAATAATGCACAACACAATCACCTCGATTTTATCCCAAACTCACCAATTATATCCACAATCACGCGCCCAACATGAGTGCCGCTCCCAAAGTAGTCGTTGTTTCCTCCACGAATCGGGTCAAAACAAAGGCGGCCAAGGAAGGTTTCCAAGCCCTTCTGCCAGGACCCTACGAATTCCTCGAAGTAAAAGTCGAAACAGAGGTGGCTGCCCAGCCCTTCTCAGACGCAGAGACGCTCCTCGGGGCGTCCAACCGGGTCAAGAACGCGCGAAAAGCCAAACCCGACGCCGACTTCTGGATCGGGATCGAGGGTGGCGTCGACGAGCACGACGGAAACCTGCTGAACTTTGCCTGGGTCGTGGTGGCGAGCAAGGAGGGCCGCACGGGGAAAGCCCGAACTCCTGCGTACTACCTGCCGGAGGAGTCGGCCAGGCTCGTGCGGGAGGGGCTGGAGCTGGGCCAGGCAGACGACCAGGTGTTCGGGACGTCGGATTCAAGGAGCGGGAGTGGCTCGGTCGGGCTTCTTACTGGCGATGTCGTGGACCGGGCTGCCTTTTACACCCAGGCCGTCATTCTAGCGCTCATCCCGATCAAGAACAAGGACCTGACGTTCAAGTGAGATCGGTCGTCTTTGCCTGGATGGCCTGGTTACATAGGTTCTCTACATATTGCGCCCGGGGTCGGATCTACCCCGCACCCAAGGAGATGCTTTGGCGGGGCGCGGCGTCTAGGGGAGAGACGGCTTATGTTCTTAAGTAGTCCGGACATCTCCAGTACTTGTATTGAATCGTTGAGCTACTTTCTGGCATCTCGTTCACCCCTGGAATAGTTTTAAACATCAATCCCAATCACTTCACGATGAAGGTTGCGCTTGTCACTGCGTCCTCTGCTGGCCTGGGTGCCGCCATCGCCAAGGTCCTGGCGCCAGATTTTCGTGTTGTCATCAACTACCACAGCAGCCCTGATCGCGCCGCCAAGGTGATAACCGAGTTGGAGGAAATCGCTAGTAAAACCACCTCTCAGCAAGATGACGATGGCCCCAGATTCTTCTCGATCCAGGCAGATTTGGCAAAGCGAGCCGACGTTGAGCGCCTGGTGTCCGAAACGGTACAGAAGATGGGCCGCCTCGATGTTCTCGTATCGAACGGTGGATGGACCGAGCTCCGAGACTTTTCCAACTTTGATGACAACATGAACGAGGATGACTGGGATAGATGTTTCAACGTCAATGTGAAGAGCCATCTCTTCCTTCTGTATGCAGCCCGGAAGTACCTGGAAGAGGCCAAGGGCTCCTTTGTGTCCGTTGCCAGTACTTCCGGGATCAAGCCCAGTGGCAGCTCTATTGTATGTTTCATTCTCGTCTCAAGGCGTGTTTCTCACTGCTGACTTGCCCTCGCTTGACTAGCCTTATGCCGTCAGCAAAGCGGCCCAGATACATCTTATCCAATGCCTGACACGCTGCGTGGGCCCCAACATCAGGGTGAACTCTGTCTCTCCAGGCCTCATGTTGACTGTAAGTATCGTGGAAGACATCAAGAAGCAAAAAGGACTTCGTTTCTAACATCTCGCCAATTTGCAGGAATGGGGCCGTCGCTTCTCGGAAGACAAGATCAATCGTACCAAAGAATTAACCCCTTTAAAAGAACTCCCCGAAGTAGATGTGAGTCTTTGCCCAAATAGAACCTATTTTAATTGATTTGGGAAAGTATGGGACGCTAATTACCTGATATCAGGATGTTGCAGCAGCTGTGAGAAGCCTGGCGGTCAACATGTCCATCACTGGCCAGAATCTCATTGTTGACTCTGGATTTACGATTTGATATGATGCGCTGGTCCAGGATATTTCTCGGTAGCGAAGAAAGTATCGCATGAATAGACCGCTTTTATATTGTAAACAGGGGCGGACTGTTTGATAAGCCTTGTGGCCTGTATCTTTGATCGCCTGTTGATCCATTAGCCATAAGACTGATTTGACTTGGTGGATTTCGAGAACATGCACTTATAAATATTTTCATTCTCCGCAAGACTAACTGTATAGTATATGCATGCTTCCCTCGGGGCGCCATATCTTATGAAATGTAAAAAGAATGGACTTATCACGAGATGCGCCTTGTCCCTTCTTCCCACTATACAGTTAAATGCCATAATAGGAGAAACGGGACAATGTAACATTAGAGAATCAAGTAGATTAAAACTCGCCATTTACAATAAGTCGAACCCCGATTTGAGGTCAGCACACACTTTATCTATGAATGCCCCTTCATCACCTTCGATTCCTAACGCTCCCGTTTGCCAGGTCATGGTAACCATCAAACTCCCACCCTTCAGAGTCACCGTGTTGCACGTCACAGGCGGCCCCGCGACATGCCCAGGCTGAGTGAAGATCATCTTCTTGGTCACCACGTTTGAGCCTGCCGCCGCATCAGCATCAACCAACCCCAGGTTACTCATCTCAACGGAACAGTCTCTCGGCTTGCCAACCTTGCCTGCCATCCACTGTCGGATGTTGGGTGCATAACGCAGCAGGGAAATGGCGTGGTCCTTGAGCTCCGACGCGCTTAGAGCGAGCTGCTCGGTGATCTCCTTTGCGTTTGCCCATTCTTCCGGGGTCAGCGGGCCCTCGGCCTCGGAGCGCGCCGTCTTGGAGTAGCATCCCGAGGCGAACTCGCCCATCTCATCGCCGGGGACCCCGACGGATCTGCGCATATTTATCGCCGTCTGGGAGACGAAGTTGGTGATGTGCTTGTCTGGCAGCGACTTGCTGAGTGCTCGGGCCATCAGGGGATGAATGACACCGGTCAGTTTGGCCTCGTGTTCCCTAGCAGCGCGGACAGCTCTCTCGATAACTACGGGCTCGATCTCCACGACCCTGACTTGAGTCTTGTAGGTTTCGGCGTTGAAAAATACAGGAGTGGCTGTCCATGTCCCCTCGTCGTAGCGAGCGAGGCTTGCCTTGAAACCCAAGAAGTCAAGGATGAATTTCGGCAAGATCTCGCCGAGCAGCGGGCCAAGAAGAAAGGACCAAGAGATGGGGAGCCTCTCGGGAGTATCGAACGGACCGGGAAGAGGTTTTGTGCAGCTCTTGGCAATTTGATAGTCTGCCAGCTTGGTTCCGGCCGTTGTTTCATTCAAGCCGCGTGCAAACGTTCGATGAAAGATGGGCCCAGTCATGCCATCGCCAATTGTATGGGAGAAGGAAAAGGCTACAAAAATTTGATTTTCTGCCTCCAGGGGCTGGATGACAACTCTCCAGGGCGGGCATCCTTTGGAAAAGGGACGGTCAACATCGGCCTCGAGTGTCTCTTGTATGAGAGTCAGGTCATCCGCGTCCTTTTCTGATGGACCAAGAATGGTGACATGATTCTTGAAGTCTAATGTGGGAATCCGCTCGAAAAATGCTTTCTCTGTATGCGCGTCGCCAACGACAACGCATAGCCAAGGCTCCTGCTGCACGCACTGCGAGAGGGCCGGGTAAAACGTCTCTGGGGCTGCGAGGTTGAAGTCTCCCTCCAATTCGTACACTGCTCCAACGATGACAGCGTAATAGTGGCCCAGATCCTCGCGGCTGATGGTTCGTTGTTCATTGGGGCCTATAAGAGTGAGTCGAGTCAGCAACAGGCCCGGTTTGTCTACAAAAGTGCTACTTACTAGCCCGGCGCTGATGAATGTTCTTGGCGGCCGTCATGGCGGCGAAGTTTAGCGCTCTTGTAGACTTGCGACAGAATGTAGGTCCCAATTTGAACGAAGGAATTTAAGTTGTTGTAGGCATCTCCCTTTGGAGAAAATGACGATTAAGCCCGAGTTATATATGTACCGCGGAAAGAAAAGGCCCTTCCAGCAATGCCGGCGAAGCGAACGGTGAAACCGTGAGACGCCCCTTTTGGCACAGTCTGAGGTGGATCCTCCATTTAGATTAACTGGATTGGGAATTATGTCACCGGTCTGGTATTACCGGAAGGCCGGTATAATAAGATAAGCACGTCCATAGCAAGCACTTTGGACGTTGCAAATCAAGGATTCTAGCTATTGTGCAAAGTCCCCTTGCATGTGATTTACCTCATGGAATGACCCGCGAAAAGTACCCGGCAGCTGATCCCTGGTGGCCAACTGCGTGCCTACTGAGTGACAAAGCATGCGGCGCACATACTGTTAGCCACAGACACTAGTCTTATCCCATACATGCAGAATAAGGTAAATGATCTTACGATGGCAAGTATCCGGGAATAGATGACTTCAGATCCCCATATCAATTAGTCACGCCATGACCAATGACCTTTTCCGCTGTGACAACAGACAAACAACATACGTATATGTCTACCGCTGGTTTGAATCCGTACGGCTCCGCTTCGCCAGAAAGAGAAGGATCCGGATCCGAGGCCAGAAGAAGTTTAGCTGAAGTCCACTTTCTTGATGATCGACCCTCGCCTCACATCATGTATGTAGGTGTAGTCTGGTATTGACGATTTTATTAATCAGAACGTCCTACTGTCTCTCCAGTATAAAAAGGCCATGATTTCCTTCCATTGTGTTTTTTACTTCATTCTTCTTATCCATTCCACCAAGCCTTCGAAGAACTTCTCCTTTACAATATCAACACAATCTCAAGTTCTGAACACCGGTAGGCTTAGTTACAATGAAGGTTGCTCTTGCAGGTGCCTCAGGCAATCTTGGCCGCCCAATCCTCAAAGCTCTCCTTGATGCTGGTCTCCTTGTGACAGTCCTGTCTCGAAAGACCGGAAACTCACCTCCGCCAGCTCCACACCCCAATCTTGTTGCCAAGAAGGTCGACTTTGACTCGGTTCCAGACTTGAAGCAGGCTCTCGAAGGTGTCGAAGTCGTCGTTTCCTGCCTTGCCACGATCGCCATTGGGAGCCAAAACCCCCTCATAGACGCTGCTGAGGCTGTGGGTGTGAAGCGCTTCATCCCGGCCGAGTTCGGGATGGACTCTCTCAACCCGCTGTGCGCCGAACTACCGGTTTGCAAACCAAAAGTCAGCACACAGGCGTACCTTCTCGAGAAATACAAGTCGAATCCCGATTTCACTTGGACTAGTATCGCCAACGGCCTTTTCCTCGACTGGGGGATTGAAGTTGGGTTTCTTATTGACCCGGGCAGCCGCACCGCGACGCTCTACAACGGCGGCGACGTGCCTTTTAGCGTGACACTGCTTTCGGACATAGCAAAGGCGGTTCTTGGTATCATAAACAACCAAGCCGAGACGAGGAATCGAGTCGTGTATATCCATTCCACGCTAACAACCCAGAACAAGCTGATCCAGTATGCGAAAGAAAAAGACGACAGAGAGTGGACTGTCACTACCAAGTCTACTGCTCAGGTCCTGGAAGAAAGTTTGGCTGAGCTGGAAAAGGCTGCGCAGGGAACTGGAGATATTGGTGCTGCCATGATCGGGTTTTCTGCTTGTGGGATGTGGGATCCCAAGTGCGGCTGCGACTTTTCTGATCGTCTTGATAATGAGGTTTTGGGAATCCGAGAGCTTAGCGAATCTGACCTGAAGAAGCTAGTTCAGAGCTTTGTACCGGAGTAAGAAGTTAGTTATTCGCAGATATAAATGTTATGGGTTGCTGTTAGCTTTTGTCAATTGTCAACTCCATTCAACCCACGATCCAGAATAGGTTGTTGAAGTTTCTTCTTGGCAAGAGCAACCTCCGTGGAACCCTGTGGTAGTTGCTGAAGTGCGCTGTTCAACGTAGCCCGCAGATTCACATATGCTGACTCGCTGAGGTCCCCTCGAAGACGCTTGCGGCCGATGGCTATATCCAGTAATCGCACAGACGCAAGGATGTAGTGTGGATAGGGATCGATGGCGATAAGTGATGCTTTGGTTTTGGTACTGGTTGGCTTGGACGAACCCTGAAAGACATCGACTTCTCTCTCTGAGCAAGATATGCAATATTGGTTCTCTAGTCCAAATTTGAGCGTATTAAATAACTCTCTCTCTGCGTTCATTCCATAATCAGAGTACTGTTCCAGCAAGTCCGCGCGAGCTGCAGTGTCCAAGGCGTCGACGATTATAAGGATGCCCAAGTAGTAATGCAGAACAGCCCCAAACCAGGCCAGTCTAGTTTCTTGACTTAGGTATTGAAGCCATTTCTCGCAATTGTTTAGGGCAGGCTGGATGGTATGCTTGAAAGTCTTGAGTCCATCAAGCACCGCGTCGGACCCATGCTGTACGCTGTCCTCGTCCACTCCTTCGATGAGTGCTTCTTTCAGCGATGCAATCGTTCGCCAAACATATAGGCGGCAGACACCGGTGGCAGACACAATCCGTTTAGCGATCTCATCGGTAATTTCAAAGTCTTCCCTTCTCCATTTCTCTGAGTCGGGGTGGAATGAGTCGCGAAGGAAGCCTCGTGCCAGAATCCAAGCGGGCTCGCGGCATGCTCCCCGTATCCCTGTGCTCAAGCTTGACCGCACGTTGCAGATGAGGGAATGTTCCGTGTCCCAGGCCACAGCTGCCCAGAACACCCGATTTTCCAACTCAATATACGTGGATGTGAGTGTCAGGTGCCGGGTGTCAGGCTGTGGCCCAGTGACAAAGCGCTCTGCTGAACTATCGAATGCACGGCTTCGTAACCTTGACCGGAGCTGTTGGATGTTTTTGAGCGCTGCGTGGATGCACATCATCCCGCTGAGGCCGTCGAGCCGTTCGTCTTCAGATATCCCGATGGGAATCGGGGTCTGGCCAAACAAGTACAGCGCAAAGATGGACTGGTATGATATTTGGTTCATGGCCTTGACCATATGCCGTCTTGTAGCTCGCCAATGGGTTCGAAATATTTCTGCCCACTGCTCACAATCACCCGTCGTAGAGCTACCCTCAAATACAACAGGGAGCCAACAGACAGCAAATGACCGCATAGACAGACGCATAGATTCGGATGCCTGTTCTTTTTGCAGTTTCCGACGACTGGGTACGCCCTGATTGCCTGAACCTGAGGTTTCGTTGCTGAACTGCTCTTCTAGAAGAGAGTCAAGATCGTAGAAAATGGTGGCCGAATTATCCCAGCTGTCTGATAGATTGTTGCTAAACGCATCATATATTAGTAACCACCAATAGGTCCGAGATCTCGTGATATAGGCATTGCGAAACTTACACAAGCGGACATCCATAATTTCCTACTAAACGCTCGAAAACAATGCCAAACCCTTGACGGAAAAATTGTTCACACCAGTGATCAACGCGCATGTCCGTCGTCATGTCAGGCGATGGCCCATGGTGCCCCATTTGGCATTCGCGGCCGTACACAGATGGCCCAATGGATGGAGACTGCAAACATTCCACGGGCTGTTCCCAGGTAATGAAAGAGTCAGCCGTGACCGTGGGGGTAGGCGCCTTGGAGTTCCGACGAAGCCGTTGAGGTTTTGTGCTCGCTTTTTTCAGCCACTTGTGTTTATCGAGTCAGAAAGCTGTGAAAAGGAAGAAAAATGAGTCGTCAAACCTCAAATGTGCATGTTTGGTTTCTCGATGAGCATCGGGAACAGGAGCCTTCCCACCGTCTATCCCCTGGCTGATAGCCCCTCTGCGAAGCATTGCAGCCAACTCGTGCCGCGCGGCATGCGTCGCAACTCGAGAACTGGGTTCGCCGCTGATTTGAGTCACTATCCATAGTTATTCGTCTTGAGCTCGTGTGATAGTGGTTCTTGATGATTGATCAAGGAGTAAGTTTTCGTAACTCTGGAGACATCTGGGGCAAGAAGAGATTGTGAATTAGTAAGCGCCAAGCTCTATCCCGAGCCACCCCAAACCTCGGTCTGAGCATCAATAGGTCTGAGGGAAAAAGAGTGCAAGTAATGTTCGTTTAAAGGGGTTAGAGAAGACTGTAGAAATGATAATTCAAGATACATATATTCAAAATTTTCAAGACTCTATCTTAATATGTCGGACCTAATGCTAATGCATATTGGACCACATCAGCGAGATATGAGGTTACGCTACTGGACAAGAACCGATAGATGTCTTGATAGGGATTTGCAACATAGCTTTCCATTGAGATCTAGGGCCGTATGGAACGGCTCTTCTAAGTCTTGTATCCATCTACAGTTTGGAGGGTTGATCTTCAAGCTTCCTCCTCTCTCTTAGCTCCTTTCTTAAAATCTTCCCGGAAGCACTGCGAGGAACCGAGTCCACGAGGCGCACACCCCCTCTAAGGCGCTTATAGTCCGTAACTTTGTTCTTAACAAAATCGATGATGTCTTCTTCACTGATCTTGCCCTTGGCAGGCGGGGCCAATACGACGTAAGCTCGAGGAACCTCTGTATGGTTTTGCGGCACACCAATAACAGCAGCATCCAAAACAGCTGGATGTGAAGCAATTATTCCCTCAAGCTCGGCGGGTGCTACTTGGAATGCTTTGTATTTGATCATTTCCTGAACCGGTTAGTTTATCGATCTCCCCTTCGTCGGTGTGCTCAAACATACCTTCTTCCTGTCTACGACGAAAAACTCATCACCTTTCATACAAAGAACATCTCCAGTACGCAGCCAGCCGTCAGAAGTAAAGGTCGCTTTGTTGGCTTCCGGGTTGTGGTGATATCCTTGCACAACGGTCGGTCCTTTGACTAGTGCTTCGCCTGGTTGTCCCTCTGGAACGTCCTTTTCCTCCTCATCAACTAGCCTAATACTTTGTTAGCACCTCGTCTAGCTGAAAGACAATACCGTTTCTAACCTCATTTTGGTGTTTGCCAGCAAACGACCGACACTTCCGGTTGTATTTGCTTTCATTGGGGTGCTCCAAGTTATACTGGCACTAGTCTCCGTCATGCCCCAAGTTTGCGCAAACAGGCCATCCAACTTCATCCGGCTCTTGGCGGCCTCTTGGAGCTCCTTGGACATCGGAGCTGCTCCGCTGGTCACGAATACTAGATTGGAAAATTGATCTTTGACGGCGGGGTGCTTCGATATCCCCAGGAAGACGGGCGGCACGGAAAAGACGTTGGTGATCTTGAGCTCGCCAAAATATCGAAGGAATTCATCAAAGTTGAACGTGGGCATCCAATAGGTCACGCCCCCTTCGTAAATAGGGTTGACGAAGTAACAAATTAGTGCCGCAGCATGCGCCGTCGGTAAATGGGCCAGTGTTCGAAATTGGACCTTGGCTTTGTCTAGAAGTACTCTGCCAGTGGAAGAGAGCATAGAACCTTCGGCAACCAGATTTGTATGAGATAACACCACGCCTGCGTTTCATAGTCAGTTCATCAACTCTGCTCCACGCGAGGGGTGTCTGCTTACCTTTGGGCAGCCCCGTGGTGCCGGACGAGTAATAAATACAAATCTTGCTCTGCTCAAGTTCCTTGGGATCTGTAATCTTCCTCCAATGGAGCCGTTTCTTAAAATCGCAGGCGACTTCCCCATTGACGCTTTCAAGGGTAACGTCGGGATAACTCGTCAGCACAAGCACATTCCTCTGTGGGAGTCCTACGCGAGCTGCTGCCGCGATTGCAAGATCCTTGGCGTCGCTGCTACAGACGATAACCTTGCCTGGGCCATCTTTGATCTGTCGCACAGCATCGTCGACCGTGCTTGTGTGAGAAACGGGAGCATAGATGCCTTCGGCTGCTATCACACCATAGAGAAGACCGGGAAGCGCAGACTGTCCTGTGGATATGGGAACGACAACATCCTTGTTTGGTCCGGCTGCACCAATCGCGTACTCTGTCCTGAGGAAATGTGCAAAGTACCCAGTCAAATCTCGCAACTGAGCCTTGGTGATGTATCGCTGCGGATCTCTTGCTTCAGCGTGTAATGGCGTATCATCTAACGCGCGTCCATTTGGATCATCTGTGCTCTGTTAGTTGCCATATGTTTCGTCAACCCCGTTGTCGTTCACTGGTATATTACCGAACAAAAACGTCAGAACATCAACGGCTGGAATGTCTAGGTTTGGCCCCTCGTAAATCATGGTGTGTACGGGAAGGGCGATCTCTCTAAAGCTTAAAGGTGTGATGACTCGGAAAAGCACGACCAGAGCTGAATTGGCAGCTCCGCCGTGCTTATGTAGGTATTCTATCGCTGGGGGAACTTCCCAATCTACATCTACCCCGCAGACATATCCCTGTGGTATTGAGTTTGATGTTACGATCCTCTTGCCGAACTGGGCCGTTATCTGACCACCCATAATCCCGGTCGCATGAGACAACCATGAAAAGTCATGGCCGTAGGTCTCCCGTTTGCGGCTGCAATATGCAGTTGGTAAACGGATGACTGTCATGCCACTCGTACCATGTCTTGTCGTATGTTCCCCGGGGAAGTTACACTGAGATACTATCGACAGACTTCGAGGATCCAGTCGGTTTTCGCAACAGATAAAGGCCTTCGGTAGAGCTGAGCAATGTGATGAACGTGTCAGAGCTTGCTAGGGCCCCTGCTTGATTCCCAGCCGCTCATTCCGGAGACGCGTTGGTAGAGTAACGTCGGAATTAACGGCATTTGGGTTTGCGTTGATAAACAATCAGATCATGGTTGATCCCTTGCAGTACCCTTGACTGAGCTTTCAACAGCCAACCCCTTTTAACTACATATTGGGATTTTAACACATGACCAATGGCCAAATATTTCTGCAAGGTCAAGTTTTTAGATCTTGAAGAGGAACTAAAATTCCGGTGATTGACAACGAAGCCATTAGAATAGTACCACAGGTGATCGAGAGAATTAGCTTGATAGCTCCAACACCTACCCCGTTAACCAGAATTCGGCTTCATTATAAGCTTATTATAATAAGCCCTCTTCATTAATAAAAAGATTAGTAAGTTGAGTAACTATAAAATATATAATAAATTTCGTGCGCTTGGAAACCTTATTTTGCGTGGAAATACGGACTTAGGATATAGTTCCCGACGGGAGAAGTACTTTATTCTCTTTCTATACTTGGCTCTATGATTTTCCATACTGATTTGTCAGGAGAAACGTCAGGAATCGGAATCGACGAAATGGTCTAACCGCCTTGCGTGATTGATGAACTCCCATTGACTTTGGAATGATTCTCCACATTTAGGACATATGATAGCGGTAGCATCGTTTTGTGCCTGGGAAGCTTCCTTTCTCGTGTCGCTAGGGCTTTCACCGGGAGCCTTCATGTTCTCTTGTTCTGCTTCGCCCTCATCCGTTCCCTGCTTCACCGTTTCACCAAGCAGCTTCTCCGCATGCTCTTTTATGATATGGGGCTTTTCGTAGGAAGGATCAAGACGGAGTGCGCGTTCGCAATCTTTGATGGCGAGCTGGAATTCGCCAAGCTTGATGTAGGTTTGTGCCCGGTTTAAAGCAACTCGTGCGTTGTTGGTCTTATCGCTCGGCCATATAACTAATGCATCCGAGTAGATCTCCATCGCCCTGGTGAACTGGCCTTTTTTGTATGCCTCATTGCCAATTGTTTTCACTCGGACGATCTCCTTGGCGTAGTACTCTGACATTGAACTTACAGAGTGAGAGTCACTATTGATATCAGAAGTGGGTTGCGTGGGTCTTTCGTCGCCTGGAACAGACTCTTTGGTATCTTCGGTATTCACAGTATGATCAGGGCCTTCGTTGGTAGTCGTTGGTTGAGTTGAGCTTCCATCGGCATCGGTAGGTTTCATCGCTTTGGTGACTTGGATGCGAGCGTCTAAATGGTGCGCCTCAGAATCATTGTAGTCCTTCCCCAAAAGGTCACGCAAAATCTCCTCGGCCTCGGCAAGATATGCCAACTCCCCATCGCGCTGCCAAATGTAAATACTGGCTTCGGCCCGCAACAACTTCCATTCCCTTGGAGTAGGGGCGAGGGTGCCAAGCTCAACCTTGGCCTGGTCGACAAAAGAGAGCGCCGAAGAGTAGTCCTTGTTGACTTCCAGGGCCTCGCGAGCCGATTTGATGGATTTCGCTATATGGTTGGCTCGATTCACGTCCTTTTCTCTGACAAGGTCTGGGATTTGCCCATAGAGGACTAAAGCCTCTTCGGGTCTTCCAAGACGCGTGTATATTCGACCCAATCTCAAACGGAGTTTGGGGGTTGGTGTCTCGAGATCCATAGCTTTCAGGCAGTCTGCAAGGGCTTCCTCCCAGCGAAAGTGAGCCATGTAGGCAGCTGCACGGTTGCCCAGGTAAACAGCAGATGATGGAATTATTTCAATGGCTGTAGGTAACTCTATGATCAGAATCATGAAAGGAGCCGACTATCATACTGTAAAACGTACCTTTGGTGTACTGCTCGATGGCCAAGTCGTATTTCTCCTCTTTGAAAAGCTGATTACCAGATTCTTTATGAGCCTCTGCAGCCTTTTCTGATCTAGGCCCGCCGTTGCCGAGGTTCGCTGAAGGTTCATCAGGTCGAGCATTGGACGGAGGTGGCGGTTTCAGTCGGGTGGTTTGCTCGGCTTTGGGCTGCGCTCCAAAACCATCAGGCCAAACATTCGAAGGATTTTCTGTGTCTACCATTGTTTCGGATCCTTCTGTCGGATTCTGGCTTCGACTCTCGGCGTCGAGATTCAGTGACATATCCATCCACGGATGGTCCAAGGCTCCCAAGGCCGTTAAACGTTTGGCGGGCTCGATCCTCGTAAGACTCTTGACAAAGTCCGTCACATCATCAGTCGCTCCAGCGTCTCTTAAGCGCTTCTCTGGAAATTTGATATCCCCAAAGTAGTACCGACCCAGATCTAGCTGGGTAGGGAACAGAACCTGACCGGTCAAGAGTCTGCTCACAACCTGTCCCAACCCCCACATGTCCACGGCGTATGGATCAACCTTACTGTCAAGATCCTTGAATCCACTGATTTCGGGTGACATGTAGCCTCGAGAGCCCGCACTGAAATTCGTGGTGCTATCGTTGCCGCCTCTTTTGCTCAGTCCAAAGTCAGCCACCTTCACCCACCACCTCGGACCCGTTCTTTTGATCAGAATATTCTACAGAAGATAGAATGTTAGTATTAGCGTTGGTGGTTATTAGAAGATGCCGTACCGCAAGTTTTAAGTCTCTATGACAGAAATTCTCCTCGTGCATCGTCGAAAGCGCCTCTAATACTTGATAAACAATCTCCCGAGTGTCCAGTTCAGGTAAGCGGTTCTCAGGACACAGCAAACTGTTCCGTAAGTACTTGTTCAAATCTCCAAGTTCGCAATATTCCATTGCAATATTGATGTATCCAGGGCTGAGATACCATCCGTATGATGTGACAAATAACTTTGAGAACTGCGTTGCGGATCGATACTTGTGAGCTTAATTCTACATAGCGACAATAGAGACACGAACCTTCGCCTGGGAGAACTTAGCGATGGTCTCGAGTTCTCTCTGGTACATCTTAGATCGTGCAGCCTTGTGCAAATCAGGGATTTCGATTCTCTTCACTGCCCGTATTGAGGGCTCCCCAAACTCTTCAACAACTCTGGTCTGCAAATCTACTGACCCTTGGCCCCCTGACCTCAGGTGTCGCTTGACGAGCCATTTCTCCTCTGCAGAGCGACGTCTTGCCGTATGCGTGTGAATGACAAAGCTGTTGCCGCCTTCTTGCACAAACTGCACTTTCAGCTCCGAGTCTCGGACGAGCTCGGGGAGAATGTCAAGCGGGACGGTAGGTGTTTCCATCGGATCAAGCCAGTGATATCTCGATGCGATACTATCGGCTGCTCGTCTATTGCTGGTGGTGGGATCCTCAAGGGTGCTGAGGTCCCCGCACGCCGCGCGAAATATGCTGATACAGGGGGAATTCGTGCTGACGACGAGGGGCAGGGCGGTGCCCTTTATAACTGAGGCTGAATGAATCGAGACTCACCTGGATTCAGCCCACACTAACCGCATTGACTTGATAAATAGGTCCAGCAGCGCTTACTAACACATAAGCCTAGTGGTGATCGACTGTGCTGTGAATGCATAAAGAGCTGAAAGAACTTTGCCGGTTTAGCCGGCTTCTAACAGTACTTGTTCAACCGGTAAGAAATATCGAGACTTCTCTTTACTAGATAAGATCCCATCGAAGGAAATAATAGAGTTTCCGAGATAGGACTGGTAGGTACCGATTAGACAAATCAGTTCAGACAGTAATTATAATCTGGTAACTATTTTAAATTTAAATGAGGATTTTGTCAAAGAATTACTTGGAATAACAATATAAAATTCATTGGACTTTTGAGCGAGGTAGGTATTCAAAAAGGCAGATTTAGCCAGAAGGTCGAGAACTATACGTAGGTAGACTGGAGAGAATATCCCTAAAAAGTTGTAACCTACAACAGATTTACCTACTATCGACCTTCCGAAGCTAGCACAATTGAAAATTTCTGGAAATGTTATCGCTAGTCGTACTCTGGAGAATTGGGCGAGGTCATTAAACTGGATATATTGACAGTCAGCATATGTCGTTATAGACCTCCAATTCAAGCGCCTCCCGAAACTCCAATTGAAAGCCGTCATTTTAGAGTATGATGATTGTTATAGACATGGGTGTAGATTTACTTCATCAACGAGAGATAAGAGGGTGGGATCGCTAAATTACACGTCTCAGACATAGCCAGTGGTTAAAAGTATAAATTAATTAATCCCTAACTTCTTCCTTTCTAACTTGAATATTAAGAATTTCTCTTATATAGAGTGTTCTTTTGGGATGCACGTGATGTTTATTATTGACCCATGACAGCGATATAAAGAGGCATTGGGTTCTACAAAATTTTAAATATGCTGGATAGGAATAAAAATCTTTGACAGTTGGAAAATACAGTTATTTAATAAGACAGAGTTGATATACACCACAGTCGACAAAGGTTCCCGCCAGGCTACATTATATCACTCGTGGTGGTTCGAATCCGTATTGCCGATAGTTGAACCGCCGCGACAAGCTCTTATCAAAATGTATGTAGAATTTAGTTTCCTGTTTTCAAAATCTACATTTTGCTATGTTTGAATACATTTGCTGTTTGATAGACTTAACTGCCGCCCTAGGCAAGGGAGCGCTTTCCGTGGCCCCAATAGGCTTTAGACAATGTTGACTACAACGAGCGGTGCGATAAAGCTCAAAAGCTGCGGCTAAATATTCTCGCTTATATGACAAGCAGGAACAAAATGCTGGAATATTGATGGATGTTTCGGTATCAGTCGGTAAGTTAGGCGTAATTGCTGACTGCATGAGAAGTTGGGGGCCTAAAAATGAGGCTGAACTGATTGAGCAGCCCCTACTACAGCCCCTGAGACATTCCAAAGCTTTGAAAGACACGTATGTTTCTCAGCAATCGATAAAAACGTGAACTGATTGGACAATACTCGACCCACAAGCACATCCTCAATGGAGGGGGGCGGGCATGTTGGGTATTATGGCTTCCCCCGCACAACGCATCTCGACTCTGCTCCGTCGTTTGACAAGAGCCTCTTCATTGTCATCATGTCTAACCACGTGGGAGTACCGATTACATCGAGTGGAGTGGGAAGCTACCCGACACTGATAGCGCCCAGCACGATGTCGGCAAGTGTGTCTGCGATATCAGGCACGTCTGTGGGTATCGGTACGCAAACTACCTCCGCATCAGGAGATCTAAATAGTACACTGGCCATTTGCTACAGTACATGCAGTTCGTACATCCCTAAACCGCTCTGAACTCTAAATATTCAACGCTTTGTTCATAACCATCGTAACAGATAATGCCTATATGTTGGCCGCCTCGCTTGGGAAATCCGATGAAATGTGTGACCCAAACGGAGACACCTTCGCCGGGATCAACTCTTGTGCGAGATGTATTGACGAAAATAAACAAGACTCAAATCAAAGATTACCTGATGAGCTTCGAAAAATTACGTCCATTTGTGCCGGGGGGTTGGTATTTACCACCGACACATTTCTCATGCCAGATGGCAAGACCTCCACCATAATACATCTCGTTAACGTATCTTCAACATCTACCATATCTTGGACTACTGAGCAGTCAGCATCTAGCACGTCTGCACCGGCGGCTGCATCTTCGGCGGCAGCAAGTGGTCCACAGAGCAGTATGTTGAGTAGTTTCCCCTCCTTTCTAACCTCCAACCGTAAGTGACTTCCCCTCTTTAGATGCTTGGATTGCTGGACCGGTGGTCGGAGGTGTTGCGGGACTAGGTATTGCCATATTCGCTGCTCTATGGTTCTGGCGACGACGATCCCGACGCACTACTCCGGCCCCTGAAGATGGGGAGCACTATGACAAAGCCCAGCTTCATTCCGACTGTATCCCAAAGCCGGTGCTTGAGGCAGCAGACGGAGCGATCCATGAGATGCAAGGGTCATCACCACAGAAAGTCGCCGCCGAAAAAGCTGCAAATGAACCCCCTTGCTATGAGCTGCCAGCAGGCGACACGAAGCCACAGTCCAACGATCCGTCGCATACCGCTCATGGAGTTTAGGAAGAGCGATATGATTTACTGTGCTCTTTTTGATTGAAGCTCTGTATAATGAGCGAAGATCAATTAATAGGCCTTCGTGTTGGGTCATGGCGAGAGAGACGCTGAAATCTATAGGCTGTTGAATTTTGAGGGCGAGCTTTTTCCAATTTACTGAGTGCGAATGAACATGAGGATCCTACTCTATGATAATCTAAACCAGTTTGCAACACGTCTAACAGCACCTTGGGGAGTTGAATTATTTATTGGGCGTTTTTCGGTTCTAATCTTGGCTTTCAAGCTGAGAATGTTATGAGGGAGCTGACTTTCGGAGGCAGATGTTTAGGTAGTTTGCTTGGCTGACTGATTTATAATATCGCGTATAGCGCATCGCGTTATTAATTTCCAAGCAAGCTAAGTAACGCTTTTTAGCCTATAAATAGAACAGGTGACGGTGCAACTATTGCCTGACTATTAGGAATCCTTCGATGCCGGAATCTCACCTCCCGCCAACAGTCAATAATTATGTCTCGCACATCAAGAGCAAGAGCCTCCGGGAACCAGCTAGGGCGTGTGGCCTGCGCGCATGATGTTTTATACAATTCCGTCTCTGCACATGCTCGTAGCTTGTCATGCTATGCCTGTCCTTCAAACTTAGCCGCTCTCTCCGCAGCCTCACGAACAAGAAAGCCGCCCGATGATTGGGACTCATCAATCCCGCCGACACCACGCTCTAGCTTTCCGAGTGCTAACGTTCTTCCTCAAGATCATCTCGACCAATTCCCGAAGGAGCCTGGAGATGACCTTTATGACTTCATCACTAACGGAGGCCGCAATCAGGTTACTCCGAGGAGGAGATGCCTCTATATAGTTGACGCACCGGATATCGATCCTGAGATTGTTAAGTTCATGGCGGGTTGGACGGACCCAGTAGTACCGGCCGGATCTGATAGCCTGCTCTTGAACTCAACCATCCATTCCCCACGTGTCGAGGACACAGCGGGCTATCTCGCAGCGTTCTATACAGGCCTGGATGTCAAGATTCTCAGAAGCCATTTCCGTTTCAAAACGTGGGGTGAGAAACAACAAGGTGTGAATGTGAACAGTGGTGGGCACATTGCTCTCGTGGCACCAGACGGCGTTGCTACACGTGTGCGCTTCCGGCCAGCGCCGGATGGTGCAACCCCTGGCCAGCTCAATCTCAATGACATGCTGGATGCTCTGCATGCATCCATACCACCTGATGCATTTGCTATAATCCTTGTCACGGACCACGACCTGTACGAGGACGAGGAAGATGACTTTTGCGCCGGGCGCGCCTATGGCGGCTCGCGCATCTGCATCGTCTCGATGTTTCGGTACAATCCAGTCTTGGACTCCCACGCTGGAACCAACCACGCTCACAGCTGGCCGACGTCTCATTGCAGAGACTACGTCGATGAATGCTGGGAGGCTAGCGAGCCGGCTCTGAAGGAAACAGAATATGGGCGGGATAGGAAGAAGAAAAGACGCGCCCGGCCCGACCCGAGTTGCACTGTGGACCTTAAACGAGACGATGCCTCCCCCCTAGCACGGGCGGTCTTGTCTGCACGTGAGATCCTAGTACCTACTTGCAAAGAGGACTGGGAAGGGTTATGGCTTGCGCGGGTGTGCCGTACGGCCAGCCATGAGCTCGGTCATTGTGTTGGGATAGGCCACTGTATTTATTACTCATGCGTTATGCAAGGTTCAGCGAGCATCGCTGAAGATTACAGACAGCCGCCGTATCTCTGCCCCGTTTGTCTTAGAAAGGTGGCTTACTCCCTAGCAGGTGAGGGTATCATGAAATCTCCGGGGCTGGGACGCCTGGAGAGAAGCGCTGCAGCCGAAGAGCGTTGGATAGCGCAGAGCTATCGCAACATGAGCTCATTCTGCCTGGGCCGGAAAGGGATAGGGATGTTTGGTGGATTACATGGTTGGCTGGAGGGACGGCTGCGAGAGATTGAGATGGCCGCACATGATGACTCTGTTTCCCAAGGGGAGGAGGGAGACGAAGATGACGATTCATCCATTATATTCGTGGGGTCAATTGAGAGAACGTAGTCGTGTTAAGTGGCAACGTTCTTTGAGACTAAGCCGTAGCATCATTACCCTCACTCCAATTCCATCACATTTATGAATTCAGGCACGCGGGATTCTCAGCTTCGTGCTACAAGCCGCGATATGAATAATGTAATGCTATATCGGCTACCCAGTGACTAAGGATTGCGTGGTCTAGACAAGAGACTAGCTCACATATTGGGAATCACTTGGCCGCATAATGCTTCCTAATCAGGAAATCGGCACGCATGGCCGACGTAGCTGGCAGTTGGGCTAATTTTTGACCAAGCTTGTTGGTTCGCGAAGATCATTGCCCCCCTGACTCTAACTTGAGCCGAACTGGCTTTCTCTAACTCTAAACGATGTGGATGGACGCCATGAAGTGAGTTGCCGTGGCAGTGCCGCTATGACGTTCTGTTAAAGCTGAAGCCATTGAAACGGCATGATGTGGCGACGCTTGTCAAGCCTGTGGACAGCCTGCCGTTGCCTCAAACCCCAGAAGGATCTAGGAACGAGAGGCTGTTTGCCGATCGACATCTGGTCTTGGCCTACGCCGAACAACGCCTAAAACTTAGCACGGTCCACCGTTGTCGTCATTGAGCTTATGCTTATTATATCGTAGGCTGTGTGTAGCTATCTGGCTAGGGAGAATCCCCAGAAGAGTCAATTCTCGGCCATTGTTCTGTCTAAGAGCGTAACGAACCGCGATGGTTGCAGATCGCCACAAGCAGGAATCGTGGCCATCTTAAGACCATCGAGTATATATTAGACGAGTCGTCCATGCAAATGACCAAGACATTTCATATCACCACAACATCATTCAGACTTGACTTATCCTCCCCTCCGCCCAGCATGCTTTTCACCGCAGCCGTTGCCTGCGCTTTCGCTGCTGGCTCCTCTGCGTTCATTACCGGCACAGATGATATTCCCTTGATTGGTCCATCCTTCCTCTCCAATATCGACCTGTCCAACTCTCAACATCTTCAAGATGCGAAATCTGAATTCTCCAACCGAATTGAGGAGCTCTTCTCCAGTGGCGAGCTCAACAGTACCGACTTGGTGTTTGCTGTAGACATCTTCTCTGCCAACACAAATGGTTCAATCCATAAACATTTCCACGTTGGGGAAGGGCAAGAAGAGGTGTTAACCTCGGGTCGACTTGATTTTAACACCATCGGCCGGTTAGGTAGTGTATCTAAACTCTTCACTGCCTACGCACTTGTTGCAGAGGCCGGTGTCGAAGTCTTCAGTCACCCTGTCACAAGGTACTTTCCTGAGTTGCGCGGCAATTCTTCGAGCGTGCCGCTCAATCGAATCCACTGGGATGAAATCACAGTCGGAGCCCTTGCTTCACACCAAGCTGGCACTGGAGGAGTAGGCGGTAGGTCCAACGTCCCCTACGATGAATATTACCTCAATTGGCACTAACAACGGAACAAAGACTTCTTCCTGAAAAATGTGCAGACACCAGAGAAGATGACGACCGAAGGTAAGCAATACCCCCCAGGTGATAGAGGCATCAAGCTGACTCTATTTTCAATCAAAGCGTTTGTTTCGTTTCTCCGCGATGAAAAACGCCCAGTCATGCCCGCCTACCGAAATGCCCTTTACTCAGACGCTGGATACTCACTTCTGGGTCATGTTCTCGCACGTATCACTGGACAGAGTTATCCGGACTCAATGCAACAGATTCTTTTTGGTCCCCTTGGCCTGAACAGCACTACAGTAAAGCCGCCTACCGGGCCGGATATAAATGCCATCAATCGTTACCTGGTGGACAACACATCCAGCTGGAACGTTGATGTCCAAGTTAGCGCACCGTACGTTCTAGCCTTTGCCCATATGATATGATTATTATGATTCTAATTCGCTTCAAGATCCGGTGGTATTTGTTCCAGTCTCGCAGATATGCGCAAAGTCGGTCTCTCGATCTTAAACTCCGAGCTCCTTTCTCCTGCTATAACCCGAGCCTGGATGAAACCTTTAAGTGCCACTGGTAGCTTGGTAGAACTTGTCGGCGCACCTTGGGAGATCAACCGTCTCACCATCCCAGCTACACCAGGCTCTAACCGTACCCGTGTCTCCGATCTCTATACCAAGGCCGGTGGCAATGGTGATTACACTGCTGTCTTGGGTCTTTCCCCAGATCACGGTCTAGGCTTTTCTATTCTTGTTGCCGGCAGTACTGCGAGCAGTGCGCGTTGGCCAATTCGTCAGGCCATTGGCGAAATCTTTGTCCCCGCTGCTGAGCGTGCGGCAGCTGTAAACGCTAACGAAAACCTGACCGGAACCTTTGTCGACGAGAACTCTGAGAACACAAACATCACCCTCTCTTTCGAGGATGGTAAGCCCGGACTAGGACTTGACTCTTTTTACGTGGAAGGGCAGGACTCTCGTCACCTTCTTCGGGGCGCAAGCAAGCCTTCCGATGTCATCCTGCGCGTCTATCCTACGGGTCCTAGTCTTACATCCTCCTCGCTTGCGGAGCTCTACCGCACCAAGGGGACCTTGCGTGTGTCACATCGCTTCGTTGCCCAGCGGCCCCCGGCTCCTCACCGTGCCTCGGCAGAGGGAGGCGAGGGCTTGTTTGAGAATTACTTCGAGTGGATGAATATTGGGTTTAATGGTGCGTTGGATGAACTTGTCTTTGAAATCGAAGATGGGAAGCTTGTTAGCGTGACCGTTGAGGGGGCGGAACTGGTATTGAAGCGGGTGGATTGAAGTAGTCGACGGACAGGCAGGGGCACAAACAGAATTGTATGAGTACACTATAGATCTTTTTTTGCCAGTTTTTCTACCTTAAACTATGTAGAGCAATAGACATTTAACTCGAGCATTGAACTTGAATACTTGTCATTGTTCTTGAAGTGACACGTCGCGGCGGTGAGAAAGCCTTGTGGGAAGAATGTCAACAGGCTTCTCTACATAGAGGTCAATTTAATCTTGTACACCAGGCTCTAGTTGCCCTTCGATTTGGACCTCCTCGACTGTATCTGCGGTCTACTTAAGCACATCCTTGATCCTAGCAACGCTATCCTGATCTCCCACCACCGTAACAGCCCCATCCAAGGTCGAAAAGCCGTACCGCACACGAGTCTTTCGTAGTTCGAATCCCAACTCTGTGCCCTCCAAGCCTTCCTTTTCTCTGGGCAGTTCCAGAGTGGTTTTCCGTATGAAGGAAGTCGCATAGCCAAGAATCTCCGGTCCAACAGCTAGGTGCGCGAATACAGAACTAGCTATACCACCAGCCAACAAGATTATACAGGCTATCATGGAGAATGCGGACCAAACTTGGGATATGCCGAAGACTATCTTCTCTCTAGCGACTTCGCCATTGCTGGTAGCCGTGCCGGCAGCACTTCCTTCGAAGCCACCATCGGCATTCTGGACGTTCAGCGCCATGAATCGCATTGGACGAAGCTGTATGTACGTATTCAGGGCTTGGCTAAGGCGAATGCTGAAATCCGTTGCGGATATGTTTTGCAGTGCGAGCGGTCTGGTTTGAGCCCCCGAAGACTTGCTCAGATTCTCCATGGTCGGGTCGAATAGATACTGGAACAGGACGTCCTGGTCGCTCAGTGTGCCAGTTGCGACACCTACTTTCGGCCCCGTCGATAGAGGCCAATACGCAGTAAGAAAGCGAAAGGAGTATGGCCAGTTCAGGATGCTCAAGTTTTCATCGAGCCTATATTTCTGAGACCGTCGCTGGGATACCGCGGTGCAGTTTTGTCTGGCAGATGGCTCAGTCCTCTCACAAAGGATCCTCGATTCAACATATCGCTGCTTCACGTCGCAATAGCTGCCAGCATATTCGACGGGGGTCAATCGCAAGGCCGCTCTCATATACGCCTGGAACATCAACCTCGTCGGGCCGACATCAATGCCCGTCTCATTCTCGAAATGAACCGGAGTGTCTGCCCTGATATTCCATTTGGACCAGTTCGGGTTGATGAACCGATCAAGACCTATGCTCCAGGACGTTTGGCGAACACCAGCACCCCGATCAACATCGTAGCCTTGAAAAGACCCATTTGCTATTTGGGGAATCCTTTTGTTATTAGCGGGGTGGAGGGAATCTAGGTAGGTAAAATTGAGATAGCCCTGACTTGTGTTACTAGGAGGCGTGGGCATGAATCCGCTTGGGCTCGTCTCCCAAATCTCCACCTGATCGCATTCAAGGTCGATATAGCTTGACTCAACATTGAACGTCGTATTTCCAGTTGATATGTTCGCCACGGGAATACCCAGGAGTGAAGAATAGACAATTGTTGATTCTGCAGTGACATCTTGCCACTCGTCGGTATTACCGGGGGAGAGTCTGGGGATCTTGACGTTGCCCCATAGGTCCATACCACTATTCTTCGTGCTGGAGGGCGCCAGAACCATGGCACCATAGAGAGTGTCCATCACGTTGATCGTCCCGTTGTTCTCAGCGTCCACATTCCCTCCTGGCATTGCCGGTTCGCCTTCCACGGCATTCCGGAGATGATCGAAATATGCCACGTCCCCGGCCGTCGTATATGTTACAAGCTTCGGTTCAGCTAGTCGAAGAATGGCCTGCGACCCTACTGGAGAGAGGGCCCAGAGGATGAGGATACCGATACCAAGGAAATTGAATGCTCTCAAGTGGTACTGCGTGAGGACTGCACCGCCAACAGTTCGACTTCCAAGCAGCTGTTCAAGGCTTCCGATGGACGCTCCCTCTTCCAGTTTCCACCGAGCAACCTGCGTCATGAAGCGCCCTGTAATCGCAGCAAATAATAGGGGAAACAGCGTAGACAACTAAATTTGGCAGGTCAGATCTAATGCCCACTGAGGAACGTAAGCCCCGGGAAATCGTACCACTGATGCTGCATTCTGCCACTCTGCAATATGACTTGGTGTAGCCTCGAAGCCGGACTTGGAGCTTAATAGGATTGCGAATACAAGAAGCGCACACGGTAATCCAATAGCCAGGATGTCGGCGATGATCATTTCATAGCTTAGTTTGCTCCTTACGAACGGTTGGTGAGCCTGTGCAGTTTCAATTTTGCTGCAGTTTCCCCGGCCGTCAGGGTGCTGCTCAACCGTGACGAGCGGTGAACACTCCGCTGGAAACTTTGACTGTCGCGGCTGTTGGGGCTCGCATCTGTACTCTGTCGCTGATGACGAGACCCCACCCCGCTGCGTGGTTGAATCCTGCTCATCCTGCGTATCATAGACCGGAGACGTATGTTGTTCTACTGGCGACGGGTTGAAATCAATATCAGGATAATTAGGTCCCAATGAACTCATGTAATGTCCCCGTGGGGAGGCTGGGGATGGAGGAGATATGGACCTCCTATGTGACATACTGGCCATTTTGGAAAACGCGCTTTGTTCGAAGTTAGAACAAATAACGAGGAAGAAAACCGGTAAAATTTCTGGTCATATTTAATCAGTCGACAGCCTCAGGCGGTGGCTATGCTCTTCGCCATGTCTCAGCTCAGCCCCCAGGTCGGATAGAAAGGATTGGATGTCTCTATCGATGCATGCAACATCCAGTCATAATGCAGATCGCCTGGCGCGTATTTGCCCATGGGAAGTAAGCCTGCATATGTACTTCTGTACGCTAGGTAACCGAAAGAGAGCGGGACGGGATTTGGGATGGCAATGGAACGGCATATGTCTTAAGTTCCAAATTAATGGTACGACCTTAGTGGTCCATGGCATGAGTGGCTGCAGTGGCCAAGAAAAGGCATCTGGAAGTAGGGCAATAAATAGACTGGAATGGTATGCCGTTTCAGCCTCTGTGCCATTGCTTACAACGCTGACTGCAGCGCATTCAAGGACCCTTTGGACTTCCAATCGGGACTCATGTAGCGTAACATGGCCCATTGGACTTGGCGAGTCATTCCGTCAATGAACAGTGTATAGTAGGATTGGGCTGCGCATTTCACGCCACGTTGTGGAACGAGAAAGGATCTCATTGCCACAATACGACACCGCCTTGTCTCCTTCTTGTGCAGAGTATAGGTAGTCAGTGAGTAGATGAATGCCAAGCATTATACTGCATAGACCCAAGCCGTCGACTTAAACTCCACAAGTCTCACCAAGAATTACATATTTGGCCGGCCATATCCCACTTATAGCCGATCTATAACGACGGCCGCTAGAGCAGGTCTCATCGTAGGGATAACAAGTTTGAACGACAACGGTATCACGCCTGCTCAAGCGCAGGGAGGGATACGTTGTGGATGCGAGGTATCGATTAGTCGCAATCAATTCAATTCTTGACATCTAGGGGCATTGTAAGTGAATGCATCCAGGCCCGTTCAACTCTCCGATGGCCTCGGTACACTTTTACTCGTGCAGCTGGCCGAGGCGTTCCTTCCCAATGGTGAGTGAATGTGAATATAGAGGTTCAGTGTATTGGCTGTTGGAAGGAAAAGGAAGAAAAAAAGTCTGCCAAAGAATGTTTTTGGTCAACTCCTTGGAAAGGCAATTCCCGCAGATCCCCAATCAAGTAATTTCCGAGATACCCGTTTGCTCGAGGCTTGCCACAATAGGAAATCAGACATCGCTCCTGGTTAGGGAAATGGCAATGGAACAAACCCGCATGGAGTAAAGTGAGTTGATTATAATTGGACGATGCTTGAAAGCATCTCTCGGGGGGTTCATTGACTAATGAGATGATTGATCATGACGGCAACGTTTGACTAAGTATGAAGTCCTGGGCTGGCGTCGGGCTCGTTGTATTTATTTCCAAGACCATCCACCAGGCTGCACACCAAACACTCTTCAGAGCTTGCACGATCAGTAAACAGCGGATCTTGTTTGTTAGACATCTACCCAGAAACAGCTTACGCAAATCTCCAACATGGCTTCCGACACTACGTGAGTACCCTTAATCGTTCATACGCCATACCAATTTGCCAATAAATCAGTTTCTGTCCCACTAACCCGCCTCACCAGATACACCCCCAAAGGGAAGACAGTAAAGGTCGGGCAGTACGACGCCTACTTAGCTGAGGCTCCGGCAGATATTGCCCATAAGGAGTCCGCCATCCTTTATGTGTCGGACGTCATTGGCATCTGGTCGGACAGCCAGCGCCGTGCTGATGGCTTTGCCGCCAAGGGTTACACTACCTTGATAATTGACTTATTTAATGGAGATTCTATCAAGATGAGCGAGTTTCACGATGTCAACCTTCCCGACTGGCTCAGCAATGGAAGAGACGGAAAGGGCCCACATACACCCAAGGAGGTCGACCCGATCGTGCAGTTTGGCATCAACTATCTCAAGAACGACCGGGGCTTCAAGCACATTGGGGCGGCGGGATATTCCTTCGGCACTCGATACGTGGTCCGTCACTTCAAGAGTGGCATCGATGTCGGCTACCTAGCGTACCCGTCCTTCGTCGAGGACAAGGAGCTCGCCGCCATCACCGGCCCGCTCTCCATCGCCGCAGCTGAGACTGATCACATCTTCACGGACGAGATGCGATACAGATGGGAGAAGATTCTGAAGGAGAATGGAAATGTTTATCAACTGAATCTTTACTCTGGTGTGGTTCATGGTTTCTTTGGCGCCGAACGAGATGTGGACAAGGTTCATGAGAAGTTTGCTCAGGAGCAGTCGTTTATCCAATCAGTTCAGTTCTTTGATAGGTTCCTTGGTTAGCTGATATGTTCTCGGCCTGGACATTGATTTCTTTAATAGCTTAGTTTTAGCTATTAGGATAGCCTTAAAAACCTAGGAAAAGAGACTTATATTAACCTAGACCCTAACTACCTTATAACTAATACACAAACTAGAAGGATTGCGACAAGATCTTGATGGCCTCGAGGTCAAGCCACCTGCAATCTATCTGGATGCCCATGGCGTCGCGCAGGACCAGCTCATTTACCTGCAGATCTTGGTGCTACCAACCGGTACACTTTACATAGTTAACATGAAATGTCTTGGTACCGCGGCTTTATCTGCAACGAGTGACAGCAGTGCGTCGCTCCGCTCCATACTCGAGTCCAAGTCCATCCCCAAGGTTAGGTTCGACATTCGCGCCGCATCCAAGCTCTTGTTTCGCGATTTCAATGTTTCTCTTAATAGAATCTACGATCTCCAGCTGATGGAACTCATGAGCAGAGACCGCCACCAATCCAAAAAGCACCTTACTAGGTTCGCAAAATGCATCGACCAGGACATTCCAAAATCCAACGCTACTAAACGTCGTTAGCTCCAACCAGATGATTCTACCAATATACATTTATTTAATACCCTTAATCATGCTCCTTCCATAAAGCGGGTCGAATTGTATCCTGCGTTATGGGAGGTTTACAGACATAGGCTCAGTCTGCCAGGGCAGGCTTTCTAGCTTAGTTCTGCTCGAGTAGAGTCGTGGCAAAGGGTGCAAGATTCCAAGCGGGGCAAGGTAAGATAAGATAAGCAGAGCCTGGGTCCTATGTACTGGTAGGACTCTAAACTTTTAGAATCTATTATAGAGAGTTAGAACAAGGGGATTTTTACGGAACACATGGCAGGAGACTGCGAGCTTAATGAAGACACTGAATAGATGCTGCCATCTACAAGGAAATAATCAACAAGTGTGCAAGGCTTTTATTTCTATGCTGGGTAATCAGTACATCACAGTAAAGTCGTGAATGGCCGAGACTGCCTAATTCAGTGGCAGATGCTGCAAATTATAGTGAGAGCTGTCGAGTGTCTTCTGCATAAAGGTTAGATATAAACGCCCTTTTTTTCCCTATAGTAGAAGGCAGGTAATTAGCGGAAGTAGGGAAAAGAACCAGAGTCCTATTGCGATGTACATCATACAGATAGAATAATACAAAGAGTTCAGCCTAGACACTGCTTTAGGAAAAGGGGACAAGACTCTGTGATTTAGTGCATAAGAACATCTGGTTATATGCCATATGACCAAGCAGATTCTCCTTGGGTCGGCTTACCCGATTAGATAGGGCGCATATGCGAGAGGTCGGAAAGAGATGTCATGATGCATGATTTCATCAGTGTTGCCAATTTTTGAGTGCTTTCTTGGGCCTCTCGCGTAGGCAAGATGAAGTTTACTTATACCATGCATAGCAATGTTACCCCTCTTGGCTCAGACAGCCTATCAGTGAGGGCGGGGTTATCGGAATTCCAAAAGGAGGGGATATTAGGCAGCATTACATCCTTTTACCGATTGCCAAGGAGCCCTACGAACACGCATCGAAATACAATTGGGTCAAAATTGCACAAGCGCTCAAGGCACCATTCAAGGTGAAATCGTCGCGGTGATCGTAGTTCGGGCCTCCCGCATATCGAAATGTTGGCAAACTCTGCCTTACCTCCCTCACTTTGGGGCGTCGAGATTCTGCCGCAATCGGGATGAAATGATTTGAGTGAGGTTCTCTCTAAGATGGGGTGGTGATGAAAACCAAGGAGCCAACATAAAATGTATAAAAAGGAGGAGTTGCTCCCCGAGGGCTCAGATAATCTCCAGGCTTCAAAATCCAACTTACAAGGGAACCATCAATTGCAACTACTATCTACTTTCATACTTCCATCTACTTTCATACTTCCATCTACTTTCATCTTTAAATTTGATACCGGTAAAGCTCTTACCATCTAGTTCCTTCTATCTAAGAAGCAAATATAGCTGATGAATTTGTAGATACTCATCCCCGGATCAAAATGTCTTATCGCACCGCATCCAACATTTCCGAGTCCCAGACATCGGAGAGAGTGAACCAGGAACAGCAGCTGTTCAATCTATGTGCCTCCCAGGGAGCTATAACTGTTGCTTGCATAGCCAGGAGTGCTATCAAGTATGGCTCTTTTGAGTCCAACAGGGATGCATCACTCTCTGCCTTTCAAAGCTTCTTATGCAAGCTCGCGCAATTCTGTCACAATGATTCAGGCGGGGCGGCAAACACCTCGCTTGTATGCCTCGCAGTTGACGGGGGGGCTGAGTTCCTCTTCACCACCAACTTCAGAAAACCGGCCGAGCTCGAGGAGATTAAAAGAGGCCTTGAAGATTTGCTGCGATATGCCACCACCAATCCTGAAAAGCTAAACCCTAAGCCACTTCAGAAAATGATTTTATGGCGTTTTCTTGAGTTCTGCTTCAAGAGGGTTGGTGCGTACTTTAGGACACTGTCCAGAGCGCTTGGTGAATGCATCGATGAGTGCGAATCGGCCCGGGAATCTACAAGTAAGCTCCAATGCAAGATCCTATACCCTCTGCTTTGTCCTAGTTCGAAGAATTTTCTGACCGCTCTGAGAAACCAATAGTTACCAGGCAGCTCTGCGAGTTGAAGTCTAGAGTCGAATTCCCACGGGAGATGACTGACACAGCGAGGAACAAGGGTACGTAGTCCCCTATTCTCTTATTAAGTGATTTTGTTTCTAACTCGATGATGACTCTCAGTCCTTAGAGATTGCGAGACTTTTATCAAGGCTATCGAGGCGAGCAAGAATAGCAGCCTTGGCGGAGAGATTGACCGTCGTGCCAGGCAGGACGATCATGACCAGGCCTACAAATGGTGCGAACTCCGTCATTGTCTTGGGCGCCTCTATTCATATCGTCAGGCGTCCGAGGCCGTTGTTGAGGCAACAATGAAATGGCCTGAAGTTTTCAGGAGCTTCAAAGTCAACTACATTCAACCTGCAAAGCAAAAGAAGGCTGCGCCGCCCAAGTCAGCGAGATTGGAAGACGTACTGCACTATGCTTTTCCTGAAGACGACCTAGAAGAGTTCCAAGACGATATCGCTGAGCTTCAGAAATACGGGCTCGAATCGGAGATCCGTAGGCAGGTCTTTGACAGGAAGACCAAGACTTTTATTCATGCAGAGGTCCATCTGCACGACTATCTTACCACGATGAGAGAGGTCAGGCCATCGGATTTTTGGGATGGGAATATGTTCATCGCAACCAGCAAATCGGTTTGCCGGCTTTGCCACTTCTACTTCCAGAACGACGACAATGAGTTCACCGTCCAGCCTCCGCACATGAACTTGTATCCCAAGTGGCGCCTTCCCGATAATGCAAGCGAAGAGGTGTTGGAAGACCTCATCGACAAGATGCAGCAGAATACGCTCAGCCTTATTACAGAGAAGCAGCCGTATTATAAAAGGTACGATTCGAGAACCGATTCGCAGGGATTCCAGACAAGATCAACCCACAGACCGGTGTTTGACCGTTCCACTGCTCCTTCTCCCCTTGGCGGGCGCAGTTCTCAATCGGGCGTCAGGCCGGGGGGCTATCACAGTGAGCCTCCACCACCTAGCCATGTGTTGGATGATACTCTCCCGCTTGAAAGTGCATTTGGGGATTATGGAGTCATTGGAGACGAAAGGGCTTCGGCACGAAACGGAGGATCAATGATCGGGATAGGCCTTTAACTCGAGAATGGAACTATGCAGTCTACGGTCGTTATTTTCAATATACACAATGGCAAGATGTAGACGAGAAGTCTTGCCAATTTTGCATCCCATAGCCTTCATCAACGCGTATTCTTTCGATGATGCTATAACCCTTGATATAGAACAAAGGACAGGGGAAGGCTTACTATACCCTTGATTTGATTAAACCTCCGCTCCGAGATGTATGAAATAGACACAGAATGTAGTGGATAGATTTTAATAACATTTTACTTGCCGGGTTGGGGCAGAGCAAAATAAACTGGCATACCCACGCCTCTTATCCACAGAGAGATATTTTCATCATGAAACGGCGGAGCCGTATTTTCCCAACTCTTGAAGAGCATGCTCTTCGATTTCAAATCATGTATAGTAGTTTCATCAGCCTTGATATTCATCGACTCAAGACTACAGGCATTTGACCGCTTCACGCTTCGTTCCTCAAGGCTATTTTGCGGCCGGTTTGTCTCTCCTGTTAAATGTTACGCCAATTATCGATCGGCAGTCACTAAAGTTAAAGCCGTTATACCGGCCATACCTGCTGTTGACACTCTGTTGCTTGGTCATTATATGGAAGATCTAGTGCCAATGGGATTGCTTACAGTTTAGGCATCTAGGCGGCATGTATTAGCCGCCGGACTCGAGCCCAAGCTTATCGCCCTCAGCCTGTTTGCCGCTCCAGGCGCCCAACCTTTTCATCTACCCAGACAGGATACTTGTTAAGGCTCTCGAACCATTGTATCGCACTCCCAATCTGCAAGCTCGAGTCAGTCCCATGCCTCCCACGAAGCACCGCTAAACTCACAAGAAATGCCCAAGAGCCTATGAACGTCGACAGCGCAAGCGCATACTCGACACCCGGCTGTGTGGCACCAAAGCCCAGCGCGCCGCACAGCGTGAATCCGATAGCGCCTATCAAGTTCCATAGTCCAATATGCCATCCGAGAACCCGTGGCGCGGGGATGTACCAGCAAGACTGGACTTCAAGCATGAAGAGCGTGCCCGAGACGATGAAACCCGTGCCTCCGATGACTTGGGGCAGCCAATAGGCCCCGTTCTCAGCCGGCGTAGAGAGGCTGTGAAGTATAGGCGGTAGTGCCGTGAAACCTGATATCCAGAAGACTGTGGCGCCGAACATCTGCGAGGAGCAGGCCAGAAAACCTATCTCATAGAAGTAATGCGTTCTCAGCTCGTACCACGTCGGCCACCAAGACCACGTCCGATTACTGTCAGATGATTCCATACGTCTTTCTTTGATTTTAACTAGGTGTGAGGTTCCTTTGACAAATGTCCGCTTTTGGGCATGTGAATGCCTGCAGTTGTGTGCAGGTTTGAGATGGAGAATACCATCTACAGTTTCTTCCACTGCCCATCCAAAACAGTCTGAGCGGTTCTCGTTGACGGCCTCGAGCATAAGTAGCACTGAACCAAACTCGAAGACAGTAGCTCCGATGAATGCTGTCAGTCCGCCAGCCCAGTCAGAGAACTCTATCGAGGGATAATGGACGGGCAACCAGGAGAAGAATCCATTAATAACCCAAATGATCGACCCTGTTCCTTTATTAGCAATCATCATGTGCCGGTAGGTGATGAATACCTATAGTGAAGACGACCGCGACATCGTAAGACACATCCCAGACTGGGTATCTCAGAAGCATCCTCGAAACCCCACGTAGAGTCTGGTTCCAGGTATTCGATGGCCTCGGGCCTTCAGTTGCATCATGTTTTCTAGGATCAACACTGACGGCCAGCGCATGCCGTCCTTTCCTATTATCTCGACTTCTCCAGATATGAGCAACTCCGGGATGCTGAGCACTCGGTCGCGCTGGCGGTTGAGTTTTCCCTGTGTCAGGCCCAGCGATTGGCTTCTTGTGGGCGACCAGATATCGCTTAGTTGGATTCAGAAACTTGAGCGGGCCGGTGCTGTGTTCAGCGTCATAATGACGGCTAGTGAAGTGGTCCCGGGCTCCTGGCATCGTTGCGAGGGTAATCGGCTGTCAATGGGACTTGAGCAAGAGGAGCACGCTGCGGATCACTGTTAAGGCATCACTCTGTCGATGATTGCTAGGATGGCCCTTATGGTGTAGTGGATGGGAGTTGAGGTTACCAAGTAAAGTATCCAGGGTGACAAACGGAATTGGTTTTGAGTCTCGGCTTACTCACCAGCAAACAAAACACAGACAAGGTGCCGCCATCCGCTGGCCTGATTTAAACCTAAAAATAAAAAAATACCGCAATGACAACCGGAATGCGCTGAAAAACAGGGAAAATGAGCCACTTAGTCAGCATTAACATTTCAGCTCAGCACGCAACTTGGGATCATCATTCATTACACAAGAATGACTTCAATAATTGAGTGTTGTACGCCATTCGATAGCTGGGAAATTGCACTTTGAAATAGTGTTAACGTAGCTAGTGGGCACTAGATGAAGGTTGTGAATTTTCGTTTACACTCTGAAGGAGACGAGGCTATGCATTATTAGAGCTTGAACCCATGCCTGTGTGGAAGCCGTCGCTGACCGAAAAGGCATTCCTCCAGATACCCCCAAAATGTTGAGTAAGGAACCCCACCGCGGCGTCATACCCATTGCGGCCGTCCGCACTCGAGTGCCATCTACCAAGAAAAGTCAATTCGCACCATGAATTCCTAGTTGAGAAGGGTCCAAAAGGGGTGAGGGCATGTTGGAGAAAGCCTTACACAAGATCTCCTTCCGAGTTGAAAGAGCCCTTAGGGTTGATGTTCACGACGGCATATCCTCTCGCGGTCCATTCAGGGGGATCGAGAGCCTCGAAAGATATCCCGACAACCTAGACTGTGGAACACCCACTCGGCCCGGAACTAGGTCCAGGCTGAAGGCGCCTGCATGTCAGAGTAAAGCGGTCAGCGACTGCCTCCCGCGCGTCCGCCACGGTCTTGGAAGAGAATGGCCTCGATTCTACCAACAGAGTAGACCATTGTGATCGCTGCGTGAGACACGGAATGTCAAAGTATCGCCGCCCGGGGACTCAGCTTGTAAGTAGGATGACGGTAAGAACTACGAGACAGCGCACCTCCCACGAACTAGGCTTGCAGGAATTCTTTGTGTTTTGAAGCTGGAAGTATCGGCAGATGGAACAACCATGTTGTGTGGGACACCCCGCCACAGATGCGTCCCGCAAGCTGGTGCCTCTGCGGGGTGCTTCCCCGCCGTGCCCTATTGAGACAGGCCTCAACATCATCACATAACATACTGATTCTTGAAGTAGTTAGAGTCACAGCCGGGCCACCGCACGTTTAATTATACGTTAATGAATTACGCAAGCGGTCTGCCTTGCCATCTTGAAAACACTAGTGAGAACATTCTACATGCGTGAAGGAGCTGCGATCGAGCTCCCTAAACTGCCTTGGCTTAGATCTTTGCAAAGCTGTTCAAGTTCCCTCTGCTTCCTTCGATAGGTCCTGGAACTGTCATTGATCGACGACTCCACATTCCTCGAGTTGCTAGCAAGAGGGTACATGTAACGGCCAGTTTGAATGGTGGTAGGCCATGAAGCCTTCTCAAAGGCCGCAGTTGCAAGCTTGATGAGCATCAAATCACTCCCTATTATGTAGTTAATTTCGTATTCACTATCCTCTTCAACGCTATTCTCGTACCTTTGGCTCCGATTAACGTGCTTGCTATGGGCCTCACTTCATCTCTTCCACTGATTCTTGAGAAGTATGGCATTTGGGCAACTGAAACTTGGTTAGTAAATCTGTGGCAAGGGGCATCATACGATGTGACCTACACGGCAGCACGAGCTGAGGGGCATGCAGGATAGGAGATATAAACTTTTCCGTTATGGTAGGAAAGGTTCCAGCTGGACTACGAGAAATTGTCAAAACAAGCCGAAAAGAAATGTTTGGCCTAAACCTACGGGTTTGGTTCGTCGCGATATTCCGAGCCTGGTGCCCCATATGGCATCACGAGAATTGCGCTGGAAAGGCTTTCTGAATCTGGACGCATAAACTGGTTGCTGAACCAATCTCGAAATACTTTCAGTTGCCTCAAGTACTCATCGTATTCGTTAGGGGTGACCTGTTTCCCAACGTCCCTGATCTATTCGTCAATGAGAGATAGTAACAGTAAAGCAGGAGACTGACCACCGGAACCGAACGACTGAGCTGGTAAAAGCATCTTTTCCAAACTTTGCTTTGTAATCATCCCGGAAAACATCGAATCCGTGATAGTAGTCATAGCATAGTGCCCAAAATGCACTCTGGTTCTATCATTTAACAACTAAATCAGGGACGGGATTTTTTTTAAACACACCTTTTCAGTATACTTGAGCAATGGCAAGCCTTCAGCCTGTTTGGGGGGGCTCTTTCCCCACTCCTCCACGAAGCTAAAGGGAGTTCTCTTCACCCCTAGAAACTCTTCTAGGATAGCAACGAACTCTTCAGTTAGGTCTTGTTGCTTTGAATTTTTCAGCGGATAAAATTCCAGTGGGTAAAGGATCTTTGAAGGAAATTTTGAGAAGTTCCGAGGTATGTTTTCAAAAGTATGTGACACGATATAATGAAGATCTCTCAAGTTGCGAGCGAAATGGCCCACAGTATCAAACTCTCTATTTGGGGAATTAGCCAAAGTAGATGCAATGCGAAAGAAAACATAGGGAGAGGTGGAGCATCACTGGATACATACGGAGAGTTGACTGGTATCCCTTTCATTGATGTCGAGTTGAAGCTGGGTCGCAGCGAGAAGAGCCCGCTACAAGGTGCTGGTGCTCGTACACTCCCGGCAGCTGTATCACGAAAATGAGCAAAAATCGCAAGGTAAGATATGGAATGGGGTACCATCATACAGTCTCCAGCCACAGAAAAGTCCAGCCAGCTATACCCAGCAAGAGAAGTGCCGGCGCCTGTAGAACTACTTGAGGGGCTCTGGTAGCGGTCTCCACGCGGATTGACCGGACAATGAAAGTCAATCCATTGGTCTGTAGCTTCTTCCGGCGATGCAAAAGAAGTCATCTTAGTTTTTCCTACAATAACGGCCCCAAGAGCAATTAGCTTCTTGGTGTACGCGGCGCTCTCTTCATCAGGTCTGTGAAGCTCGGTCCATGGCCTGTTCATCATAGTCAATTGCGTGCCCTCAAGCCGAAAGATATCCTTGATTCCCATTCGAGCTCCCGCCAGAGGTTTTTGGGTTTGTACTTCATGGCCTGTGTAAAGCCGGCTTGGAACGGCAATCTTCTTCCATAACCCATTTGAGCTAAGCGCCGGGAGAGGGAAGTACCTAAGCACAAGGTTGTTAGAAGAAAACCCGAAAACAGGTGGGCATACGGGGAGTATAACTTCTTTGGATTTAGTACATCCTCGGGAATGACCCCAAAAATAAAGCTATCCAATTCATCTTCGTACAAGCGGTATGCTTGGTGAATATTTCCCTGTGTTAGAAAGTATGGCCCCGTTGGGAGAACATTGGGTGGTGAGGTTGGAGCTATATGGTAGACTGCCTCGAAGCAACCTGAGTCCCTAAATTGATCAAGTTCTCGCTGTGCATCGAGACTCGGGTCTAACTGCAGAACAATAGTATCTGCAAAGGGAGGAGCGTACACATCATCTACGTCGGCAAATCGGTGAATGAGTGCTGTGACCTCAGTGGCTGAGGGGACGGCAGCGCTGGTGGTAAACAGGACAACAGGGATGGGATCAGATTTTACCCAAGGCTCAACTATTTTTGCCTTTGAGCAAGAGCGGAGGTTAGTTGCTATCTTATGCACGTTATTTAACAATACAACTTACCAGAGGTTGCGGGTGCAGTAGGTATGAGATGTTGCCCACTACTAGAAACGATAAGCTTGCAGAAGCCATGACGGGCGGCTATGTCAGATGAATAATTTTCCCTGGCGGATATGTACGTGTGTCATGTTGCGAAATTCACAAGCATAAACTTTGTGCGAGGAGCAGTAGCCGGCATGTTCTAGTCAAGAGGCTTAACTATGTCTTGCCTATTTACCCAACCACAAACTGACACGTCACGACAACAACATATTCGGATTCCCCCAATGCTATGGGCTGGTACTACCGTACTAGTGCCTTGCTCTAAGCTATGAATCGCATCGGTCGAGATCTCGGTATAGCTGCCCTAGCTTACTTTGTCACACTCATCTAGGAGCAGTCGTTTCTCCAATCAGTTCAGTTCTTTGATAGGTTCCTCGGTTAGCTGACATGGTCTCTGCCTGGACATTGATAACGGACTTGCTAGATGAGGGATTAATGATGAATTGACATGGATTTACTTTAAAATCCGATGCTAGTTCAAAATTTCCAAATGAAGCAAATGAGTATATGCAGCACCAACAATTGTTGCCATTTACCGGGAGTTAGCAACTCGGTTGTTCGCTAAGTCCGAACTAGATCATGGAAGTACGGGGATGTTTGAGTCATTCGGCGTCGTCGATGAGGCTCCGTGGAACCGTGGAACCGAGTGTGCGCGTAATGGTGATAATTTGGTGATGGGATTCACGCACCTCAACTCCGCATCTCCGGAGAGGGTCCGCGCTCAGACATAAGCATAGATTTACGATGGAGCAACTCAACCACTGATCCCAGAACAGATGGTTATATAAATCAGCGAGAATCGTCGCAGTATTATCATTCACTACTAATAGCGAATAAGGCAATCAAAATCCCTTAACCCAGAAGCTCTAATCCACCATATACTTTCAACCCATCAAGTCAACATCATGAGAATCGGAGTCGCACCAGCAAGCACTCGGACGTGCACCGCTGCCATTCGTTCCCTTCTAGAGCAGTCTTCCAACTCTGGCAGTTCAATTGAAGTCAGGGCCTGGTACAGGGACACAGCTAAAGCGCCCTCCGAGTTTCTTTCGCACGCCAACTTCGAGGCAGTGCAGGGCGATGTTTCTGACGCCTCCTCCCTCGATTTTGATGGTTGTGACGTGATACTCACCGTTCCTCCTCCGTTCTTCACGCATGAGGATATGGTCGCGTTGACGGAAAATCTGAGCCGCAACATCAAGAGTGCCATTGAGAAGTCGACCACTGTGAAGCGGCTTGTTATGCTAAGCAGCATGGGTGCACATCTGTATGATGGCGTGGTAAGTAATTCTGACCCTACAGTTTACACCTGCCATTAACTAATGACAACGATTCTAGGGAGAAATCAAAACGAAGACGGCAGCAGAGCGGATTCTGGTCGAGACAAAGGTTCCAAGAATCACTATTATTCGTCCTGCCTACTTCATTGAAAACTGGGCTACTCAGTATCCCACTCTCAAGGCCCAAAAGCCCTCTTTGGTATCATATATAACCCCCTCTGACTGGAAGCTTGAGATGGTTTCTATCAAGGACGTCGGCAAGGCTGCGGCAAAGGAAGCGACAACAGATGCTCCTCAACCGACCCCGGTCCACATCTACGAACTTCAGGGGGCTCAGAAAGAAGGATACTCTTCCCTCGAAGTGCGAGATGCGATAGCCAAGATACTTGGGAAGGAGGTTAACCTGCAGCTGATCGAGAAATCCAAGCTTCCTGAGTTTTTCGGGGCGTTTCTGCCTTCCGGGTGTGTCAATGAGTTTGTGGAAATGGCATCAAGCTTTCTTCCAGGGGGGGCACTGAACGTTAGCCCTGACCCTCAGGCCAACGTAGTCCATGGAGAGATCAGCTTAGAGTCTGCATTGGAGGAGGCAATCCGTGAGCAGGAAAGGATTAGCGGAAGTAGCGCTTAGTGGCAGCTTTGTTTCGACACTAAAGGCATTGGAGCATGCTGTTTCAAGGTCGTTCAGCATCAAGTTGAATACAGAGGCCTCGGTGTCGTTAGATAATCTAGATGCAGGAGAGTTGAGATTTCATTTTGTTGATCAGGTAGCTTCAGGATAAAACTAGACCCTGTATCAACTATTTCAAACAATAAATGATAAGCCAGCACGTAACTTTACCTGTTCACCCTCTTTGGCACACCGATAAGAGTTTCACGTGACAATCGAGAGCAGCGATCCTAGAAGTGAAGCCTTGTGGTTCTGGAAAGGGCAGAATCGCTAAGTTATCCGGGGATCTAGTCATAAGCAACTCTAGTAAGGCCAGTGCTTAAATAAAATGGCGTATAACATCTTGCACAGAAGAGTCACAAATATCGTAAATTAAAGCTAGAATGCCAACTAGGTTTCAGCTGCGTTGAAACTATTATGGGCCGGCTGTGAATCATTGAGTGGAGTGTGGTGATGCTCCGGCGCCACCTGTCAGGCCCGTTCCGCCGCAACAAGCTTAGGTGTTGCCAGCTACAGAGGCTGGGGATTTATGGGCAGGTCCGCATCTCTCAGCTCCGTCTCGTGAGCCATTCCCAATGCGCTTTCTCGCGTGTCGTGTCGCGTCAAACCTTGCTTTCCCCAGAGCCTCTAGACTAATCGGTCTTAGTGGTGGGGGTGGTTTCCTGATTCGTTGATGACTAATCATGGTCTTGTAATCGACGTGTTTTGCCTGGACAAAGGATGCTTTCTTGCCAGCTGGGCACTGCGTTTGAAAACACCTTACCCCGTGAGATCTGTTGAAATGAGGTGATGAATTTTAAGCAATGGCAAAATAATCTAGTGCTAGTGTCTTCTTTTTAATCACATCGGTAGCTGATAGTAGTTGACTTGAAATTCTACTTGATTGAATGCACACTGCTCTGGCTATAGGGTAGCTTAGAGCCGACGACGATTGAAGTCGGGCAAGTGTTACCGATCAGTGGCACTCCGCGGTGAGGTCAGACTCGGGTTGTTTCTGGAAGCCATATTACGACAGCAAGCGACGAAAGTCTAAAGAGAGGGGACGCGCAACCGCAGGCAGCAACAGGCACGCACGCAATGCCATCGGTCGATTGGACTGGGCGGATCGATCATTGGCGGGGGTGGGTCAGCTGAGACACCCAGAATGGTGACATCATCACTTGCTGCCCGCCACATGATGCATCATAGACACCTTCTGCCGCCTTTATTTTCTTCTTTGTCTCGCTTCTTCTCCTCTTCTCAACTACCTTCTTCTGCCGCTACAGCTCTGACTAGAACTTGTCCCTCTACTTCGCTTGCTGCCTACCTGAGCTACTATTACGCCGACCCCAAAACAGTCACCAGTACCGCCATGATGACCAACGTCTTTCTGTCAGCTGTGCTCTGCCAGCTTATGGCCGCCCTCGTTTTCGCTGCACCCGTCGCAGAGGACGCCGTCAAAGTTGCCAACAAAGATGCGATTGGATATGGTGCCGGTGGAGGTTTCATCGGAATCGTCGTTTTGATCCTCGACATCGTTACCATTGGTATAACTACCCCGTCCAAATCCAGTATGCTCCATGGTTGCTAACACTTCTCCCTCTTCCTAGTCGAAATTCTGAAGTCGAACCGTCCTCCTCTGTCCAAGCTCCTTTGGTCCCTCGTCGTCTTCTTCTTCCCCATCATCGGCATGATCATCTACTACCTGTTCTCTAACCGCCACGCCCACAATACCTATGAGCCGTTGCCCTAGATGTTCACTTGCGAGTGACGACTGTTCTCGAGTCCGAGAAAGGCACATTTCTTTTGGTGAGAAGACAAGACTTTGAACAGCGACAAGGGATAAAGGATGAGAGTTGAGGACCGCGTTTTATCGAGCCAGCCACGAACCACTGTACGGGTGTTGAGTGGCAGGGGACTGGGCACATTGATTATTCATGGCATCATGCACGCACGTTACGAAATTGGTGTGCATGCTCGGAAGAACATACATGCTATATAATAATGAAATTTTGTTAAATGCTCACCATTTGCTCCCATTCGCCGCGACACGTGTAATTCAACAAGAATTTCTATCTCATGAGTAGAGAGTCGCAGCAAGATAAATGGCAAATTGCTCATTGAATCAAAGTCCCCATAGCCAATTTCGATGTTTATATCGGCTTATATTAGTCCCGTTCATTACTGGCTGAGCCTTGAGCCAGCTGCCACAACACGTATACATACACATTGAAGTTTCTGGGTCGGAACTTCCCTTTTTTCTCGTGTTTGATTTTTAAATAAATTATTGAATGTTGGAGTTTGGATTGTATTGTTGAAGTCAGGTAATGGCTAGCTACTCACTCAGTGGCGCAGCTCCCCCAGTCCATGCCTGCCGCAACCGCGGATTGGGACTACTCTTTCTCGCCGACTGTTCTCTTGACCGGCGCGACTGGCTTTCTTGGCTCGTACATTGGCTTGCGTCCAGCTCTGTGCCGTGGGTAAGCCTAAGCGGTTCGCATTTGTCAGCTCGACCTCTACTCTAGATACCGATTTCTACGTCAATCTATCCAACAAGGATGGAAAGGCTGTCATGGAGGCCGACGATTTAGAGGGAAGCCTAAAGGGCCTTGCTACTGGCTACGGTCAGTCCAAGTGGGCAAGCGAATATCTGGTGCGTGAGGCCGGGCGACGGGGCCTGGTTGGCGCCGTCATCCGCCCCGGATACATTACCGGTGACTCAAGATCTGGAATCTCAGTCACAGATGACTACTTGGTCCGTCTATAGAAGGGATCTCCCGGATATCAGCAACACAGTCAACGCTGTCCCGGTAACGCGGGTCAGCCGCATCGTGGTTGCCGCCACTTTCCACCTCTCCGGTGCTACCAAGGAGTCGCTCGCCGTAGCACAGGTCACCGGCCACCCCCGTGTGACTATGAACGACTGGATCGGCGCCCTTGAAGTCTATGGATACAACGCGCCGCTAATCCCTTACTCCGAGTGGTCTGCCAAGGTGAAGAACTACGTTAATGATGCCGCAGAGAAAGAGAAGCACGCCCTTTTACCCCTGTTCCACTTCGTCGTGGGCAACTTGCCCGGGAACTCTATTGCGCTAGAGTTGGATGACGCCAATGCGCTGGGGGCCTTGGATCTCTACGTTGAGAAGCAAGGGGCACAGGGTGATTCCCAAGCCTCGAGCAATATCAATATCCAGGTGTTGGGGACTTACCTGAAGTACCTTGTTACGATCGGGTTCCTTCCTGGCCCATCAAGGGAAAATGGGGGCCAGCCACTACCAAAACTAGATGGTGATTTGTCACAAGTTTTGACTAGTAGCCAATTCGGTGGTAGATCTGCGAGATCATAGAGATGAAAATGGCCGGATACTTAAAAAGTTAGATGATAGAAGAGCGATCTCTGCCCCCAGAAGAGCCAAGGGGCCCAGGACTCATCCCATGAACATGATTCATTTTTGAATCAGACTCAAATACGTTTTCTTGCAGGTAGATCCAAGTCTAGGTAAGGTGTATAGGGGCTATAGATGGGATAGGCAATCATGCCATGGCATTAGTACTACTGACGATTTGAATATCTGAGGGTCAATTCTCACTTAATACGATTAGACGATTTGGAAGGTAACGTCAATAACCTTTCCAAATTTAGAAAGGAATTTAGATGAATCCCATACAAGGAATCATCTCAGCTTTATATAATGAAGTTCCTCCGAAATTGGTATATAATGTCTTATCAGGGACATAAGATGAGCTACGGACGACTTGTCGAGTTAATGCGATGGATGTGTTGAGCCCAAATTCAAGCATCATAGTGGCCTCGTATCATACAAAGCTACCGACGGTGAGAATTATGAGTTACGAAATGTGTTACTGACAAGGGCTACAGGCCGGGTAGTAGGCCTCACCGCCATGTGTAAAGGGACCGGATTTTGGGGGTTACCATTATGGTGTTCTAAATAGCTGAGGGTTCATGACTGCCCTTATAGTGGGCGGCTAATTGCCCAATAGTGCTTCAAGCCCATTAAGCATAGTAGGATACCAGTAAATTTCAAACATCCTACGCGGTGGCAGTTTTGGAGTGCGTTGATTATTGGCCATCCTGTTCGGAGTCTCGGACCGTCTCGGGTCCTCGTATAATTCTCTCTGGTGAGAAGAGCCCACTTAGATGGCCCAACAACCCTGGCACGGAGAGAGGATATCCTGGCGGAATATTGGGACTTCGCATGATCTAGGAGACGGATCCGGGAATTTAAAATATTGGCCATAAAATCCGAAGACACCAGGACTCTAGATTCTGGGGGAATCTTGTGGATGAAGCATGCACTCTCAAATGATGCGAACCGATTTTAAGCTCAATTCCCTCAACTTATAGAAGGGAAATTTTCGTAGAAAGTTACAGAAAGAAAATAGAATCTTATATCGTGCAAGCTGAATAGATTTTGCACCTCATTCGTCTGTCTGCATTGGGGGCACCCATCCTATCTGTTTAATTGGCCACGCAATCCAGGGTCTAAAATCTTCGCTGAGCAGAGCATAAACCTCCTCCGAGATGCGAAATGCCCATCCCTCCACCCACCAAGATTTGGCTTCCAGATCTCGTACCAGCGGCGTGAAGAAGACGAGGATGCACATGGCCTCGTCGTTGGCCTCGGTCAGCAGATTCAGAAAGTCCTCGCCCACCTCATAAAGCCACGTGTAGTACCCTCTGGTCTTGTCCTCGATATTGTAGATGTCATCACGAAAGGTGTAGCTACGACTCAGTGTATGGATCGCCCCCAGAAGGATACGCTGCTTCTCCTTATCCTTGTCATCTAGTCTGACGATCCGGGAGTGGAGCTCAGACAAGGCCGGATGCTGGATTGGCACATGCGTCTTCCAATAGCTGAAGATTCTTTCGGTGCTCTGGAAGACGAGGGCCACGGGTGACCTGTCAAGCGCATGGTGCGACTCCCTGATCAGATGTGTCCCGCGCAGCAGGTGTACCGGCCCGGGAAGCAGCCCGCTACCAAGCATGATGCCGTCGTCCAGCCTCCGGGGTCTAGCAAGGTTGAAAAAGAGTGTGAGCAGGGAGAAGATATACATCGAGCTGCCGTTTTCGGGGGTGATTAGGGAGACAAGTGGGAGGCCCTTCTCTAGGGAGCTGGTGTGGTAGCGAGTCGCGTGGTACAGGAGGGACTCTCTGCGATCCGGTTCCTGGTGGGCTTTGTGAAGGGCAGCGAAGGCACAGATACCATCCATGATGTAGTCGGCACCTAGCGCGAGCTGGGGCACATGGATACGCCACATGTCGCACACGGGCGTCTCGGTGGACAGCGTATAAGCCGTCAAGGCACAGAAGTGATGGAACATCTCAAGGTCCAAGTGTGGCGGCTTTTCCAGAGCAAGCTCCTGATGCTCGTGGGTCTGCTGATCGGCTGCTTGCTGGATGTAGTCACATTTGACGCCCCGCTTGAGGCAGTTGACGCAGGACGGGTGCTGCTCATCGCACTGGTGATTATTGAGTCAGCATCTTTTGCGATCTGGTAGGCGGCAGTGGAGGACCACAACGCACCTTGACTCTCCTGGCTCTGCACCTCTGGCACCCAGTTCGAGACTTGTAATGAGGCCTTCGTCGGATGACCAATGCCTCAGCCTGTGGTGCGCTTGACATGGTTTGATGGGACACTCGAATAGAAGGGGATGTATATCTAATTGAGCTCTGGGATACAATTGTTTAAGGTCCTGGGAACGGTGAGCAATCCGAGACCGAGAGTCTATTTCAGTGGATGTATGTCGCAATGGGACTGGGCAGCGACAAGGATTACCTTATAATAAGCTCTACTGGGCCTAAATTCATGGACATGGCTCCTCCGGACCTCAATTGTCCGTCTGGTGGGCCTTGCTGGATTTGGCCCTGTCGGAAAAGATGCCATTGAGGAGATTTTCGGCGATGTGGTTAATGCTATTTATGCCACCTTGAGATATAAGGGTATCCAGAATAAATTTCTCTGTACTTTACAACGCGTATATCTTTGGATCATGTTCAGAGACGAGAGCCAAACAAGTCGTTTCTTTCGTGGGCCCAAGAGAACTCGTTGTATTGGCTTTCAGAGTTGTTTGGTAGATTGGCCAAGTCGTTCTGCTGCTGCTCGATGGCTGAAATACTCGATGACTGAACTCCAATACACGCGCACGCAATTGATGCTTTCCGTCTCTGACTAATCGTATAAGTTCCCGCCTGGAAAGCAATCCGCCGGCTGATCGTGGCGGAATTGCGCATATGATCGCATCGCCGTTTATACGCAAAGGTAGAAGGCGCTGGGCAGAGCTTGACGACAGAAAGCCGATATCCGGTCTGAAAGACAGATCGAACCGAGCCTTAAGAAAATCCTCAAAGTGCAAGTTATTTGTACTGGGGAAGTGAGGTAAGCTCACTTTCTTTGGGGTCCAGGAATAGATTGGAGGGGTTGCCAATCTTTGGTTCTACCTAGTGACAGAAAATATGATTCTAGCCGCATTGAAATACAATGTCTCGGGCCGCCCTGGTGCTGACCGCTGGCTTGCTAGTAAATGGGAACCGCCTTCGACAATGTCTTTAGCCTGCGGTGTGACTATGAGTGGCATATCCGCGAGTGAGCCTCACAAATATTACTGAATGCCCATCGCTCATACAGTATGAGAAGGATGAGCCTTGGTGTGGGTGCACAACAGGGGTTATTGGGTGTAATATAGTCATATTTGTGACTATTCATATCATTTCCACACACCACAATAACCCTATTCGTTGCTTTTTGAGACTTGCATGCAGCTAACTTTCAGCTTTAAGCCCAACTTCATGCCGCCAAGGCTGCATTTGTGCACATTCCAAAGCGTAGGAGCGCGGCAAGGGTTATTGGGGGCGCCACCGTCATCTTTGAAGCCACTATCATATTGTTTCCGCACATCGCAACAACCCTATTCGTTGTTTCACGAGACTCACATGCAGCTGCTTTTTAGCAAGCTGCATAAGAAATGCATATTTAAACTTAATAAGGTAGTAAACTTGTAAATTAATCCCTCATAGGGAGCATTGCGAAGCCTTTTAATAGATATTGTGTCCCACCTTTGCGACACATCTTCCTAGCTAAACCCACAACTGTTCCATGATATTACATCCATCTTGGTTCTGGTTATCATTATGGCTTATCTTCTGTTGCGAACACAGCTTATTCAATCATTTATTGGTTTCATTCTTCTTGTCAGGGCTGCATCTCAGGCTTCGGCTCCTACCATCACCCCTCCACCAAATCATGTGTATCAGCGACAAGACAGAGAGGGGCCAGACTTTGTAGGATACCCTTTGAATAGCAACATTCGTAAGCCTACATTTTTGAACTTGCGTATAAACTCATAGCATGGCTAAAGGTTGACACCTCTCATAGACACCGCGGGAACATGCGCTGGTGGGCTGACATATTACACGTGGAGTCTCTGGGCAGGCTGTGTTTCCAATGAGGCAGGCCTCTATACAGGTTGTACCAATGCCTCTGTTGTTTTGGATCCCACGGGCAAGGGGACATGGTATTTTTATCTGATCTCACTGCGAAATCGGTTAGGACTTTAATGACATTCTCTCATTAGTTCAACGTCTATGGCCTGCGGCTCGGGATTGATCTACGAAGACCTGGGCGAAATGACCAGCCCGAAGTATTATATCCGATGCTTTAATGGTACCTCGATACCGACTTACTATAGACCGAAGAGATTATCTATAATTACGACTACGTTCGCGACTACCATAACTACAAACGCATTATCCGGATCTCAAGCCAGCTCTACAAGCACAAGCACGAGTTCAACAGTATCATCCAGTCCGACTGAGACTCCCGCTCCCCAGAGCCTTGCTTGGGTTGCCGGGCCAGTGGTTGGTGGCCTTGCTGGCCTCGCCATCATTGCTCTCCTATGTTGGATTGCGCTGCTGTTGCGGAAAAAGCATTCCCATGTACAAACCCCCGAGAATCAATCTATCCAACCCGATTTGGCCACCAAACCGGCATATCAGGCCCAGATATCCCTAACACTTGTTCCAGACCAGCCTCCCAGGGTTGTGTCAATGGACCCGTCCCAGAATCCCAGGACACCGCCATATGAATTAGAGCATGTTGGGTACCATGGGTCTGGATCTGGGGCATGAGTATAAATATGGTTGAGGAACTGAGGATAGCGAAATTGATCATTCTATGGGGCCTATTACTAAATTGTAATTTAGTCGAATAAAATATTATTGGGTTTCTAAGATGGTTAATGTTGTGGAGTGAATGAACCATGCAATGATTGTGTTAGTCTCAGACTGGTTGAACTTTGCGTCGGTGATGTTGAGGACGTAGATACATTCCATCTCTTGATCCCTGGTGTTGGGATGACTGCCCTTTTTCTTCGTAAACCCTCACACTAGACGTCGGAATATTGGAATACAGGATAATTAGCCAACATGTTGCAGATGCCTAGTAGGCATAGATCGTCGTGATCTCAGGCTTGTCGCCAAAGTAGAAGAGCAAGTCACGAACCCCTCCATCGGCTACCCAGTAGCTGATTGACTCCACTGTAGATGCCAATTGAACCCCCTGACCCGCTACCGGCCAGCGCTCAGCACGTCCCTACAGTTCACTACCTACATTATTTCTAGCTGACCGACCTGGACTTGTTGCAATTAATTTTGATCGTAATAAGTGGACCTTGCAGTTCATATTGCTCTCGTTTCCCCGTTTGGTCTCTCTCCACGTTATCGGCATTAGCTCAAAACCAAGGCTCCAAAAACGTGCGAGCTCAATGCCCAGGTTAGAGGATAGAGTTATCAAATTGAATCCATCTTTAGTGGGGTTTTAGCAATTACTCAGCGTGTCTTAATTAAGGCTCTGTTGTCGCTGAGAAAAGATGGACAGACACCGGCACAGCCTGAATTGGGAAAATTGAATATTTGGGGCTAAAAATAGGTAGCCTCGTATGTAGCTCTGTCTAAGATCTTTGCTAATGCGATGGACCAGGCCTCTGATAGGCGGCATGGCTCGGATGGAGAACGCCAAATGGTAGTAGCGTTGATTGAAATACGAGCGGCTGAGCTGAGAAATCTCTACGCGAGCTAACTGTATTAGTATTTACTTTGCAGGCATAGGTTGGTTCCTCACCTCCCTTTCCCCTGACATACTCTCTACATCGACCGCAACATATTGAAAAAAACCGCCCAAAATGCAGCCCTTGATTATTCTATGCCTCGTACTTGGCTGGTTGGGATCCCAAGTACTGGCTGCTAATGTTCTACGCATCTTTGAGAGGCCCTTTTTCCATGGGCATCGTGCCTCTGTGTCGAAGGATCAGTGCAAGGATCTCAGGTATGTTACGTATCCCGACAACGTCCTGCTGATATGTTCGCCCCGGCCCTAATGCGCGGCAATAGCGAGTTCACATTGGGCGTTCAGTCGCTGAAGCTGCCGGATGAGGAAGGAATCGCATGCTATTTCTACGGGTATGTTCCCATCACCTTTGCTGATGAAAAAAGGTATATGTCTCTAATCTGACGGAATTGAGCAGCGAGCCTGGATGCTCTGGTGCGCCCTATCGAGCATACTCCACAAGTCGACAGGACATACAGGAATATGCCGGCTCTCTATTGTGCGTCACTTCAACATAGAAAAGGGGTGGTTGGATCTCTGGCAGAAGGGAAGCCGGAGGCTGGGGGAATGAGGCAAAAGTTTCGTCACACACCATGTACATGAAGTCTGCATATTTAGAGCTCTACACTAGCCACTTTAATACTTACAGGTATACGGCTATCTTATCTTGTCGATGTACTCATTCAATGAGAATTTTATAGCTGACAACATGAGAGATTTAATCTAACGTCTGAGAAGTCTTTGCGCTTCCATAATGGAGTCAACTACTTGTATTGTGCACCGCTAAAATTCATGTAGGTTGTGTCTAAATACCTATCTATTACTATCATTCCATGTATTAAATTAAGTTCAAGGAATAAAAACCCCATGTAGCCCATCATGAACCAGGTCCAACCACAAACCAGAATACCCAGCGCTCCGGGCATCGGTGACGAATTTGACAAACTCCGATAGCTGTCTACTCTCGCCATGCTGTCGATATCTCAGCGGCACGAAAGCCTCATCCACCTCGGATCCCGGACTTGGCTTCTCAATCATGGCCACGAGCAGCGGGAAGTCCAGCCCGAGACCTGTCGCGCAGTCTCCTTGATGTTTTGCCAGCCGTGACAAGAGCAGGATGATCTCATCGGCCATGGCACCCGCAGCCTCATCCTCTACCCCCAACGGGTATCGAAGTCGGTGGATGACTAGCAAGGCGCCGAGGCGAAAGACTTGAGCCTGCGCGACTATTTTTGTCGCCTCCAGCGGCGAGAAGGTTGTGAACAGGTCCGGTGGCCATTCCGGCACCCACGAAGAAATGCGCTCCTCAACATCCGCGTATGGGTCGTGTTCTGTGCACGGAGTGATGCCCTTGACCTTGCACTCGTGGCTTACCACGCAGAGGTCGTGAATGTATGAAAAAAGAGGCGATGATATCCCCAAGAGCCTATCCACGGTGCACATGCTTCTCGTGGGGATCTGCACAACGGGCACCTCCCGTCGAAAGAGACAATCGACCGTGTCAACAAAGACGGGCGCCAGTGTGATTGAGTCGAAAGAAGGTTCCTTGTAAAGTTGCGGGTACCATTCCTTTGTGGCAAGCAGAGTGCCCTTGGTAATTGTGCGTGTGTATGGGTTTGGTATCAACGAGTTGTAGACTAGCATGATCTGGCCCAGCATGATTACCACGGCCGCATCGCCGACACAATTGATAGAGCATGAGAGCTTAACTAGATAACGGAGACAAGATGCAGCTAGCGTCAGCTCATTGTCGCGTAGACCTGGATTTTTCTGGCCAAAGAGAGCGCACATGGTTGCATAATATGCATTCGAAAAGACTTGAGGGGCAAGGTCGTAAATAACAAGCGTTGCCGACTGGTAGAGTGACGTAAAAGTCTCTCCGAGCATGAAGAATCGATGAAATCCTTGGAAGCCAGAAACGGAGCCTATGACATGTTTGATGTTATGAGAGAGCGGGCTCTGTTGAATGGCAAACAGGCTCCTTGGTAGAGGGAAATCTTGGCTTTCTAAAGCCACATTCTGCCCGCTGCTCTTACGACTGCTTGTCGGTTTGGTGACAAGAACCATGGTATTCGTGTCTGGAGTATTTGCGGTTTCCCTGGGGCGAGTGCCGACATCAAGAATTGTGGAAGAGGCCGACTTTGCCACGGGAGGACGTCCCATCCGCTTCTTCACTCTCAACACACACTCTCTCCTCAGCTTCAGACAACGGATGCATGATTTCTCGAGGCCAGCGTAGGTGCATTTCTCTTTATATTTGTGGCATCGTTCACATGCGGCTCCCTGGCTAGCAGCGCCTGTAGCCAACGTCGCGGCGGACATGGTTCATGGGAGGTGTACCCGGCTCCTCGGAAATATCGTCAATCCAGTGAGAGGGGCTAACGGCTGCCTCGAATCGCCGATATGGCCATGTCAAAAGAGAATACTCAATTCGCGGCTGGGATCAAGGGCAAGGTGTAGGTCATGATGATCAATTCGCTATCGCGTAAAGGATTGAGACCGGTGAAGCGAAAGGAGAAGATCCTCAGATGGGTTTTGCTTAACTAATCATGGAGCTACTGATTCCATCGCTCCAATGACCCAAAGCTAGGCGGTCGTTAGCGTCAGAATCAGCATTCTACAGCATGGTTTCAGGAGGTATAAACGGCATAGACTTCAATCACTGAGTTCAATGAGAACTATTCAATCCGGTGCTACCAGACTGTTTAGAATACCAATCACTATCAACCAAAAAGTGTGAGAGTCGCTATCTGCACCCTTGGCGTTTCGCCAGCCTGTTTACGGGAATAAAAAAGAGATCCCTGGTTTTGATGATCACTTTAGAAGCTATGACGTTCATGACGCTGAATCCAACTGTCAACTTTAGGGCGCGACAATGTGTTCAACCATTATTTAAAGCCAGCCGCCTGTTGCTCTCATTCATCCTACCTAGTTACAACTTACATGCTAACTGCACACATCCAGCCCAACATCATGACTTCAACTTACAGTGATAGTACTTCCCTCAAATATGATTTTTATTATGAAAACAGCACACACACCTTTGATATCAAATGGACTTCGCTGGGCGATCCCAAATCCCCGCCAGTCATCCTAATTCACGGCACGCCCTGGTCATCCCGTGTCTGGACTCCCTTCGCCCTCTCCCTATCCCGCCAGTTCCACGTCTATCTCTTCGATAGACCTGGTTTCGGCGACTCCTCGCCAGAAAAATTACTACCCGGCACAGCAGACAGCCAGGATCCCGTAATCAAGTATGACGGGGATCTGGCCCGGCAAGCTGAGGTCTTCGCCGCACTTTTCAAATTGTGGGAGCCGCACTGGGGTGGTCGGAAACCTCATGTGGTGGCACATGACAATGCTGGCCTCGTGAGCTTGCGTGCGCACTTGCTTCACCACTGCGACTATGCAAGCCTTTGCCTACTTGACGTAGTCGCCATCGGGCCATTCGGCCAACCACTATTTCAAGCGATTGGAGAGAATCCTGCTCTATTTGAACGGCTTCCCCCAACCGCTTTCGAAGGGATCCTAGAAAGCTACATCAGAGATGCGGCCTACCACGACTTATCCAAGGAGACCATGCAGCTTTTGAAAGAGCCCTGGATCAGGGAGAGTAGTGGGAAGGCCGGATTCTTCAGAGAATTGTGCCAAGCTAACGTCAGATCCACGGAAGCTGTGGAAGGACGGTACGGAGAAGTTGGACCGAAGGTTCCGGTCAAGGTCATCTGGGGAGCCGACGATAGGTGGCTTCCGGTAGAAACCGCACACAGGCTAGGGGATGCACTCAAAGCTCAGGAGGTTGTCATAATCGAACAAGCCGGCCATCTGATCATGTATGATCAACCAGCCCAAGTTGGCGTCGAGCTCGCTAGATGGCTACTTAGTGTGAGTAGGTAGTTATTCAAAGGAGCTATGTTCAGGCAGCGCTTAAATTCACAGCGTGCGGTCGCATGAAATGAAATGTAATGCCTTTGGTAGTGAATGACCAATTGGATCAGAGGTAGCATGCAAAAACAACCCTTCTAGCCCGATATGTGCATGCAAACTTCGCTTGAATATCAAGCCTCCAGTTCCGAGAAGGCATGATAGCCGGGATATCTTCCATCATATCGAACCAGGTGTGAAACGGAAGGAAGATTTCCCTGATTCATCTTCTTTATTTGACTATAAGCTGACGTCCTTTGAATCTTCGGCCCTGCGAACATCCTTAGTAATGCCCAACTGCTTAGAAATACCGTAGAATGGCAAGAATTCGCGAAGAATGAAAAGTTAGCGTGTAGATATCCACTTCCTGGGAGCTATCCTTCCTTTTTGGGAGAGTAATACAAACATCGCTCCGAGTGGCGCTTCGTCGTGCCCAATCTATAAAACCACCTGTGTTTCCCACGGCTCACAGTTGGGGTGCCACATTAACAAGGAGAACTTCCCTTCCCTTCGTATTTTATTTACATATCATCGTTAAAAATGCGTCTCTTTATAGCTCTCCAAGCTGTCGCTTGGCATATGATTCTCGGTAGTGCGTTTTGCGGCACTGCCCTCGCAGGAGCCAGCTGGAACTCTACTCTCAGCCATTTCACAACAACTGATGGTACAACCTATGCTTACGACTTTAATCCCGCAAGTGGTTCGAACGCGACTTTCCTCCTCTTGCACGGCTACCCATCCTCCCACAAAGACTGGGAGCATCAAATTGCGGCGTTGAACGCGGCTGGCTTCGGGACCCTCGCTCCCGACATGCTGGGGTTCGGTGCTTCTGATATGCCAACGGATCCCCGCCAATATAGAGCTAAGAGACTATCTAATCATCTGGCGGAGCTCCTCAATCACAAGTCACTCGACACCGTGATCGGCGTGGGCCACGATTGGGGTTCCGTAATTCTAACTCGCCTTGCCGTCTACCACCCTGACCGGTTCGACAAGTTCGTTTTTGTCAATGTAGGCTATCAAGCGCCCGGGGGCTTCGTGGACATTGATGGCCTCAATTCCATGCTCTCAGCCGAATATGGATATACGCCTTACGGATACTGGTATTTCTTCGATCGATACGATGCTGGGACAGTCATCAAAGCTCATGTGAGTAGCCAAATCCATCCCATGATATGTGATCCAAAAATTCACTGACCCGGGTCTCCCACCCCTAGCTGGAATCATTTTGGCACCTCGTGTTCCCAGAAAATCATACTGTTTGGGTCAATCATCTTGCTCCTATCAGTGCAGCTCGAAGTTGGCTCCAGGCCGAAACAAAAACAAACGATCCGTCGTTTCTCAGCGCTGCCTACAAATCGGACTGGCTAGCGTGGATGAGCCGCCCGAATGCGACCGAGTCTGGCCTCAATTGCTACAGGTCACAGTTGAGGGGAGTAAATGATGCTGATGAGTCTACGCTCAAGACGGAAGACTGGGAACTACACGTGCCGGTGCTGGCTATTGGGGGATCTCTGGATCCGATTGGCCGAGCTGACTTGATGGTGGCATCAACCCAGCCTTGGGCTCTTGCCGGATTTGAAACCAAGACTCTTGATTCAGGACATTGGACAGCTCAAGAACTACCAGATGAAGTCAATGAGCTTCTGCTGGAATTTGCCAGAAAGGATTTGGTGCATTGAGTCGAGATTAAACTATACGTAGGCACAGCCTTGAAACAAGTCAACTCTGCAGAATTATTGTGGCAGTTAGTGACAAAATAATGGTTCCTATTCTGTAATAGTAAGCGGATAATATTTCCTAGTAAGTGCTCAATAATCTCGTACTCTTATTATTAACTATTGTCTATAAAGACCGTGGTCTGTATTGGAAAGTTGGGATTTAAACACATTTGCACTCCCTGTTATTCTGACGCCCACTTGGCATTAATCATACCTCCTCCTATATGAGCCCCAAGATAGGTCTTTCCATCAGCCCCAAATAACTGATAGCTTTTTTAAATGGACTGGCCTAAGTGATACAACAACTAGCGTCTGAGAATAATGCGTCCAAGGTGCGGATCAGGTGGGGAGGTTATAGCCGCCGATATTGTAACCGGAAACTTCTTTAAATTGCATGATTAGGACTGACCGTGGCACTTCTAGAGCCGCCAAAGATAGTGGAACCTACCTACCTTGCATATAAATACGGATTCCTGGCTCTATTATCCCTTTCTCAAACCATCTCCGCAAGTTGTTCATCAAGTATTTCATTGTGTTGAGACATCAGGTCTAGCATCTTCTATTGTTGTTTAACTTTATACTCTCTCTCTCTCCCGTTCATCAAGTATCTTGTTGCTCCTTTTACGGTACCTCATAGACGCAGAAACGACGTCTCGGCCTACTTGTTCTCATAGATGTGGAATGGAGGTCGGTTGGCACTGCGTAACTAGGCTGGGGTAAGATCGAGCAAGTAGCTCGAGAATACGTGAGGGGTAAGACGAAATCGGGCAAGTATGCAGTCATGGCTGATCCGACATAGCCAAAGCCGACATACGACATGCTGGAGGGAAAGGAGGTGAGAAGCTAAGTCTCTAACCCGTATATACATAATCGGGAGATGTCGCTTCACTGGCAACGATGCCCTTTCGCTTCCCCTGACATTTAAAATAACTCTCCCCAAGCTTTACCGCGAGTGATCTCCATTCCCAATTCCTATGGAAACGTATCCAGAAACTGAGGGATCAACTCTTGCCAGTCTTGCCGAATAATATTACCGCACCAAGCCGACGTATATTCCCAATAGTCAGGATACCATCCGGCGAATTCCCAGTCAATGATCCCAGCGACTTTGCCATCACGAACCAGGATGTTGCATGAATTAAGATCTCCATGTGTGAAGCAAGTCTTTACTCGGGGCAAGTCTTGGAGCGTGATCATACGTCTGACGTCTCTTACTCCATCTGTTTGCTCACGATTATCTAGATCTTCTAGTTTCGTACCATCCCGTAACCATAAATGAAAATCCTCCATTGTTTCAAATGGGCCAAAACGAGGCTTGGATCGAGGAATACGGGTGTCACAAAGTGAACCTCCAACGCAGCTCTCAACAGCAGTGCCTGGAGGCGGAGGTTCTAAAGATCTCATCTCATCCAGCAGGGTCCGTAGTTGTCCCAGCAGCTTCCCAAGCGCCTCTTTGGGGAGAGACCTGATACTTCTAGCAATAACCTCTCCTTTGATTCGTTCCATAACAATGTATGTGATGCCCTTGTGTACAAACGCACAATGGACCTTTGGTACTGGAAGCGAGGTTTGGGCGGCGACGAATTCCATAGTCGCTGCTTCGGTAAGATGAAATCTTTCGCCTCGCTTGACGATGAGATTCCGAGAGATGGGCACGCACAGGGCCTGCGGTCGGTAGAAATGCGCCGTCGTCTTGAGAGCCAGGCGCGTCAACATACGACGAGCCCACGTGTTGTTGATGCCCAAGTCTTCGGCGTCATCTACATGCTGGCGAGCACCCCTGTCGGCTGCAGGGACATATGGTGACATTGCGATGATTTGACGTCCATTCGTGGGTATTTTTGGGATGGTAGTGATTCGTTTGTCCGTCGAAGCGACTTTGTTTGCGCAGCGGGTAAAAGCCTGGCACTATGACTTAAGACATTACGGTATTACAGGGGATGGAGAAGCCTATTTTGGAAAACGTGCTTTTGGAAAACGGTAGCCCAGAAGGGGAACGTTTTAATTCCTTCCGTGTGAATTCAATGCCGAGGTGTCATTTGACGGCTTCGTCTGCTTGAACAACTATTTAAATCTGTTCCCAAATTAGCAGCTGTACATGTATGGTAGTTTTTCTATTTAATTCCGCTCTAGATCAAAGCTAACCGAGTTAGACACAAAAGCGTTCAAGATACCATCTACTGGCTCTTCTCAACACAGGGGGAGCAATGAGCTTGACTGACGGTCCGCCGGATATGCACAAGCTGTGTGGCATATGGCGCCAAAAGGTCCCCTTACGGCTGCTTAAGTTGACTTAGACTGGTTCCTTTCCTTAACTCGCACATTTAACACGCTAGGATCTAGGGTTTCTGCCCGGTGGAGTTTATCGTATAGAATTTGTATTGCTACTCTTTACAACATCCAGCCATATCCCTCGACATGGTGCTGAGATTCCCTAGAGAACTTTCGGTGTATTAATTCAGGATCTTCGACTTTGTAAATGCCACTCTTCATTGCAACGCCTATTCTTTCCAAGTTCCAAACAGTCTATTCATGACTATGATACAAAATCGGCTCTATTTTCAACATATGTTTTAGTCTCGACATTGAGAAACCTACTGAAGGCCAGCAGCCTCCAAAGTGAGGTTGACAACCTCGACAACCATGTGGTGGGCTTCGTCCCGCACATAGTTCTCGGAGAACTCGGTCTTGTCAGCGTCACTGGCCTTGTCCCACGGAGCGTACCAGACAGCAGAGTAGATCTCAATGCCAGAGCCCTTGGCATCGGTGAAATCGCGTACGGAGATGTGCAGAACGCCAAACGTCTGGCCAGCAGCCTCTCCAGTCACGAGCTTCTTCTCTCCCACACGCTGGAGAGCATTGGGGAAGGCAGAGTCGATCGCCCAAGCGCTTGGGTACTCGTCAGTGCCGAATGTAGGTACCTGGAAGTCGGGGACGGTGAAGTTGGTTCGCTTGGTGCCGAAGGAGGAGAGAACGCCACCCCAGCCCTCGAAGATGTTGGACGACTGGCTGAGATCGGCACGGATGTCTGATTTCTTGTAGTAGTGCTCGGCATTGGCACGAAGGTTGCCCGCATCAGCACTTGAGCTGGCCTCGAATAAGGCGAAGGCAGTGGCTGTGAGGTTGCCGTTGAAGTAGGCTTTGGCGTATTGGCGGGCGGGAATCCACTGTGTTCGGTCGGTAGTGGACTCGGCGATGACCTTGGCCCAGAAGGCGTCGGACTCGGTGATGTCGTCGGCCAAGAGGTCGAAGAAGATGTCATCTCCAGCCTCGGCGATCAGACACTCCTTGAGCTTGTACAGCTTCTCGGGCTCTGCCTCACTCTCAACGGACGTGAGGCAGGTCTTCCCGATACCCTGAGTGTTGGTCTCGGAGTTCACGGCCGACTGTATGCGTGTGTAGGCCTCCTCAGCAGCGGCCTTCTCGTAGGAAGTCTTAATGGCGGCAGTCTCGGCTGCACCATTGGCCTCCCAGCGGATTTCGTATTCGATTCCATCGTGGGTCTCGGTAGCTGCTACTGCAGTGGCAGCAGCAAGGACGGAAAGGGCAGTGAATGTCTTGCACAACATCTTGACGTTTAAGTTTTCTCTTGCCAATGGCTTGAAAGGAGAGTCAAGCTATAGAGAGCGTATTGTCCATTCATCAAACCGAGTAGGACCATTTCGCCAGTATTTATACTTGGTGACTTATACTAATCTAGAACTTCACGGTGAAAAAAAGAACACCAAGTAAGGATCTCAATCCCGGAAGCTGCATGAGCAGGTATTGTAGATGGTCCCTTGACCTACCGTACCGGGTTTTACACCCCAGGCTACTGGAAACAGCTGGTATGAATAACGCATTGACTCTAAGTCCATTCAGTTGCGGTTTCACTCTGTGGCAATTAATCAAAATAAGTTAATTCAACATTTTGCTTTCGGTTTCTACCGAATCCCGTCGTCCCTGTTGATGTTAGAGGAAAATGAGATCATACACGTAAAAGATGCATAAAAATAAAAAGGCCCGCTTCTTCTTAGCCCTTCCTTCGGTCAAGTTACTTTGATATCATAGCATAAAAGAGTTGATTCCTTCCATCCCCGGTTATGCTTCCTTTACTCAAAGCTTGAGCCTCATTGGTCATGGAACGAAGGTGCATGGAATGCAGTGCCACCCCCTGTGAAAAGTTCCTGGTGGCGGAAATTAAAACAAACTGCTCATGCTACGTTGATACATGGTAGCTTTCTAGTCCCCAACCTGAGGTTTCATCGTAGACTGACCAACAAATCCTTTGTATGTTATGAGTTCCATATGTAGCCGGGGGCAAAGCGCGATCCCGGCATTTGGGTGTCCATCGGTAGTCCCAATCCCTGAAGATATGCTTAGAATCGGCAGATAATTCTCCTTAGCTGCTTTACGACCTTGCCCGCCTCCCAGTGGCAATTATGTGCCACCTTACCCCGACACACAGTCATGATGGCAAGCTTAGGATCAAACACTTGTACTGCCTATTGCGGACGTACCATGCATTCGAAACTGGAGGAATATATTTATGAGCAGCCTTTGGACAAGTACCGGCTAGGAATCGAGCCGGAGCCACCGGCTGAGCGTATTGCGTAACGGGGAGTGCCAGAGCGCGATCATAAGTACCCCTGAGACGAACTTCATGGGATGTACACATTACGTTACATTCGGGCCTTGGACTGTCCGCAAATTAGTAGTTTTTAAACATTATTATAAGCCTTCCGTAAACTCCGGCGCAGTTCTCCTTTTATGTCCTGCCTTCCAACGGAAGTTATTAAAGATTTGATGCTCTATTACTAAGGAAGGTCTAGTCCTCGTTTGTTCATTCAATTGGCGATGATTTGGTGATGAAAAGGTTGGTCCTGTGTGTTTTCCTTTATCTGATGATCTGACGCGTCACAAAACAAAATAGGCTGCCAAGGTGGCAGCCTTGCAAGGTTCTCGAACAAGACTGCCGAAGTGCCGAGGGCTCTCCCCTTTTTCCACTTCTATTACCCTGTATCTAGTTTGACGCGGAGCCCCAATCAGCAACAGCATCTCCCACATGGTGCAGAGAAAAGGTTATCAAATGTTCCCTTTGCTGGGCCGTCGGAAGGGAATTATTTACATGCAGATAGTGCTGGAAGTTTTCTTGTGCTGCCTTCAACGCGGCTGACTGTACACAATGAGCAACTTTTTTCATCACACTCATAAGCTTTTAAAACACTCCAGCTGATCAAGGCAATCGTGACGTCTTGACAATTCGGCCCGGCAACAACTGTAGAGTAAAGAGAGGCAAGCCATTATAAAGAAGAAAAAAGAGGACGGAATTGCATATGCAGTGTATTTTTTTTGGAAAAGCCAAGTAAGTATATTTAGCAGGGTGGATTCTGCCAAACCATGCCAAGCACCCGAGTCAACCGGGAAACAGTCAATAGATTACGGAAGTGTGTCATGCCCCTCGGGGAAGGGATAAATCTACTGATCATCTGGAACGGGAAACACCAAGCCTCTCGGCTGCTAACCGGATCGCAGTGAATGAATCTGATAAGCTGATTACATTGTGGGTGGTGATCGTGATCCGGCGGCGTGTGAAATGTCTTAGCATGTTAGTGGATGGCCGAGAAATTTCAATTTCAGTGTGTCCCTGATACAATCGCATCAGCACCATCGCTTCAGCCTTTTCGTATGGTAGTTCTCACATTTACATGTCGAGTCGCTCCCTCTACTCGCTTGGTATGGCCAGAAACGGGCCTGCTATCTTCGCCCGGTGCAATCGTTGGAGCATCCCGATCTACGTGCTTGGGGGGAGCATCCTCTCTGGCCTCCTTGCATATCTTGATATATCTAATGGATCCAGGCAGATCTTTAATTGCTTATTAATTTGACTAACATAGCCGTGTTTACTTCCTAGGTAAGTCGTATTATCATCGTCCTGCGATGTCGATTCTAGCCACGGCTTCAGCTTTATGCAGCCTGAATTTGCACCTTTTTCTTCTCTGCACGCTTCTTCTCAGCAGGTTCTCGGTATCCTTGACCGGAAATTGGTCTGTTTCTTCCTTTCTGACCTCTTACATTGGATTCCCCATTTTCTTTTCATCTACGCCACCTGTCGGATTCTTAACCGGAGTAAACCTTGACTTATTGATCCTGCAATGTTGGCTTGCGCAAGGACCCATATGCTATTCTGGCCCTTGAAACTAGTGACGCGGAAAATGAGGCTTATTTAAATTATCGACGGGTTCGTAAGTGGCTGGCCAAGCTGGCCATTTAGGAAAAGGTGCAATTTAATCGAACTGCTGTATGGTCTTGCATCAATTTGTCTCTTCATCTTTCTGAGGTGTTTCCATTGGCTGTAAGTATTTTAGATATAACTTTGGGAGTAGCCTATAGCCTATCATTATACTCGTAAAAGACCATCGAGGAAGTACTTGTGTGTGGCTTTTGTGCAGTGCTTCTCTTAGCAGAGGAGAAGAATCATCGAATGGGGGATCTATCTGGTTTAATAGTCGTGCCTACCTATCTATACATGTTGTTACAAGGGTAGATTTGGCCTTGAATGATAGCAATCAAGGGTATGTAGACGCATATTTTCGGTTCTCCCTGGAGTGTTGGCTGAGCTATTTAATAATTTCTACCAAACATGGTCAACTTCAAGGCCATTTGCTTAAACACTTGGTTGAGTGACCCAAGCCTCCTGGCTGTTCAAAGGAAATACATAGGCTCTTCGTCCCTATATTCGGGGGCCGCCTTTCCTCTGGAACATGAGACATATCTTGTCGCGTTGTAAGCTCTTTGGTCCTCTGCTCGCAATGCTTTTCTAGGCAAAATGGTATCAGCAAGACGTTTTTCTCATCTAGGGCTGGGAGAACATCCTCTCACTTGTAGATTTGGATACGATGCTGTCGATATGATGCACCGGCACGATCATACATACCATTTTGGATCTGCTCCAATGGCTCCGGGATTTCGGCTGAGATATTCTCAATTGCGATTGTACCCTTTTCGCCGGTATCCCTCCGACAGTGGCTGATTACGCCCCCTGCAGCATCTCGTAGACCGAATTCAACCCTCAAAGGGGCCCCTTGAGTTCCCAGGTATTGAACTTCCAGGTAGGAGTGTAGCCGTCCCAGTCATCCACCCACACTTGCACACCGGCAAGCTTCAGCTTCTTGGCTATGTCTTCTATCTGACCCATGAACATCTGCTTCTCCTTAGGACTAGTTGACTTCTTTACACCAACGGGGACAATAACTGTCTGAATTTGAGCTCCTCGAGTAGGAAGCCCAAGTCCTTGATCATCGCCATGAATCATCACCATGACCCCTAGAACGCGGCTGGAAAAGGCCCATGAGTTTTGCCAGACATGGATATGGCCACTAGCTGTCGGGTCTTCAACAGAAATATCAAACATCTTGCTAAAATTCTGCCCGAGACAATGGGATGTGGCAACAAGATGGCCACTCTCGACCCTGGCGCAATGTTTTTAACGGCTAAGGCATAGCCGTTAAATTTTAACCACTCGCTATATAGGTACGTCAAACAATTTAAAATATCATAATAACTTAAATTCAAAAGATAAAAAAAAACTTTATTACATCTTAGGTTTCTTAAATGACTCCTTAGCTAGCCCGGCAGTAAGAGTTACTGCTTGTTGCCTCTTTTTCCTTCTCTGTGATTTCACACTCTGAGTCGCATCTAAGTCTCCATCAATCCCTGGCCAGTATGTCTTCCACAATTCGCTTCTCTGCGACAAGTATTTGTCCCGTATTGGATCAGCGAACTCTCCAGGAAAAGAACCGTGAACGGCTTTCCAAACGTAGTTCTTCATCAGAGTCTCTTCCGAAACCTTTGACAGCAGCTTGTCCGCCACAGCAGCTAGGAGTCGCAGGTTGTGTTCTCCCGGTATTTTCTTATCTTTGGCTTCTAGCCTCTCAAAGAACTCCTCCAGTATGGTCTCCTTGATAGTCGGGCGAAGCTGGCCACCCTGTAAGGTCCCGAAAGATGCCAGCTCTGAATTAGCCCCAGCATTAAGAAAGTCATCAAGAACCTGAAGATAGCGTTCGGCATCTAGTCCCCACGGCATCTGGAATGAAACAAGAACCATGTCTCTCCAGACCGAGGAGTATGTTGACTTTTCGTTCGTCGTGAGCTCCCGCCCGAGTCGCCAGACTAAGGCATTCGGATCGGCCTTGTGCCTCAGGAATAGTGACAAAAGACCACTCCGCAGCGTTGGAATGAACTTCGGCCCTACCTCTCCAACTAAGCTGGGAATAATCCAGGAAGCAAGCATGCCCCAGGCTGACATCCTGGTAAGTCGTCGACCACGGGACTTCGTATAGATCTCAAATTGGTCGTTGGGATCTTCTCCGTTGGCTAGTAGTAGCTCTAACGTCTTGATGCATTTCTCAGTCCAAGGTAGCGGTTCCTTGTCTGCCCAGAGCTCTGAATGGATGGTTATAGCCAAGGGCGTTGTCTCAAACTCGCCGAAATAGTCAAGTTCTCCAATCTTGTGCGACAGATATTTCAGGAGTTTGATCTTAATGACGTGCTCTCTGAAGAATAGTTGTGCACCGTTAGAATTGAAGCCTTCGGAGATGGGAAATGCCCTGCCTTTCGCGCTCTGATCTAGGGTGCAAACTGCGGTTTCAATGGTGTCGAGGAGTTCAGTCTCGGCTTGAGTGTGGTCCGAATCCACCTCGGTCTCATCCTCCAACTCACAAGCATATTCCATGGCCTCTCTTATCCGTGATATCAAGGGAACATCGTTATAATTGCCAGGGCCTATGCGTAATATTTCCTTGTCACATGGTGTGGCCTTGATCCACGCCGTATAAGCTCTGAGAATCGACAGGTTCGCATTGAAACCCGCCCTGTTCTTCAATCGAAGAAATTCGGACATCTCTGCTGTTCTGAGAAAGTCCATCACCGTGCGATGAAGGAAGTCCACCCGGCCTCCCTTCACCTCCAACAATCCTCTGCACCAACCATTCAGGCGTCGTTTAGTCTGTTTATACTGAAATTTCGATTCTTGGTCGCTTTGGGTTTTCACCGATATTTTCAAGGCATAGTCCACAGAGTCATACTCACAGTCGTGAAAGTGGTAGATTGAGGCGTTCAATGGAGACTTGGCCTTGATTGCAATGGCTAGGACACCGCTCATTTTCTCGTGATAGAATGACTCCACCGTCCCTAGCATGTGCTTGAAGAACGGCACCAAGTCTGATGGGAAACTCTCTAGTCGCCGGCGTAGGTCGGAAAAGCTGTCACCATTCGTCAATCCTTCCCGCAAGAGTTTGGTCACCAAGAATACCCAGAGAAATACGCCATGTGCCCTTTTTGTAACCTGAGCTATGAGAGAGTTGGCACCAGTCACTTCTGACTCTAGGGTTGTCCATCTCGGATGCCGGAACAATCTGAACTCTGTGTAGCTCCGGATATCGTCATTGGTTAGCTCGTGAATATAAAGCCTCCTAGTTGGGTCATTTGCGAAGCTGTCTTCAAACACATTCCACCGTCGGCTTGAAATACACAGCTTGATATTGAGGGACTGGGAGAGGTCTTTAAGATCCTGGCAGAGATCCAGGTGTTCTCCTTTAAACTCATCCAGGCCGTCGACGAAGAAGCAGAACTTCCCAGGCATATTCGTCTGATCGGCGACATCCTTCAAAACAACCCGTAACTCAGGTAAGCTCCAAGGTTGCGACAAGCTAGCAGGGTCCGTCTCCGACCAGCGCCGGGAGCAGGCTACTTCCAGCAAATTCGGGCACTGACGAAATATGTCATAGAGTAGCGTTTGTAGAAGACCCTGCTGGGATCTCTGCATGGCAGTACCCGCGCTCCAGAAGTAGTGGCTGGCGACATAGGTGGGTTTCGGGTAAGACCAAGTCGATAGAATGTGAGCGGTGCGGTGATGATCGGCGACGAACTTCATGAGTGTAGACTTGCCGGAACCTGGCTTGCCAGACACCCAGAAGATACCGTTGCCACGCTTCAGCCAATCTAAAAAGTTGCCTTCACAGACCCCATCCTCCTTGAACATCCATTCGAAGGTTGTCCTGTGAGCATCTGTGATATCGGCATGTCTGGCAGTGCGGCGCTCAAAAGTTAAGCCCCGGAGTATTGACTGCTGCTTGTTGATATCCTCCTCAGTGATAGTCAGAGACGACAGTTGTTTCTCGATTTCACCAATGTTCATAGGCGAAAACGGAGATTTCTCAGGCTGTTTCAACGTGACCCGAACCCTTTCTTCTATTTGTTTCAGGACATCCTGAATCTCTTCTAACCTGCATGTGTGGTCGACTCTCAGCCGCTCACTTTCCGTCTGCATCTGTCTCAGGGTTCGTTCGTGCATGGCGTGGTAATGGCTACCAGAAAGGTTGAGTGCGAGTTCTCTCACAAGAAACATTGAATGTTCAACATACCTTGAAATTGTACAAATCTGGAGCGTCAGAGTTGTCTGTGTCTTCTCCAGCCGGTCTTCCAGCTTGGCAATTTCTCCATTTTTCCAGTGCGCTTTCAGCGCTGCCCGGAAGCTTTTCCATTTGCTCCTGGAGCCGTCTTCGACCTTGAGTGATGCGACGATACCGAGCAATTGTGCGCAGTCTGCCTTGCAAACCCTGGATAGCTCGGCTATCGTTTCAACCTGTCTCATGCACTGGCCACCATCAAAAACTATAGCGTGCGCTGGCGTATCCAAGGCCATGCTCAACTCGTGTAGTCTGCCATATATTGCTTCAATAGTCGAGCCGTCGCTGCTGAGACCACTTGAGGAGCGGTATATCTCCGTGCCCTGTGAGATCAAGGTCGATGTGAACATTACAAATTGGGCGACTGAGGCCGCAAGCCCGAAAGCCGATACGGGGTCCATTTTCGTTGACAGAATGGCAAAATAGGGAACAACCCATTATGAATGGCAGGCTGGAAGCATTTTTGCCATATGAAATGTCGTAGATAAGATGGTCGGTTGTCGCCGTGATTTCGACCTAAGATATTTATAGCTGAAGAGAGGCTGGCCGGTATTTATCCGGCGTGTACGTAAGCAATGCAAATTAGCCCCTCTAGAGAGGGGGTGACACAGACTGTATCTTTAATGTAATTATATCTAAGATCTTAAAAAAATTCTAATTAATTAATTATATAGAATTTAATTTAATATAAAATATTAATAATATCCTTATTTTTTAAGCTTTATATATATATATTTATATAATATAATAGATTTTTATATAATTAATTATCTAATTTATAAGTTTTAAGAAAAATTAAATAATCTAATATAAAAATTAAAGAATTTCTTTTCTATAATTAGAAATATATATTATAATACTTAAATCTTAAGAAATCTTTTAATATAATTTTTATATTTATAAGTCTTATAATTAAAGAGTTCTCTATATAAATAAAAGGTTAAAAATTAAAAATTAAAATAATTAAAGTCAAGATGAAGAATCCCGATATCTCTTGATAGTATTCAACCATTTCCGCCTTCAGAACCACCTCCTGGTACCATTGCGAAAAGCTTTCATTCTTAGACACCGTGATGCCGAAAGTTTCGTCCGGCCTCTTTTGATCCTCTTGCTTCTGACTCTATTTTCGTTTCTGTTAACTCTATATACTTTTTATTCCAGTATTTAAGCAAGATTCAGTCAGACGTACCATTGTATAGGATCATGCGAATATAGAGATGGATGTTAAAGGGGAGAAAGGGCAGAGGGGGAGGAATGGGAGAGGTTGGGGGCTCGAAGCACACAGCCTTTGGCCAGTTCGAAATGTGCACAACTTTCGGATAATATCCGAAAATAATAATGCCCTTACCGTGCGAGATCTGAAAAGCTTTTGCACGCCTTTGGAATGATATAATTGTGTTATGATCTACGCCCTAATCGGATGATAGCTATCTGAGTGCTGACACTTTCCCGGGGGAAAATCCAAACTGCCGCCGCAAGCTGTGGATGCAAGATATAAGACTCATTAGGCTTTTACATACCTAGAGGGATACTAATTTCAACAGCAGCCTACTCGAGGCCTGTAGAAAATACTTGCAAGCTAGTGTAGGGTCTTGGGATTGAGTGCGCCCTTCGAGCAAGTCCAACGGTCGCAGATATCGAGCCCGCCGCGTTATAGCCCCAGTATTACGCACCTTCTATTAACAGATTCCGAACTCACCGAGAAATGGGGCCAAGATCTTGAACAACTTGTTGATAAAAGTCGTTATCTCAGACGATATTTATATGACTCGTTGCTGGATCAAGGTACGTGGGGAAAAGCTGTCATGAATGCGTAAATAATATGGCATGGCTAAGAGGCTAATAGCAACACCGGGCCAAAGGAACTTCATCACCCGCCAGAAGGGGCTATTCGGATGTCTCGGGCTATCCAGGGCGGCTGTCAAAGAGTTGAGGGGTGCGTATGACGGCCCCGGTTCCATCTCTGGTATGCTCAAGAATGGCTAACACGTAGCAGAAACGTATCATATCTACATGGCTGACAATTCTCGAATTTCTGTGGCGGAACTTAAAGAAGAAAATGCCATGTATGTGGCAATCGCTATGGCGGATTGTGTAAGAACTGAGCTTCTGGACGATTTCTAGATAGAAATATAGATCCTAATGCATTTATTAGCTGTGCTACGTTTCATCGAACTATAACTAGGACGTGGGCTAGGTAAGTGAATCCCTCAGTCAAGGATACCTATTAGCGCTCCTCGCCATGCATACATGTAGATACGTATCTAGTTTCTGGAAATTTATCATCTATTCCTTCATATGAAGCATCCTAGCCAGTCTATTATAACGCTCCTCGAATACTTTTTCAGGTTACAAATACTCTTGCCTTAGGGAATTAGCTATTCGCAGTGACCAAATGAAGGCGTTCTAGAGGTTAGCTCAGCGAGCCTGTCTCTTTACTCATTCTATTATTTGAACGCAACTTACCGACATAATGATTTATTGTGTCTGATCCTAGACCTTTGCGCCTATCTGATTACCTAAGAGAAAGAGAATAAAGTTCAACAGCAATGGAAGCTGCCAGAGCCCGACAACTCAACACAATGAATAACGCCTATCTGATTACAGTGGTTTTAAAAACATGTTTCAATATTTATTAAATGCGGGTTATATAAAGGGAATTATGAGATTTCAGAGGTCTAGACACTAGAAGAATCAACAGATCGGCAATCCGTAATGTTGAGAAAGTACATTTTCCTCCGGGGTCTGGTTCCTCTTTGACTTCCCAATCTAAAATCGCCCTGGGCAGGAGTGGAATGCGGACCTACCAGACCTTAGCATAACCTTAGCTCGAGACTTATTCGCATCGAGTTTTGGTCCCGGAATTATGCTATGGGGCTTGCCAAGAGTCTTCCCACAAGGCTCAGTGCAAGGCACTTCGAGCCTGGCAATTCGTAAGGAAATGAGTAGCAAACTGACTAGGGTAGAAGACATCAAGCAATTGTATTGAGTACGTTAGACGTTTCAGAGGGAGGCCACAATCTCCAACATCCTGTTTGCCGTATGCTCCATCCTCTACTTTCGACAAGCAAACTTGAAACTACTCTAGTGTGGAATGGAGTCCCCGAGTGAAGATAGGACGTGATTCGACGAGGAAGCCTATCAACGAGAGATAATGTAGGCTTCTGAAGTATGTACAACTTGTTGAGATACCAAGACTAGGCCCTGAAAAAACATCATACCATGGCAAACGCAAGAGCTCCAAAGTCCCCAAGTAAAATCTACTGTGGAGTTTACTGTTATTATTAGCGAAATAATAGCGTGGGATCGATGAATTGCCGCAATCCTGCCCCTGGTATAGGTATTTGCCGGAGTCAGGGGTAGTGCTTTGTCAGCCCCGGTCAAGGGGAGGCACGAATCAAGGATTCACGACCTCCTCCGCAGATAAAAGCACAGCCCCAACAGAGGCCATGGTGCTCAACAACCCCAACATCTCACCCCCGCCATGGCCGGCCCCAGATCGAGAGGTTGTAGGTTATGCAAGATCCGAAAGATAAAGGTACCTATCTGATCACCCGTCTTACATACGCCCTGTATAGCTCACTGACCCAATGCCTAGTGCGACGAAAAGTGGCCGGTATGTTCGCCCTGCCATCGTCAGAACCTGGCCTGTCCCGGGCAAGCGCCTTGGGTCTCAGTCAAGGGAAAACCGACGGAGCCTCGTAGTTCTGAAGCGGCAATGCGTCCTGGGTCCAGTGTGCCCCGACCTCCACCCTCTACCGCTGGAGATCGCGTCGCTTCGCAGCTGGTCAGCCACCTGAATGCGGGTGCGAACCGTGGAAGGGCCATCCAGGCGAGGTATCTCAAGGAGATGCCCAAACGCGTTTGTGTGCACCAGAGTCTGCGCGACTCAGTCAGTCTGTTCTATGTCGTCTTGACCAACTTTCTCCTCCAAAAGCCAGCGGTCGATTTCACTGGCCTTGCCGAATATGGTAGGGCCATCAAAAGCCTGCGTCAGGTTCTAGCGAGCAATGAAGCCCGCACCCCGGAGACACTGGCGTCTGTGACGGTTCTTCATCTGGTGGAAGAGCTGTTCAATCCTAGCCAACGTAGAATGCTGCATGCAAGCGGCATGACGAGTCTTGTTACCGCGATCGGCCCGCCGAAGCCCAACGACAAGTTTTATATCTCTATTTTGAGTGAAGTATATAATTTCCTTGTATGGTAAACCCCCACGTTCGCTTTGTTTCTCCTGTTTACCCCATTGCAACTAGCTAGGTTGTGGACATGCGCTACCGTTGGTTCAAAACGCGAGAAGGGTGGAGAGGATTTCCCGTGACTTAGATCTATACCCCATGAGTATTATCTGGAGTTAGAGATGCGAGAAATAGAGAAGCTGATCGATAGAGTAACTCATATAGATTACACATGCCATCACGAGGGGCTGGAAGGATAACCTGAACAAGGATTCGTGGAGAGATCCCATGGGGATCACCTGGTCCAAGTCTAACGTGGACAAGGAACTTACTGAATCAATGCTTCCGGTCCTGCACGCATGTGCACATGCTTCTGATAGGACACCGGTATATGTTCGCGGCTGTCAGGCTCTTTGGAAACCCTCCGCGGGCAAATACCTCGAGATGAGCAATGCAGAGCTAGGCAAGGAAATCCTAGAGACGGCTGAGAACATCGATACATTACTTGCAGCGATGGTGAGCAAGTGTATTGAACGAGGAGACATTGTTGAGGAGGAAGACCCTCACTCACTTTCAGGGACAAGCTACAGATTCTCCAGTCCGTTTCTGGCTTACACCTTGCTTCATGCACACTGCTCTCATGTCTTCCTATCCCAGATGCGTTATCACTGGAGCCTATTCCACAACTGGCCTGTTGCGGATACACACTACGCCAAGCTCAAAGATCTTTGTGTCCACATTTGGAAGTATCTTAGATTTCTGCGCCGCCTTGAGCCATCCGTGGCCGCCGTTACTCCTCGGGGGGTATATTTGACACTGGAGCTAGCAGACGAAACCCAGAGAGAGAATCTCATGGATGAATTTACAGAGTTAGATCGAGCATTGGGTAAGATTCTCACTCCGCGAGCGGTAATGGTGGGAGAGATCCTATTTTTTGCGAAGCTTTGGACGGGTCGCAGGCCTTAGAATAATTTTCGAATAATTTTCAAATACAACCACAACTCAATTCACTTTGAGGAGAAATAATCCACCTGTGAGAAACTTGCCAAAATGGGACTTGAATTTTGCCCTGGCAGTTTCCATACTGTAATAAATGTATGAGTTCTGGCCAGGATGAAAATCCGCCGTTGCTACGCTTATAGAATCATGTCATTAGAAGGCTGTTCAAGCTAGGATAAATTACTGCGAAGGATCAGGAAGGATGAATCCGTGGCCCGATGCCATCCTACCATCCGGCGTTTGTTATCATTGGAAATCTGGGTGTTTGAAGGCCGTTTGGTGTTAAAAAGTAGTACAGTTCTGTCGCCTGAGCCAAAAGCCCCATCAGCACCATGGGTTCCGAAATATAACATGTTGACACAGACAAGACATCTGGGCAGCGCGATGGACAGATCACTCCTGCGCGCCATGTCCCGAAGCAGTCCCCGCAGCATTTCGGCGGAGTGCAGTATAGTGATGACTCCCGTATTTGGCGAACAATCCAACCGCACGAGGACATGATACGATATGGTGCAAAAACAAATCTGATGGGGAAGTACTGGGTCAATGAGAGGACAGGGAAAGCCCGGTCGATGTGGAGGGAGGGTGCTGGGACACGCAGGGCGGGCGGCAGCCCAGGAACTTTGTGGCATATACGGAAGCTAGAGAGAGTCTTAAACGCTATAAAGAAGGGAAAGCAGTTCTGGCAATAGAGGAAAGAAGAAGATTACTTGAACCCAAGTTCCAAAACCAAAGATAAACACGAATGGTCTCAAACGTGTTGGCTACGTCGAGGTAGCAATAGCTTAGTTCAAACATTCCAAATCCTTAGCCCTATCAAGCTCCTTGACTGGGGCTATCTTAGCGTAGGTAGCTAATACGTTTTGGATCACTCTTGTTTATCTTAGGTTTCGGAACTTGGGTCCAAGTAATCTTCGTCTTTCCTCCACATTGCAATATGCGGGGAGCGTGATCTTCCTTGAGGATATTAGGTCACTGCGTTCCTTGAAGGGGAAACTGTTTCACATTCCTGATTCAACAGGTTGATAAGGTTGACTCCGACGGCTGAAATGAATGGTTCGTGATCCCGCCTATTGCTTTAGTTTGTTTATCCATCAAAGGTTGCTGTGGGAGGTAGCTTTGTGAATGCAGCTGCGAAGGTTTGGGAGCGAACCTTCGCTAAAGCTCTCGTGATAGCTCTTTGTTTTTTTTTACAACGTATCAAGATGGACGTAAGTAAACCTAAAATGCTTCCTTCTAGCTGTTTGGGTCACCCTAGCCTTTATTTTCTCCCCTCACACATGGGGATCGTAATATTTATGAATCGAAGTAGTTAACACGGTGATATGGCTATCTGAGTGTATAGCAGAGACATTTACTCACCATGAATCATGACTGCACACAACGCTGGCCGGTAATTGTATGGAATGGCTTAGCCCTTGGCCTTCCCTTGTTCGTCTATTTGTTTGTTTGTTGCGGTGTGGAGGCGGTCTGGACGGTCATGGGCCACTCGATGCTGTGGAACTTCATCGTCTTCTAGGATACTGGGGATAGACATTATTGGGCGATTACGATCATTCATTCCGACACGGATACATGGCTTTAAAATATTTTGTAGGGGAAAATGTCGTGATGGTGTGAGCATTGCGTTGTAATAGTATCGAAAGCCTGGCTTAGAATACAGGACCAGGCATTGTTTGCACTTGCCAGCCCTTCAAACGCACGGGGATTCGGCATTGACTTGTGTTCCATTCGTGTATCAAGCAGCGCTAGTGTGAGGCCATGATAACGATGGTGAGACAACGTGATGTGGCTGATGCTGCTCAGTGATATGTCGTCATATGTTGAACACCAGTATCGAATCAGAATAAACAAGAACCTAGAGAAACACAGCACTAATAGACTATACATGACCTTGATCTTCCTCATTGCCCAAAGAGGGCCGACGAGAGATGCTGTCTCCCGCGGAGCAGCATGATTACTCCGAACCCACGACCGAGAGGTGTTCGGAATGTGATGCACAACGATAACGATCCCTGTCGTCCATGTCAGACCGCCTGACGGAATGGCTTGTAAGGCGTCCGCCCGCATCACCAATAGCGACCTTTTGTCCAGGCTAGGCAGCAATCCTCGTAAAACGATGATTCAAGTCCCGTGACACGTCTAATCGCCGTGAGTTTGTCTTAGGCTCCTGCCAACCCCGCTTCACCTTCCTCGTGCTCCCATCATCACAATTGTGCCGTCCTCCTCTGCACTGCCTCAAACACGCATCGACGCTGGGCAATATTTTGCATCCGTCTTCCACTGCAGAATTGGCTGGGCGCACTCCAGGCTCGCTTTCTACCTACTGCAACCCCCAATCCACGATCGATTGAACCAGTACCCCGGCCCAACCATGCAGATCCAAGTCCCACCTGCCGTTGACCAGCAGACCAAGGTCTACGATTGCAAGACCTGCGAGAATCCTCTGGCCCTCGAGCGTAGCCGTATCGCAAGAGTGAGCACATCTACCTCCCCCTAGCTGCTGCACAGGTATCAACCTCTTGGGCCCGCTGCGAATCTAGGCTAAACGTCTTCCTCCCACAGCACAACAAGTATCAAGGACGCGATGGCCCAGCCTTCCTATTCAAAGAGACGAGCAACATCCACGCCAGCCCCCCGTTCGAGATGGAGATGACGACTGGCCGGCACACGGTCCGCAATATCTCGTGCGCAAAGTGCGACGCCTTGGTCGGCTGGATGTACCTCAACGCCCCCCGCGCCTCGGAGCAATACAAGGTGGGCAACTACATGCTCGAGAAGGAGTTGCTGTGCGAAGGGGTTGAGGGCCAGCACGAGGCGGAATCACCGCTCTAGGGGAAAAAGAAGAAATTCTCCTGTAATTTTGATGAGACACACTCTATAGCCGCTGCGCTACCGCTATGCTCCAAGAAATGATTACCAAGGCCTTTTGTTATGAACGATGCACCCCGTGATATTCCCGCTATGCCTTTTCACGCTCGCTCTTCTCCCTGCGAGCCGCCACCGCTTTGCAGTACTGCTTAGTAGACAACAGATGAAACCAGAACAGCGACACCCACACGAGGAAGATGAGGAAGATCGCCCCCAGCACGATGGAAATAGACAGCAGAGAAAACCCATACGAGAACCCCTGGAAGCTCTCGTCCTTGCCCAGCCTGTCCGTCGCCAGCGCCACCTGCATCGCCGACAGGACGACGCTGAGGTAGACGAAGACGGCCAGCATCCAGCCAAAGTTGCTCTCGAAGAAGGCCGTGTACCGTGTCGAGCCGGACATGAAGCCGTGGACCAGCTTGTGCAGCGACCAGCCCGCGTAGCCGAAGCGGTAGAGCGAGTTGAGGCGGGATATGCGCAGGTCGCCGTAGGCGTAGCGGCGGTCGACGCGCGTCTGCAGGTCGGGGTCGCCGATGTACGACATGAAGGCGCCCATGAACCGCAGCCAGGCCTCCCACGTGATGGATTCGGGGACGAGGGACTCCTTCTGGGCTATCTTGAGGTCGCTGCGGTGGCCGATGAGCCATGCGTACGAGAGCAGGAGGCCGCACGCGCTCTTGTGCAGATCGAGGTTCTTGCACAGTTCATTTTTCCAAAATTCATAGTCCAATAGGAACTCGGGCAGCGGCTTGATGAAGACGGATGTGTTGTTGTATGAGTGGTGCCAGGTCAGATGCTCGTTTGGATCCTCGGAGATGAGAATTCTCCGGCCGAACGAGACCTGGCGATGGAGAGCGTGCGCAGGCCTGGGCAGTCCGGCCAGCCACAGGTGTTGGTGGATGTCATCCAGGCGGCGGGTGCGGAGCTCACAGGAGAGGAAATCCTCGATGCTGTCCTTCGTGTACTGCAGCGGCTGGCCCCTGGCCCTGAAGGTGGTTGGGAGCCTGTCGATGCTGGAGGACTGGAGGGCTACGGCGGAGGAGAAGGGCACCGCCAGGGGGTCGGGCGGCATGAGGTCAGTTGGGACACGAGCGACACGGACTTGGCGTTTGATGTCTCATGGGGCCGGGAAGCGTTGGGTGGATGGATGGATTTTGTTACATTGAAGCCTCAAGCGGGGGACCGTGCGATGGTTAAAAATTAAAATCAGATGAAGAGCTGAGCGGGGCGCAGTTCTGGTCGCACGTGTGCGGTGAGGCATGAGGCAGATTGCAGGACGCTTCTGCGGCTGTACTACTGCACAATGGTGCGGTGCAGTCCCTGGTCGTCATCTCGTCCAATGCCTTCAATATAGGTACCTGACGAGATGCAATTTTAGGAGCTGAGGCCATATATTGGATGGCTGAACTGGGCGCACGCTATATAAAGACGGGACAGTACTGTTATTTAGCAGTGTTTAGCGGGTGGATGGCCCCTAATTCGCACCGTCGCGGGCCGCCTTATAGCGGTGGTTCGCTCCCCTTGTTTCTCAGGCGAAATTCTCGTTGAATATTTGTTTGTTTCATTCCAGTCTGCCTACATGTAGGTACGCTTGAATGCTATCAGAACGACCTAGGTAAGGTAAGGTAGTTACAGATATATAATGACAGCCTCGCTGGCTGGCACTTTGATGACAGCGCCGCCATTCTCAACAACCACCTCCTCCGTATCATTCCGGATGCCCTTGACCTCCTCTCCCAGGCTCTCAAACGTCCATTGACTACCGGCGTAAGTGACGGTCTCTGCGCCGGCACCAGCACCGTCCGGACTGCTCAGATGAGCAACCATCAATAAATCATCCTCCAAGGCGAGATCAAGGCTAATTGATGCCACTGGTCGATCAAAGTTTGACGATGTTCTGTTCCAGTAACCCAAGTTCGCGACGGCAATGCGCTTCGCAACCCCATCCTCAAACGCAGCATAAGCAGCAAGGTTGGGTACCGACTCTCCATTCACCACATCGAGCTTCGACACCCTCGTCTTTCCCGATGATCCGACAAAGTCTGCCAAGAAGGGCTGCGAATAGTAGTTGGAGAAAACCTGGGCTGGCAGGCCGCCGCTCGCGTGGGGCAGCCAGAGGTCGAACCCGGAATGCATGATTTGCTGGTAGTTGAAGCGCGAGACCCCAATCGACAGAGAGTACAGGTAGAAATCGACAGCCCACAGCGCGCTGCCGAGGCGGGCCTGGTACTGGTATGAGTTGGTCGCTTTCAACGAGTTGCCAATCTCGTTGATGATGAACGGCACATCTGGGCGGTTCTGCTTGAGCCAGTTGATGTGCCGCTTGAGGTAATCCAGGTTCGTGTGAGTCAAGCTCATGGTCATGAGGCCGGATTCCAAGTCTTCCGCCTCCCCTGCATGGTTCTGGTAATAATGGTGTGCGACTTCCTTGACGATGTTGTCGGCATCGATCCCCAGACCAAAACCAGTCTCGACGTCGAGAATCCACTGCGACACCCAGGGAGTATCCACATGAGCCGCGACATCAAAGGTTGTAAAGAAGTGATCTGGGAGGTCGATGACGTCCCGAATGGCGGCGGCGTACTTGGTGTAATTTCCAATATACGTTTCGTTGTTTAGCTTTCCTTGGAAGTCGGGTGGCCCGAGAAACATGCCGCCTTCACCTGTAAAGTCATCTCTATACAGGTCGGGTTCGTTGCCGACTTGGATAGAATGAATCTGATCGATTCCAATACCCTCGACGGCGGCTTGGGCCCAGGCAACGGTCTCACTGATATTTGTTGTCGCCAGCGGCACCTGAACCATGTATTTGGCATCTGGAAACAACTTTGCGATAGGCCAGTAGCTGGGACCAATGGTTGTCCCCCCGATGTCCTGGTAGTTGTCCTGCTCGGATACGGGAAGGGCAGGTTCTTGTTGGCCAGGGAGATACTTTGCATAGTCCGGCGAGGTGCCGCCAAGTCTGATGATCGGTTTGCCGCCAGTCCGAGAGTAGATTGCGTTGATGAGGTTGTTGCTGAAAATGTTTAGACCCTCGGCGTCATCAGTGGCATAGCGGACCCAGGCCGTCTGCTCGAACGCAAGGCCAAGGAAGTCCGGGTCAACTTCATCTGACGCGTCTAGCGGGACTTCAATAGGAATATCAATAGACAGTCCATCCTGTCCGTGGACCTTGGTGGCCAGATAAAGGCCAGCCAGTGTCCAAAACACTGAACGTTGAGGTGCGGTAGGTTTCATGATCTACGCCGGCAATCCGGGGTCGTGGGCAGGATGATTGTGGATGTGATGTCCGATCTATCAAACTACCATTGTCACCCTCCCACAGAGATTTATATGCTGACGAGTAGTCTATTTATCCTACTCGTTTTCGAAAGGCTAAGAAGGCGATCCAACCTGCCATTACGACACAGTCAAGTAGGACCGAAACCAAGGATGTGCGGTTAAATAGTGGACTGAGAAATCATGAGCAAGCCAATTATATTAATCAATGCAACCAGGGGAAGTGTTGCACCATCGTACAATCGGAGCCGATGTTTTGGTTGTGGGGTTAGCATACGACTTTCGACCATTCCTGACAGCGCTTTCTGACCTCATGTACTCAACTGCTGACGACATGCAGGCTATTACTGCATAGATGTGAAATGGGGCTTTAAATGCCTTCTCTTTTGAGAAATATCCCTTGAAACCAAGATCTGGGCGACGTGTGAGAGAGGCTCGTTCGTCGCTCCTCGGGTACCGGTTGTCGCTCATCGCTTGCTGGTTGCCTGTTCTGGGTATGGATCTACACCATTCAAGAAACAGAGACAGGTGCTATCCAATTTGCTCAGTATGAAACTTTCAACTCTACTCGTTCAAGAACCTAGGTGTTCACATCGTTATATTCTCCAGTGGAAACATCAGATAGCTAGCAGCCCTAAACTAACACCCTGATCCCGGACAACGAACCTTGATCGCCTGGCCGACTGAAGAATGTCTCGCCTCACTGGAATATACCAACCCTTCAGATGGTAGAATGAGTAGGGTTTGTTTTAGGTGTTTCTAATACCCTTAGATGTTTGTAGCCTTGCGTTTTTATAGGTATATTAACATTGAAAGGAGCATCAGTCAGGTTCCATCTAGCAAGAGTCCCAACAACAGTCAGAGAGACAATTGACAGACAGCTGAACTATTTTATAACCTGTATATGAAGTATTTCTCAAGCTTAAAATTAACCTTAATCTGTGACATAGATTTGTATGATAGCCTGCTTCCGTCTGAGGGAAGCATCATACTACGAACAAACCCCATCCGGCAGATCAAAGTTATCAACCCTATTTGTCGCATCGAACACTGCATTTGCACCCAAACCACGATTGGCGAACCCCTTCCAAATCTCGCACTTGTTGGCGCCTCCTGTAAGGGCCTCGTCGGAGTCAATAATGGCATCACGAGCTTGGACAAAGGTTGGGTTGCAAGGTTGGCTATTTTAGGTTTCACGTCAGTAGAATCCATGAGATCATAGAAAGTCTGTAGAACTTACATGGCGAATGCATCAGTGAGAATCTTGAGCATCAAGAATTTGCCGTCCGTAGGTACGCCGTTTGCATCAAAGTTCGGACGAGGGTTGTCATTCTTTCCGTGCTTATCGATGAGGCTCCAGAGGATATCATACAGCATCGTGGCCCAGACGGTTCCAACCTGGTGCACCTTCTCCAGGCCGTTGGCGTTGGAGTACGTCCAGTTGTTCACATCACGGTTGGTAGAATACATAACCAGGCGTGCGGTACGGGGATTGGTCACATTTAGAGGCCAAGCTGCGAAGCCATACTCTGCTGTGGCGCTTGTGTCATCCGGTTTGATTGCTAGAGCAGAGGCGAAGAGATCACTCCAACCTTCAGCCATCCCATCAGCTTCCCAGTCGTCGAGGCAAGTGTCGGTCGCAGGGCCGCCGGTTAAACGACCAGAAACTATTACTGATCAGCAGATGCTTCGCTTGCGGAGCTGGTCGTGGAATTCAAACTTACGGCCATGGGTATACTCGTGAATCAAGAAGCCCTGGTCGAAAGCTCCGTCTCGCTGAGGATCCGTCTTATCAAAGAGGTACATCGTTAATGTTGGTGTCTCACCATCCACCGAGTGCGAGAACATTCCGTTATTCATCCCGTTCCAAACCTTTATTAAACAATAATCTCGTCAGTCACAGATACAATAAAATGCTCCGCAAAGAGCTTATCTTGGAATAAGACATGTAGGGGCGAAGAGGACTCCAACAAACCTGAATATACACCTGAACAGGGTCATTAGCGAGACCACCTTGTCCGTAATTGTCTCGCTGGAAGTTGCCAGCGGCAGGGGTGAAGCCCAGAAGGTAGTAAAGGTCGTGGAGCATGTTGGTAGTGTAGAATGCCTGGGTCACAGCCGCATCACGGAACGTAACTGGGTCACCTCCGTCAGGGGTGTAATCGAAGACGTACGTGCCCTCGGCATTGGGCTCGGAGAAGGTGACGCGCCCGCTCTGTGGGAGGACGGCGGCCTGGATGTTATTCCCAACTGTACAGTTGTATCCATAGTACGTCTCCAACCAACGGTTCGGAGAAGCTGTGGCCTCCTCCGGGTCTATGATGATCGAACGTTCGCCCTCCCAGGGATCATTAATTCCAATGGGACTAGTAGGTCTGGTGAGCCCTTCCTCCGAGAGATTCATACCTAGAATTAAATGACTTACTAGACTTCGAAGGTGCCATGAGAAACGTGATCAGAAACCCCAATAACCTCAGCCGAGTCCACATCAACGTAGGAAGAGTAATAGGCCTCCTTGACCTTGGTGTCGATCTTCCAAGTAAGCGCCAGCTTTCCATCAGGCTTCACTATGTAGACCTTCTTGCTCTTTGGGTCTTCTTTGGTGCCAGAGATGCCATTAATGATATAAGCGCCGTCTTTCTCGGAGACGGAGCTGTCGGAAGTTTCAATGCCAAGCTCAAGAGTTTTCGAGGCAACTCCGAGCGCCTCAACGGCCCCCAATTGTGAGGTAGAGTCTTTCGAAGGCAAGTCGCCATTGAAAAACGAGCTTCCATAGGAGAAAATACTGCCATCTTTTGCAATCTAGCGAACCGATTCAATTAACAAGTTCTTCCATAATGGGCGGCTGATTCCGAAAACTAACATTAACGTTGAATATGGCATTGTCAATGTCGATACCATTAGCCGTCTGGCGGAAATTCACATGACCGATACCATTAGTACCAACATAGTGATCCGTGATTACACGGAATTCGGCATCCGGTGCCACAGTCTTTACAAGCTCGGTAGCCGTATCAATGTAGTCACTACCTCTCTCGACCAACCTCGCTGCCTTCACGGTATCCGAAGCTTTTACATACTTTGTCGACGACTTCAAACGGAACTTTTCGATGTCGACAGCATTTGCAAAGGCCGCAGCCCCGAAAAGGGAGATCAGTAATGCTGCTCTCATATTGGCAACGAAGCGAGTAATGCAGAATAGCGATGGAACCAGTCGCGGGACCACCTAGTAGCAGATCATATGCGTAAGGCTGTTAACCAAGCTTCGCGCAACCATATTTCTCCCGATATTTGGTGCAATCACTTGTTCCTTTATAGTTTAAATCCATGGCTGTAGGATTATACGCGCCGGAAACTACTTCTTTGCATTCCCGGAGCCCCCTTGTAAGAGATTGCTCACCTTCCTAGATGTGCCCCCGCGCGCGTCTGACAAACGACATTCAGGGGGGTCTTAAGCTTACTATTATTGCATGGTCTTTCCCCTGATGTGGAAGGTACAAAATCCTCTTATAATGTGCACTGCTTGAAGAGGTGCCGGATATCCATCAACTGTTACACCAGACTTCCAGATGAAGAACCATTGGGAGCCTTTACTGCGCCTTTCACGCCTCATCGCCGCCCCTGTTAACACCCAAAATGAACCTATAAGCATAAGTTCCAACGTGTAATTAGCTGGGGTCCTCCATTCATACGCTCAATTCACCACGCTCTTGTGGCGGGTAATGAGCCTTCCAGTGTTGCATTTTGGATCGCCTAATTGCATGAAATTATGTCCACCCTGGCCAAGTCTTGGGATCGGACCTTTTTGTTTCTCCACCGCACTCTGTTCCCCCATATGGGTAGAATTCAGGGCTGCAGTGTATCAAGATTGAAAATGTAAATCCAGATAGGAATTTAAGATACTACAAGGACATTGAAATTAAGTTGTCTGCGTTGGATAACCAGGCTTGCTCCCCCGGGCAGATGTGCTCAACTATTATAAACAAGGGTATCTCTCGACCTTGGAATAACATTATCGTCCAGGCACTCGCCAGCCACGCTCTATGATATCTTTAACATGTAGTTAAAAGCCCCGATTCGTTGCTAAATGAAGTTCTGAAGATGAAGTGGACAGACTATCCGTGTTATCCCGCTTAGGATCCGGCCTTGCCACGGAACTTGGCTCTTGAATGGTATCACTATCTGAGTCCGTCTTTCTCTCCTCGCTTTGGACTACGATCTCCGTTGTCATGATAACCCCGGAGTTGTCCGCCCTCGATGGATGAGTGCCACGGTAGCGGGTGATGTCCTCTTCGCTCTCTCCACCCTGCGCGTATGCCTGATACGAAACATTTGGATCGCGACCCACGGCGGTTTCTTTTCCACCTGTTTTAGTCTTTAACTCGATGGCGTGGCCAGTTACGGTTTTTGGCCCATAGGTCGACGATTTGCCTTGGTCGCTCGAGCTGGGCTCTCTAGTACCCGTAGTCATCTCGACGAGCTTGTTGAGGATTGTGAATTCCATCTTGAGCTTTATTGAGTATACGAGACCCTTGTATGCAGTCTGGATGTCGTACATATTGCCGTACTCGAGGCCGAGGATGGTGATGTCTCTTAGGCTTATTTAAAATACTAAAGTAAATTAATAGCTAAGTATATTAAATTATATTATTTAAAAAGTATAAATAAATATATAATATATTTTATATTAATCTTTTTAAACTTTAGTATATATATTTATAAAAAAAGAAAAATATATTACTTTTCTTTAACTTAAATAATCCTAAAGGGTGACGAGGATGAGATGATACATGAGATTTCGCGAGCGTTTCTTGTTACGCATCACGACCTGCATTTTACTGAGCCTGAGGGTCTCAACAATATAGAAAGATGAGATTATGATCTCTTGAACGAAGAAGACTGTCACTTCGATCTTCTCATAAATCCTATTTTCTTGTCAGTGATCAAAACTTTGAGACCTGTGGTGGCTGCCTGACTCACTCGTATGGTTTGACCCATTTAGCAGGTTCTGAGCCGTTGGCGCCGTATAACATGACGATAGTAGGGATATGCAAAAGAACTGCATTGACGATAATCATCCACAAGACTGCCTTCAGCCTGAACTTGTCCCGCACAATCAGATGTAGTCGCGACCACAGCACAAGCGACTGGCCTGACACCATGGATACCCACCCCACCGCGATGAACGTAACATATGTGTATGTGGTTTCCTTCGGGATGAAAGCCTTGAGCACGAAACCGACAGCGTAGATGAGAATCCCGTAAGTCGCGACCATGAAACACCAGAAATAGAGCCCCGAGTGGCGCTTGAAGGCGCCCCATATGATGAATGTGAGTTCAATGACATTGTAGACGGAAATGCAAGTAAACACGAGGATGACATAAGAATTACTGCACGATTTTTAGGTTAGCAATCACTTGAGTGAGTCTAGGTGTAAACAAGAAAAACTGAATATCGACATACGGGCCCGTGACGGCCTCCCCGCTGGAGACGCCGCCATCTTCACTCGCCATAGTAGCAAGGACTTGTTGTATATGGCTGTAAGGCGGGGAATAGATTTAAAGGAGTGGATGTGCCTCGAAAAATCCAGCGAGGCTCGGTCTCAATGATCAACACAAGCAAAGATCTTTGAATGCACAGTCGGTTGGATGTAAGGGCAAAGGAGAGGAGGGGTTGGAAGCAGGCCTCGTGGCAGGAAAAAGAAACGCAAGCAACCAGGGCGGAACTACTTATGCATGTGCATGCAAGGCCTTTCTTACGAACGTGTCGCCACATACCCCAGCATGTGTGTAGATTGCCGCTAATGTATCCCGGAGCTGGATTTCTATGACGATCACCGACGAATCCATCAAGTAAGAGTAAGTTGCAACGGCGATCGGATAACTCTAACAATGCATTATGGCAGCAGCAAAGAGCATTTCAGGTTGATCACAGCAGATCTACATTTCGACCCACAGGTTAAGTATTCCGGGTCCCGCGACTTTCAGGGCCATACCTGATGGGGCTGACCCGAGAGAGTGGAATGACTCGCTCATAAGCCGATCACGACCTCTTCAAGCTTCGTTCAATCCAGCGACATCCCAAATTCCGCTCACCTCGCGGAACCGAGCGAGGGTGATAAACAGTACAGTTCAGCATTGGAGCACCATGTTGAGCATTTCCCTACAAAAAACAGCTTCATGGTAAGGCTGTAAGGAATTGGTGGACAGGTAATCGTTGAGACGTTACCACTTCGTTGCACTGGAGTTGCGTGTGGGCAAAGACGGTCCCCATCATCCACATTGCCCCAGTCCGGGGAAGATCTTCAAACGATGGCAACGTCAATTACGCGACTCGCAATGGGACCTTTATTGGTGGGATGATGAAATGGGTCTCCTCACTTTGGTACATGATCGACAGAGCTAAAGTCCCGGCTACTGTCGTCAGCCGTAAGGGGTAGTCGAGGATAACTCTGACTCTCAGTATCCTCAATGCTTTTCATCCAAACGAAATAAAGACCCCAGCCGGATCAACCGGAAATTTCACACGCAGCGCGTATACATCAATCCCTGCATAAGCAAGCAAAGAGTATATGTTCACGGCGCAAATTGCCATCTTTCCTCCTTGCTCGAGTCGCCACTAATCAACGAATGAGGTCCTACCTCGTCAAGCACCGCTTTGACTAACCCCAGAGATTTTAAAAAAGCGGAATTTTCGAGTTGGCTTCATATCGCCCCGAACTCACGGTCCACCACATATCTCAAAAGACCCTCAGTTCAGTGGGGTAACTCAGCTCGATGTGACCAAATTCATTGCCAGTCAACCCCTGAACAAAGGTAGTATTACCCAGCCTGAACTACCCTAAACCCGCTAATAACCATCCTGTTACTTGGCCAACTCCCCCCCTCAAGTTTGATGTACGACCATTTGGCTAGATGTTAAACGCACTGTACCTAACTGCTGTAAACATTGAAGGAAGTGGTAGAATTACTGTCCTTGGTCGCTTTCTGGTACTTGGCCATTTTCCTCTTTGGAATCGTTAAAATTCTCGGGTCCGACATGCACCATGCTGGCTTTTTACTAGTCAAGTTGAAAGTACATGGAAAAGAATGAGTACAAACGTTTCTTCTTTGGCTTAGAGATATATTTTTCATTAGCCACAATGTCCCGTTCATCGCCCCCATAACGGTAGAGTATTGGGATTATTCATGTGTTGGCTGCCTTTCTTACTTCTCGGCCGGCCCAAAGAGGTAGATACACAAAGGAGGACAAATCGCGTCGCGTGATGACAGAAAATGCACAATTTTTCAGGCTGGTTCTATTTAAGTGATTAGTAGCCGGCTTTGACTTCCTTCTTTGAAAAAATTGGCCTTTGATTCCCCAAAGTGAGTGGTGAATGCCTAAGTACCAGGACGAGGATTACCTTATTATCAGTGTTTATGTTTCTGAAGTCTTGAACAGAACACTTTCTTTCTATTAGTAATATTAGCAGTACTAATTTAACATAACTTTCCCTCTCTTAGGTGTGTCCAAGGGAATGGTTGAAGGCTTACTTAAAGGAATATTTGAGAGTAAGAGAAGCATAATTTTCTTTTGTATGGAACTTTTTCATTAAATAAAACTGAAAACGCTTAGAGCTAACATATGCGGGACGACCGCGAGAACCTTGCCGTTTGGCCTTTTGATAGAATTCAAACACAACTGCTATAGAAAGGTATGCAGTTGCGAAGGAACAAATAAAAGAGCGTGGACATTAGTTGTCAGTTCAAGTAATGGGACTCCACACAAACAATTGGCTACCTGGGTGAACATGTGAAGGATGCCCCGCTGTCATGTAAGCCTAGGCGGTGAATATTCCATCGAACGATGCCAGCCACGTGTTGGTAGCCCCTGATGGTAGTGGGGTGTGGTTTCACACTTCAAATGATGCCTCGTGGAGAGCTCATCGCAGTCTGGTTATTTCGATGTAATTTGCTCACCGTTAAAAATAGACATATATGGGGAAGCTTAGGACATTTAATCATTGGCTCTACAAATGTTAATCCCGACGTGTACTTTACCGACTATATATCCTCGCCAACTTTACTTTGAATCTCCGTCTATGAACTGTGAAATATGAGCCGGTAAAGGTGATCAATCTAGACACAATACATCAACGAGAACTTTGTTGTCTCTCAACGACCCGAAAAGAGTTATTAGTGTAAGAACGCTTCGTTCTTCAATCGACACAAGCCCGGTAAAAACAGGGCGGGGGTCAAAATCCTACAGCCCAGATCAGCAGGTGAACGAAGCTTTTTCCCGTACAGCTTTCCGGCTTCGGGTATCTCTGTTTTAAGGATACGTACTCCATTGAAACTCTCCAGCAACGTAATGTGGCGGTGTCATGCCCTGGTTACTTTCTGTTAGTGTGTCTGATAGCTTTCATTTTTGCTATGCTCTACGAATATCTGTTCTTCTGTTATTGATAACATCCGACGCATGTGTGATTCTTTTCAATAGTCTTTCATCGTGTCTTGGAAGCTCGGGCACACTTTCTCTCGCCCGCACGCCAACTAATCCGACTGGATTGTGTCCCTGGCCACCATGCAGGATCCCTAACCCAGTGGGCGGAAATAACAGGTTTCAGGCCTTGCTGTCGGCCTTGGAAACCACGTTCTTTGCGTTCCGCATTCACGGGCCGGCCAGCCAACTGCATGTTGCTCGTAACTTGAGGCGGAGAATCCCAGACACGAACGCGACAACCCTCCGTTTCCGCCACTTATTATCCACAACCCCATATCATAAACAGCCCGAACCTCCGATAATATTCTCGTAAACTCCAGTTCACCGGACACCCCTGGCTGCCATTGGGCCCCTTCCGTGGGGCTGTGGATTGTTACCTAAACCACGACACTATAGGGCAGTAGAGGAATATTAATATTGTCAGTCAATCAGGCCATAGAGGCTCGCTTGGCCGAATCTCATATCCATGTTGCATAAGTTTGTCTCTTCTTGATGTCTCTTATGCTCACCTTCCTCTTTTGTGCAGGTCGGTAAGAAATTGATGGAAGCCATGGCTTCAACTACAGGGGAGAGACTGGTCGACATATAAAACCATCAAGTCTGCCACCGCATTCTTGTCATTAGAGCACTCAAGTTTCCCAGAGACACTACAAGCAGCCTCACCTTTTCCCTCTTGCAATCATGGTCACTACTACTCGTTATATCCTTGCTGCTGGTGGCATGCTTAGTCTTGCCCATGCTTCCCCATCTCGATCTCCCTTGGAGACTCGAGCCGTTGCATACAAGAGTTACAAGGGAGACGGAACTGTTGGAGACGGCTGGCCCGATCTCTCTGACTGGGCCGATTTCGAAACTCTGTAATATGCTCGAACTTTCTTAGACCTGTGGAGCGTATTGTACTAACTTGACTCACTTTAGCTGGTCTACCAACATTGCCACGTCCGCAGGTGCATGCAAATCGCTTGGGCTTGAGCCCAACTCGAATTCTGAGAACACTGTTCTCAAGGCCGCAATCAAGCAGGCTGGCACGGACAGTGGGCTCGATCCCCGATTCATTCTCGCCGCTGTTTTCCAGGAGTCCACTGGCTGTGTCCGAGTCAAGACCTCTTATTCCAGCAATGAAAACATCAGAAACCCGGGGCTGTTGCAATGTGACGATGGAGATCACACTTGCAACGACGAGAAGAAGGGGATTAGCCAGCTGATCCCTTGTCCTGATGCTCAAATTAAGGGTAAGTCCTCCAGCTCCCCTTTCAGCTTGGGCAGTATTTGATATTACAAGACTAACTTGAATTTCTACCCTCAATAGGCATGATTACCGATGGAGTTGGCCTCACCACCGAATGGGGTCTCAAGCAGGTGGTCAAACAAAGCGGCGCCAGCGACGTCAGCAAGTACTACAAGGGAGCTCTCCTCTACAACTCAGGCGTCATGCCAGAAGATGGAAACTTGGGCAAGGGGCGTTCAAACGCTTGCTACTCCAGCGATATCGCCAACCGTGTGCTGGGCTGGGTCGACGATCAATCCCCTTGCAACAGAGACACCATTGGCGATCTGTAATTTGCGATTACAGACTTTCAATTTCACGCACTTGGTTATCACACCGTCCACGAAGTACAGGCTGCTGGCTAGCTCAATAGGGTACAGTTGTTCAAATCCGCTTAACCTGGAAGTTGATAGAATGCAGTCTCAGGTCTACCAGGGTCAGAAGTGTACTTCTAGATAAAAACACACATATATAAGCCAACAGTCCCCAAAATCATGGGTGGTAATGTGAATATTTATTGTACGCCCTATACAACTGACACTTCTTTATGTTCCCTATTCTTTGATGGCAGTGATTCCAGAGCGTAATCTGAGTCTGCGCCTTCCTCAGCTCTTGACCTTTGTGTTCTTTCTGGTCTTTGCGCAGTCGAGGACCGCATCCAGGGGCCATCAGTTCTGCTATCATTCTCGGTGAGTTTCAGGACTGATCCATTGCCTCCTCTACCGCGAAACGAGTTATACTCGCTCGTCGATCGTGAACTGGCTTTATTCTTGCGCGGGATTACTGCACCAAGTAAAGGGAGGCAACTGCAGACAATCGCCAGCCCTAGTTGCATGCACGACCAGAAGAACAGTTGGGCACCATCGCCTCCTAGGTTTAAGATAGTCAATATGGCTCGGAAATCATGCTCGGAGAGGGCTTGACGCACCTTGCGCAATTCCAAAGAGACGTCCAATACTAGCAACACAGACTCTATTGCCAAGGTTAGCCAGGATTAATTCTGATTCTTGGTTGGGGTGGGAGTTGACTTACGAAACGCCGACGACGAATATCCCAATAACAGGGATTTTCTTGCCTCTCGAGAGGTTTAGCTGTCCAATGGTAAAGACCGGAATGCATAAGACAACTATATCAAAGAACAAATTGGTAGCCTCCAGTGGAAGATAGACACTTGGTCTTGACATGCAGGTACCGGGAGGAGGGACTGGTACCCATGCATAGCCAACGGGGCGACATCTAAAAGCAGCCAAGAAGGTGAAGACGAGGCACCAGATGACGCAGCCAGCAGTGACGGTCACGATGACTATTTTCGTTTTGCTGTGAACTCCAAAGACGTTCCAGTACAGGGCCAATAGGCTTAGCTTCACCAACGAAATGTCGAAAGTGAAGAGCACTTGTTCTACGTATAGGATCTAAGCAGAGGGATGGTCAGTATGAGACTGAAAGATTACCAATGGCCCTTCTTGTCCATACAATCATGTATGACTATTCGCACCTTCAAGAATTTGGCTAAATCGGTGGGCGTTGATGGCTTGAAAGGATCGCTCTTCCCATTGTTGACGATATCTGGCCCTCATCAATCAGCCTCAATAAACTACGAAGCGATGCAGCGTGATAGGAGCCTAGTTTGTGAATGGCACGTACACTCCAACATCAACCCCACAAAGGCACAGAAAAGAACGAACGATGCAAGGCATAGGCCATCGGATAGGAACGAGAGCTGCTTGGCTCGCGCGCGGAGAAAAAGGCGCAATGCTACAAAAACGAACGTCAGGACGATGAATGCCACCCCCGTAGAGAAGACTCTCTGGGTTGGCTGGTCCAGCGTGATCATCGCAGACGGCGAGTTAGATGTCACATCACGGAAGACGGCTCACACGAGAGGAGTCGTTAATGCTTTTAGGGAGAATGGAGCGGTCTCTTCATACATTTGATCCAAGCATCCTTCTTCATGACTGGCGCGAGATATCGGACCCGTCGCGCCGTCCAGCACCCGATTGATCTAGTGATAAATAGTCTGGGTGCCCGGGTTGCATGGGAGGGATCCTTCGCTAGCCGCAGATGAGCGCCCATTGGAGAGCAAAGCATGTCATTCAGGACCTAGCCCCCGGCCATTCTGGTTACAGGCCCACCCCTCAGACTTGGTGGGTGGTATGGAGGAGGACTAACCCGTCTCATGAGGAATATGAAGCCTGTGCTTACGCGGAGAGGTATTCCTATGCAGTTAGCCCGACCCTTTCATTTTCGAACCGTCTCACACTTATGCAAACCACCAGAAGCATCACAATCAGCCCCTTGGACTATGGCCTCTGCTACTTGCTATGACTTTTTGTTCCTGCATTCCAAAGACGCGCGCTACGACATACCACGTGGGCTCTCTAGACACAATATAGACGGAGACTGGCGAGGGGGGTAAGTAGTGCTATCGCCCATGAGGCGGATCTCAAGTTTCTCTGGCTAGACTATGTCACCGCAACGTTCCGAGTCATTTAACTTATCCTTACGGGTGTGATGCTCTGGCCCGAGCCACTGGCAGCACTGCCAGCACACATGTTCTGCATCGAGGGTGTTCGGCGAAAGCTAATCACCCCAGAAGTCCAGATACAATATTCAGGTACATGCAGCTGATTCCTTTCCGAATCGAATTGCAGGTTGTATCAATGGGACCTTCAGGAATTATATTGCAATGGGGAAAAGATGATACCAATGGACAAGTAGGTAGTTACATGAAGCATCTCTCGTTCGTTCTTCCATGCCCCCCCTCCCAATACCTAGGTGGGTCTTGGAAATCATCTGTTGTAGGCTTTTATTAGAAAATGGCCCTAAATAAATATCCTATCCCGGCCCTTAGCTATCTCTGCTTTCTTCTATTCTACCAGCTCTTTATTAATGAAGATAGTCCATCTTGCGAGGATTCGATCTACGTCTTCTATTTGCATATTCCTTACGAATTCTTCAGCAGGCATGGCGAATGAACGCTTAATACCTTCCACCAATATTCGAAAGGTCTGGCAGCTACCGCGGGCTGGACGGCGCTCAAGGAATGAAGGGAATGTAGGCTTGATCATGGCTCGCCGGTTTCGCCCCAAATGCAATCACATAATCGTTGATGGATTTTCCTGGGATAACATCTGGTCTAGTACAAGAATACGATAGCACGTGCAGATTGCATGGCTATTGGTTGCTGACATACGGCGAGCTCAGCTCAGCTCAGCCCCCCTCACATTTGCGAGAAATATTGTTTCTCAGCTGACCTGTTGGGCTCTCCTCCGACCACTACGCCTTCTCCCCTTCATTCCCAGTAATTTACCTCAAACTTGATCCAGGTATCGTATCTCCAAAAGAGTGCGTCAAACCTGGGGCCTGGAGGACCGTGGTTCAGTTACCTCGTAACACAACACCAGCTGAATATTGCCTCCCTGCCCACGACATTTGGGCCTGGAAACACATCACATCAGTTTTCTCTACTCTACAGCTCATAGGTCCGCGAAATGTCAACAAAGGGCCATCGCAGCCAAGCCGACACAATAGAAGTACCATCTGCGCAGGGGAGATCCAAATCCAAACCGAATCAAACGAATGCAATAGCAAGATGGATGGCCGCGAGTGCAGCCATCTCGGATACTGAGGACGATGCTGCATCCATAGCATCAACAGAGGCTGGAATTTCGCCCGACAAGCGACCGACGACTGTTAAAAACTTGAAGAATAGATTTCTCCGCCCTGGTAAGACAAAAACAAGAGAATTGACTGCCAATGAATCCGATTCTGAAGGATCTGTGGTTGAGCCGCGAACTGCTTTGCGCCGAAGGAGGGCGGCGAGTCCAGAGCCAGAAATCGATAAGAAGGCATCCAAGTCAGGGAAGAGCTTCCGCTTTCTGACGATCCTGGCGTTACTTGGTCTGGCTGGTATGAGAAGTGGTAGAAAACAAGTCCTCGATGCGGCATCAAGCGGTTATGATTCCGGGGATTCAATGTACTCAGATTCCTCCCTGGGTCCTTCACCTCCTCCCAGGAGGCGCAGAGGGCGTTCAGGATTCATTGAGGTCACCGAGCACAGAAAGACACCCAAGGCCCCTTCGTCAAACACATATCCTGTGCCAGCACAAACAGATCCAGCTTCTCGCCCTCCCCATCCCGAGACACAAAGGCTTACCGCCAGCCAGCGAGCTGCAACCAGTTCTGGAGAGCCCTCTCGAGTATTGAAACGTCGTGAAGACAAGACTCCAAGTGCCGCCAGAACGTACTATGGGCGAAGCATAAGGAGGGCATCGAAATCACCCCGGGTAAATTCAGAGCATCCCATGCCAATTGATGGCCACAAGCAGAAGGCAGCACCGACGAGCCAATCACCCCGTCAAGTATTGGAAACCAACAGTTCACAGGCCAATGTGCAACATGAGAGACCTCGGACTTCGACGAAACCCAGAACCGATGTCCCTTTTCCCGATCGGACTAGGTCTAGGAGTCTATCCAAGGGTCGGAAACGCTTGGAAACCCCAAAACCCTCCACCGTTCCAAGGTCGCGACCGAGAAAACCATCAAGAAGGGCAAATGTCGATGACGAAACCATTTTGTCCCCACATCGTCGTGTTAAGGCAACTGAAGAGCATCAGAAGACGGAACAAACCGACAAACCTCATATTGCCGAAGAAAATCAGGCAATGCCAAATTCGCAGGACCCACCGATTTTGATAGCAAAGGATGTTCCATCCAGGTTAAGAAATAATGACTTGGTACAGGACTCCAAGTTAGACACCGTTCTTATCGATCACGATGGTAACTCTGTTCAACATACACTGTATAAATCAAGCCACCGGGCTCGCCGGCGCCCAAGGAAAATTGAGGAGACATGGAAACGACGTGAGAAGATTGGCAGCGGAACGTTCGGTAAAGTTTGGCTCCAGGAGTGCATCGATGGTGAAAATATCGGGCGATTTCGTGCGGTAAAGGAGATAACCAAGAGGAAGTGCGAGGATGGAAGCGTCCCAATCGAATACAACCGAGAGTTGGAAGCAATCGCGAAATTTTCCCAGTCCAAGGTATGACCCTGCTCACTAACCACTGCCCAAGGGACTCATGAACTAAGTGAGTCATATAGTATGTGCACTGCTTCGCCAGGTCGCATGGCTGGTATGAGAACAGCGCTACTATCTTCATTACAATGGAGTATTTCGAAAACGGAGATCTTCAGCGCTATTTGAATCACCCTTTCCCGGAACATGAGGCTAAGGAGATAGTGTATCAAATTCTTGAAGGTCTACGCTTCATGCACAAAAACAGTTTTGCTCATAGGGACTTAAAACCAGCAGTGAGACCATACCACTATTTATAAGGCTGATGAGTTAGACTTAGCTGATCATGGTCATAGAATATTCTCGTTTCTGAGGCCTCCCCAAACTGGTGGGTTAAGATAAGCGATTTTGGTATTTCCAAGAGGGCCGAACAGGAGTCAACGGCATTCCGTACATTCGCGGGCACGAGGGGCTACCTTGCTCCGGAGGTTGTGGCCATCTATCCACCGGATGAAAAGATACGCGAAAAAGGTTCTAAAAGGAAGGACATATACACCAACGCCGTGGACCTGTGGGCTCTTGGGGTGATCATGTTTCAACTGCTGACGACCCAAGTTGTCGTGAAGGATCCCCACGAACTCTGGGAATACGTGAGCGGTAATCAAATATTCCCAGAAGAAATTCTTGACGAACATGATGTCAGCGGTGCAGCAAAAACTCTCGTTAAACATCTAATGGCCCCATCACCCGGACGCCGACCCTCCGCTTCGGCGGCCTTGAATTACGAATGGTTCACGGACTTGGATGATTCTTCAGAACCAAAACATACCAACGAAGAATTGTGAGATTAGCAAGATACCTCATAACTGGATCGCTTGACTGACTTTAATAGGAAAACCTCCCTCAACCCCAAACAGGTTTTACCAGCTGATTCTATGGCCACCGCAAGCCTAGCATGGCCGACATCATACTCGGAAAGATAATCATTGTAAAGTATCGGTTGCCACAGCATCTCAGTCGCTGCTAGAGGTTCGCTATTAGATGCAATTAGATGCCAATAGTGTCTGGAGCATTCACAGTTGATTGGCATGGGATTTCTCGCAACAGTCCTTCACACCATATACTTAGGTAGAGGTAACGGAAAAGTCAATTAAACCCACTTTCTTAACAACACTTGATGAATACAAGCATTTTTTGTTATCGAGAAACTGAAGGAAAGATGAACAACGAAGGGAATCACGGATATCGCCCAAGCAGTAGCAGAGCCGATTATCCCTCTACTCCAACCCTCTCAGCTGGGCGTACTCAAGTAAGACCTGATCCTCCATCAATCTATTGTGGCAAGACTCCTCGAGGCATACACAGACTTCAATGCCTTCATCTTCCTCTGCGCCCTCGACCCCAGCCCGGCTAGGATACAAAAACACGAACCCCTCGAAGGGCGGGCTGGGCCATCGAAGTGCCTTGGGCAGTCCAAACCCGAAGTCGTGCTTTTCGTAGGCTTTCATTCCCTGCCAGCTTGAGGCTCCCAAGTCCAGCCCGAGGAAAGAGTTGATGCTGATTTCCAGCCATCGCTTGTCTTCGTGCCCTTCGACCCATTGCAGCAGCCGCCTGAGATGGTCCGGCGTCACCGCCTTGATGGATGAACGGACCGTGGCCGCAACCTTGGACAGGTTTTCTACTGCAACGAGGTCCTGGACCGACAGAGGTTCACATCGTGCAGCAGTAGCCCCGACGCCGAGGAAGCGCTCTGGGAGGGGTGGGCTCCAGACCTTTCTGGTGTCGACAGCGTGCACGAGAGTTGCCTTGGCACTCTTATCGGGTTGCAGCAGGTCTATTTTGGCGCGAGTGATACTGCTCCACAGAACTGCCATGATTGCATCGTAGGTAGAGATCCAGTTGGCATCGCCGCTGCTGGATGCCTTGGCCTTGAGAACTTCCGTCTTGCTCTTGGGGAAGTGCCACATGTGGGACACCAGGGCGGGCATCTTGAAACCAGCTGGAGGCGGTGGCATTGGGCCGCCAGCATCGCGAACGACGGGGAGTGCGTCCTGGAGCTCCTTCATTTGGTCAGGGGAAATGCCCTCCATGTCCAATTTCGTTCCGTGGAGGCTGAAGGGAGTCTCATTAGGAATGAAAGGTGCTCCATTCAAAGCAGCCACACTGTTCTCCGCCCAAGTAGATAGAAAGCCATCACATCCAGGACCGTCTGAAACGGAGTGGTGAACAGCCATGGCAATGATGAGGCCGCCTCGGATGAAGTTCAGCTGGAAAGCTGCAGCAGCAATTCCATCTTCGTTATTGTCGCCCAGAGGAGAGTGGAGCTGTTTGGCTGTGACTGAGTCCGGGAGCAGCTGGTGGCCCTTAAGCAAGGCTGCCGGGAACTGGGGTGATATTAGCGACTACATTCACTCTGCGGTACAAAGGCTATAGAGATGTTGGGGAAGGGGGAGAGGAGAGGGGGGAACCATACATCCTTACAAGCCAGCTCACTATAACTGGGAAAGTCCTCCTCGCCCAACATGTGCTTGACATGCAAATGAACTTTGGTCTCGGCTGTTGTAGAAACCCACATTCGGCCACTGGCTGCATCCATCTCCAAATCACCAGCTAGGATCGGGAAACGAGAGATAGCAAACTCCAATCCGGCCTTCAAGTTCTCGGTAATGGCTTCATTGGCTTGAGTGTCTGCCAGCTCTGGGAGAGCAAATACCTCTGACACCAACACGTAAATCTTGGGCATGACGTGGCCCATGAGGGAGAGGGGATAGCGTTTGGACTCAGCCTTCCAACCTGTCGGTTGGAGTAGAATCTGTTGCGCGGTAGAAGAAGACATGATGAGTTCTGATTACTGGTCGATTGGTTTTAGTGGTAGAAAGTGAAATTGATCTCGAAGTAGGCTTTGTTTTGCAAGTTGAACAGATTTGGAAGCATCGTGGCTGAGGCAATGATATATATACTGATACAGCTTCCAATACATCTTGGTAGTCGACACACGCAGAGCGGCGGACGGTGATCCGTCTCGCGATATGATCAACCCAGGGGGCCAATTTGTCAATGATGATCAGACTTAGTTAGCCAATTATTGGAGAGGCTAAGGCAGAGGCTCAACTTCGCGGGACGCTAAAATCTTACGAGGGCCCCTCCTCTACGTTCCAGTTCGGCGGAAGACGGCGGAGGAGGGCGAAGCCTCGTGGGCCTTGCTTGTATTTTTGCTTATCGTACGTATTTCTTAAACAGGGCATATTTCCCATTAATCATTTTCATTCTTGCTTTCTGCCCATGACTGTTAACCACTAATAATGCAACTCGGTCCAGCGCTTCGTCGAATTAGCCGTCATACACAGCATAGCAGGTCATTTCTTGCAACAGGGGTACGCGCTACAGCATTGACTCCAGCCTGTAGTGCAGTGCTAGACCTCATAAATTTGTCAATTGCTATGGTTATTCCTGTGACCGAGTAGGCAATGGCCCTTGCCAATCTTTTGTTTATTGACATGTGGAAATTGGAACTATTACACTTACACGGGCCAACTGACGTTGAGGTGATCGAGGAACGCCAATGAGAAGCATGAATATGACATTTTTAAAATGGAAGAGCAAATGGATTGAGAACTAGCTATTTTTGAAGAAAGTTTTTCCGCTCTATTCTTGCTACTTGTCGGTCACGAGAAAGACATCGACCCTTCACCTCATCATACTGTAGAGTCAATGATTACAAGCAGTACCTTGTCGCTGTCCACAGTATGATGCCTTGATCTCTAAGATTCTTCATCTTACTATATGCGCATGCGGCTGCTTTTCTAGGATGTAAAAGAAGAAGAAAGGAAATAGCTCCGGCAAGATGGGTGGGATCGTTGTAGGCACACCACATTTCATTCTGCTTTCTCTTTCACCTCACACAAGAATCTTAGCTACAATATGGCCACGATCTAACCTGGGACAGGCAACGGTTCTACTAGGAAGAGAGGAAGAGAAACCAAACTCTTAGGGTCGCCACGTTGCTTGGATTAGACCCGTAGATACGAGCGGAGCATTAAGTCTCGAGTCAAACTCAGTAAATTGGCCACTGAAAGTCACTGGAAGCTTATAATCCAAAGACGTGAGGCTAGGAATTCAAGGGCCCTTCCCCAGGATCGGCCAGTTACGGCGCTCTTGATTATATCCTACCGAGGGTCTATTCTATTATATCATGGAAATAAACTGTGGGTTCTTGGGATAACACAATAACTAGAAATGAGTAATGTGCAAGTCTAGGGTCATCGGGTATTTACTTCCTCCATAAATGCAGATATCAAGAGGGTGGAAACTACGCATAAAGTTGTTCGACCGTCGTCTGCCTCTATGTGGAATGGTTGGGCCGAACGCTGGAACAAATCAGCAATGTGAATTCACTTCATTCCCGTATGACCACCACCACCACGTTGTGTTGGTTGGGGGGTGGGTGGGCGGTCAGATGGATCATAGCCATGGTGCCCTTTGTGCAGTAGCCTAGGCAATGCATTGACTGATAAAATGACAAGATTAATAACAGACTGATGATCATAAGGCTGTTGCTCCATTTAGGGGCCAGTATAATCTTACTGCCAGAATCCACTAACAGATGTTCTAGACTTAGAATCAACAGAGTCAGGGGTAATCAACACTGCTCGAATGAGAACGCCTCCGAGCTAAGCCAGACGCTAAAATCTCATCGTGGCGTTCCATACATATATCGAGGTCGGCGGAAGACGGCGGAGAAAAGGTCCTCAGGCTCCTCACACCTGGCACATTCACTCGATCTTCCGCCGCCCGTGACTGCGAGTCGTCTAGATGCAAGCTATGCCCGATGGATCAACGACTTCTTAGCTCCAGTGAGGCCGACCCGGTGTCGGTGCCAAGGCGGATCTTGCGCAAGGGCACCCACAGTTGTGCAGAGTGTACGGTACCTTCAGCATTCTTTCTCGCCAGCCCATTGCATCGCGCCTTTAGCTCCCTGATAGTGCCGCTGACCGCTGTGCGTAGGCAAGCGACGGAAGACGAGATGTTTCTTCGAAAACACTGCCGCGACGATCTGTGTGGGATGCCAGCGGCGAGGGACGGCCTGCATTGGTCAAGAGTTTGTTGACGTGCCTGTGTCCAGGCGCGACGAGGATCCGCCGACGGGGGAGAGGCTAGAGAGAATAGAGAGCATGCTCCAGCGACTGACTGACAAGGTTTTCTCGTCTGATGGCTCTAGCATCCTGAGCGATGCCTCTCCTCCGCAACCTTCCTTTGGCAGGCCGTCGACAGAGGAAGCGGACCCGGACCCAGTTAGCGAGGGTGGCTATTCACATTCCCAAGCTGAGAGTTCAAAGAAGGGAAAGGTGGCACCTTATCTTCCTTTCAAATCTGGTTGAGACATACCAGGCTAACGCGACTACAGACATCGCCCCGTATCTATCCTGGGGGAACGGCAGCCCGAGCCCAAGGGGAGTCGTATCAACCCGAAGCAATCCCAGGGCCTATACAGTACGCGCCGTCTCACCTCTTCTCCATGTGCCAGACCTTGCACTCGGCTTTTCCATGTCAGGACGACGTAAATATCCTATTTGAGGCTGGCAGGGCCACCATCTACCTCCAAGCACTCTGCAATTCGTACCGTGAGCTCTTCGAACAAGGCAAATCTTTATCCAGCAACGTTCTATCGGCCATTCCTCCCGAGACTGTTCACCCAGTGTTACTTGCAAGAAAGCTCTTGCATCTCAGCCTTTGCATGCAGCAATTAGATCCATCATTTGACCGACGCTCTCTGCAACTACAGCAAGGTCTTGAGGAGGCCATGCAGGGATACTTCCACCTTGCCACGAGCTTGGTTACCTGCCACGACGAGCTGCTCAACTCCCTCGAAGGCCTTGAGTGTCTCATCTGCGAGGCCGTTTATCTTGTAAACTGCGGTAATCTCCGGCGAGCTCTGGTCTGTCTGCGGCGAGCGTCAACCCTCGCTCAGTTCATGGGCATGCATCGCAAAGGGTCACGTACCTCGCTCAAACAACACGACCCGGCGACACGGGTCTCGGGCGACGTGACTTGGGCGCATTTGGCGTACCTGGAGCGATACTTGTCGCTTCTTCTTGGCATGCCGACATCCATCTCCAATGCCAAGTTTGGATCCCACGACAAGACATCTGGCGAGACTGATGCGGAGTGGTTTGAAAGAACACAGGTTGACATATGCGAGCTTATCATAAACCGAGGACAACTCAGCGGAGAAGACAGCTTCAACACGACAATGGAGATAGACGCTACCCTGACCCGAGTATCCAACAGCGTCTCAAGCACATGGTGGACGCCCATGGACCTTGACCCGCAGATGAATGTCGACGAGGTCATGGCCCGAGTCATCAGTGGCCAGATGCAAATTGTCCACTACAACATGCTTACAATTGTGCATTTGCCATACCTACTACGCCAGGATGCAGGTTCTCGATACGACTACAGCAAGACAGTCTGCACATACGCCAGCAGAGAGGTCTTGAACCGGTACATTACCTTCCGCTCGATTGTGCGCGTCGTTTACTGCTGCCGCCTGGTAGACTTCTGCGCCTTTACTGCAGCGCTGACTCTCCTCATTGCTCATTTGAGTGGCCACGGTCGTAACTCGTCCTGGCTCCCTGCTCATCAGCGCGTTGGCGACCGGAATCTGGCAGAAAAGGTTATTGAGACCCTCGAGGAGCTGAACCGATTGAATCACGACGAATTGTCAAAGGAGACGGCGAAACTAACGCGAAAGCTCCTGGGGTTGGAGGCTGTGGCGGCCAGGAACGGCAGCATCTACCGCTGTAGTGTGCGTGATGAAGATTACAACCCCGACGGTAGAGGTATGGACGGACCATTTCACCTCAAAATTCCATACTTCGGAACCGTGTGGCTCGAACCCAACTCGCCCACTCCAACAGACAGCGTTTTTATACCTCCATTACCAGACTTGGACAATGAGTCGGGCCATGTCTCGGAACCAGCTGCGACATCGTCGGTCACCCTCGACCTTCCCCGGCGGCCGGGAGAGAGGGAAGAGGAACTTCTCTCCACCTACAACGCTTCCATGGTTCAGGAGAGCGCGGACATGGACTTTTTGGACTTTGCGATGCCAGATCTTATAGCGGAGGCGAACGACTGGGCGTTTCAGGGAGTTGATTCTGCCTTTTTCGATAGCGTGATGGCTGGTTATACCCTCGAATGATGTATATAACGAGGAATGGATGTATAGTTATTGACTGTACGCTGAGGGATTAAGCTTTTCTTCTACCAGAGGCTTGATGACACAGTTATAACCCTTAAATTCAATTGTGTCCGTGGTGACAACGGCAAGAAAGCCGTCTTCTATATGAAAAGCTATAAGCCCTCCCTCCATGGCCAAGGTTTTCCTTGCTTGCACTTAAGCTCTCTCCATTAACGGAGTATATTATTCAAGCATATCTGGTCTAAATTTAAACTCGGGATGGAAGATTCGATCCAGCGCTCTAGAGTTTTAGTTTGCTATTCGTCTTAAGTCACTTAGGCAACTATTTTACAGTAATCTAACTAAACAAGATAGCAAATGTCGCCGTGTTCTACTAAAATCATGATATTAGCATACTACCTTTATCTTATACTGAATCTGAGAATGTACACATCAATATAACTTGTCATTTAGTTGGTGTGGGATCTCTTGATGCAAATTGCAAGGAATTTGGCAATTCAATTGCTTACTCACGTCCTGCCATCCGCCCAAGCCGAAGTGAAGTCATGACATGTTTTGATCTTTTCTTCGAAAACTACGGACTTGTCTGCCTCGACAATTTTCAGAGCCACCCAGGTTAAAAGCTGAGAGTCAAAGGCCAGCCAAACGGTCGAGTATCCTCCGGAGCCAATCTTGTGGACTATCCGGTAGCGACCTTTATCGTAGCGATCGCCAAGATGGACGGGATGAAATCCGCCCTTTTCATAGCGTTCCACTTCCTCGGAGTAGCCAACCTGGGCAGAAGGTAGCGAAACGAGTGGTCCGAACGAACAGATTGGCAGTCAGGGTCGGTTGCCATGCTTGATTACTGAAAGAGTTTGTATGCACGGGCAATTGAACGAGGGACAGATGATGATGGAAAGAATTGGCCTGCGGATTAATTAAACTCCCTCGAGTTGAGCTTTCCAGATCGCGACCTTACCCTACACTACCCACAGTCTAGACATAATAAACCTACACTCCTCTACTCATGTCTATGAAAAGACGCTTTCATCACCTTATTGAGGCAGTAATACCCTCTGTGAGCCGTACCCGGCTGAAAAATATAGGATTTCACAAGAAACCTAAAAAATCAATTCGAAGGATGGGAACTTCGAAGTTACCGAAGTTGCCGAATATGATTGTCTTGATGTTCAACAAATTAGGATGTGCTCAACCGAATTGATTAGTCAACAAGTGCTTGGGAAGATTTTGGCTTTCAAGTAAGATTATCTAACTAGTTTACAGCCCTGTCTAGTCTATACGGCTCCTTTATCATCCTCCCTCTTTGGTATACGAGGAAGCCTGGGTTCTCCGAGTCTGAAGCGGCAATTGGTGATTAGTAACGATGAGTGATAAGGGCCTAGGCTGATATTTCAGCTGGGATCGGCACAAGATGGGCCATTTCGGGAGATCGGTCACAGGGACATTGTTTTGCCAAGGGATATGTCCCCGCAGAGTTTGTTATCTACCGTCTGACGATGATACGTGAACGCGGCTGCCAACACAAAGGGGGATCCTCTCGCCCAGGTTCCCTCAATCGACTCTGATGACCATCCCATTGACGCACCAAATCCTTCTCCGCTGGCCGACTTATGGCGCAGCTACACTCGTGTTGGTCAGCGTCGTATTCGCCCAGACTTTCACCGTTGGATGTACAGGAGTGGGAAAACCGCGCCTTTTCCTCGCTTCGGATTAGGGTGCCAAATGAAGAAGCTACCTAGGTACTTGGCTGTGTTAATGGTCACAAGTGGGCAGATGGCTACAAATGTCCCCAGCCTGCTTGCAGGGCTTCTTGGCGACGCGATCCTTGTTCTCCGCAGCGGAACTCGGCCTCGACCCAACTATTAAGCTAAATTCACTGAGCTAAAATCTGATGAGGTATTCGATGTGATAGCGTGAGAAGATCAATTGGTGTGGATACTGGGGAATGCCGATGCCCTTCACCCATATATCAACCTTGCAGGTCAAGTTGAAAGAGACGAAGCAAAACTAAAGCGATTCCAGGGCCTCTTTCAGCTTATCTCTGGTCCTGCACCTTTTGATTGATGAGAGATGGGCCGGTCAGCCACCATCATGGAAATGGCAACTCCTTTGCCTCACCCCTCCACCATCGCCACCTGCTAATTAGGGATAGACCAGACCTGAGGCATATCACGGATGTCTGGTCGTGAATTGATATGTAGTGTAGTGGATCCTTAAAACAGCTATAAAAGACAGTTATGCTCTCAGTCAAATTGATTTCATTCAGCAGAGAACCAATCCGTCTGTTTCCACTCAAACGCCAGCCCTTAATTCTATCAACATGCGTTCCTCGCTTCTTCTTGCTGCGCTGCCTCTGGCCGCGGCCTCTCCCCTCAATCGGGCTCCTCTTATGACCCGGGATGACGCAGATGTCCTTGAGGGCAAATACATTGTTGTTATGAAGAAGGGTGCCGAGATCTCTGACGTCAGTAATGCTATTAGCAATATTGCCGGCGAAGCGGAGTATGTCTATAACAACCTCGGTGGGTTTGCGGCCTCTCTCACCGACGAGGAAGTCGACTCTCTTCGCAACAACCCTAGCGTATGTATTAGACTATGAGATATTAACACCCTGTCATAAACTGACCAATCTCGAATGTAGGTTTCCTATATTGAACAGGACGCCAAGGCTCAGATCTTTGCTACCCAGACCGGTGCGCCCTGGGGCTTAGCTCGTCTGTCCAACACGAGCCCAGGAAGCACTACTTACACCTACCCTGATAATGCTGGCGAGGGTGTCTGCGCCTACGTCGTTGATACTGGTATTGATGTAAACCACGCTGTACGTAATATCACTTCCTGTGGAATTCTGCCTTTGGGTATTGACAATTGCCTTGCAGGACTTTGAGGGCCGCGTGACCTGGGTTGCGAGAGTCTATGGTGACAACGACTATGATGATCATTCGCACGGAACCCATTGTGCCGGCACCATCGCTGGAAAGACCTACGGAGTTGCCAAGAAGGCTAGCCTCTTCGCGATCAAGGCCTTCAACGCCGCCGGTGGCGGTACAGTGTAAGTACAAAGCAGCGACCGCCCGAGGCAATCACTATTCTAACTATGTACAGGGCATCCATGATCGCCGGAATGGAGAAGGTCATTGAGGACGTTCCTAACAGGGACTGCCCTAACGGAGTTGTCGTCAGTATGTCGTTTGGTGGTGGCAAGACTCAGGCTGTCAACGATGCCGCCAAGGCTCTGACAGATGCTGGCTACTTCGCCGCTGCTGCCGCAGGCAACGGCAACATATTTGGTATCCCCATTGATGCTGGCACTGTTTCCCCTGCATCCGAGGTTTCCATCTGCACCGTCGGTGCCACTGATAGTAGTGACGCTGTTGCCTCCTTCTCCAACTACGGCACCGTTGTCGATATTTTCGCACCGGGCGTTAGTGTCCTTAGTGACATCCCCAACAACGGTACCGGTACTAAGAGCGGCACTTCTATGGCCACCCCTCACATTGCTGGTCTGGGAGCTTCCTTCCTCAGCCAAGGACAAAGCCCTTCTGGACTCTGCGAATACCTTAAAGGCATTGCACTTTCTGGCGTCATCACCGGCGTCCGCAGCGGTACTGCCAACCTCCTTGCTCAAAACGGCTTGGCAGCTTAAGTGTGCGTTGGGATAAACTAGATTCATTGAGGTCTTCATTCTCTTCCTTGGATAGATTATCAAAGCCTAGTAAATAAATAAATAAATAAATAAGTAAACATCTCGAATTGTGATGTAAGCCGCAAACCACTGTTTGGGATTTCATCAATATAACCGGTCTGTAAAGTTAGGTAGACATAGTCTTGTTGGTAGTAGTTCACGTCTTTTCTGTATAGTTACCTAGGGGCAGATTGGCTCAGCATTATATTTGCCTTCCTGACACACAGACGGCCATTAGTAGCCTTTTTTTCGATGTGATATTGCCTTGCTGCTTTAACGAAGAAAATACAAACCGTCGATTTGTTGCGTCAAAGCGAATCTTCTATCTTATCCTCCGCTATAGAGCTTTCTCAAAGTAATGAACATTCGTTTGGGGGGCTAAAGATGCTTGGCCCGGCTTGTAGCAATTGGCGTAGCATTAATAACCGATTATGACGTCTTCATCGTAGGTACAGATATAGAAAAAACCTTTGGATTTTGAAGAGAACTCGTAGTCATGAGTTAGATGTTGGAAGGGGATCCTCTCTATATATACTTAAAACTTAATGGGTACAGCAACGAAGCAGCTCATTTGGTCTAATGGTTAGTCAATCCCGCATACCCCACCATGCTTCCTAAAGCAGCAATCTAACACCTTCCAGGTTAGGATCATCGCCTTCCAAGCGATGGGTCGGAGTTCAATTCTCCGGATGAGCAATTCTTTTTTTTTTTTTCTTTTAAGACGTCTTTTTTTCTTTATAAGATTTTTTATTCATAAGATTTCTTTCTATTCATATCTGTTTTATTCGTAGGAGGATTTGTTTTTGCTTTGCGTTGGAAGAACGACACACGGGCGCATCGGTCAATGAGCGGGCTCGGGGAAAGAATGCGGGGAGTTTGCGGAAGACTTGCGGATGTTTGGATACACCAACCCACATTATGTTGCCAGAAATAGCGGGAAAACAAGGTTGCTAGAAATCTATTGGTAGGAGTTTTCACTTGATTTCTAATTGAAATATTTGGCCCGGTTGTTCATGAATGTTTCCGAACCCTCAGCGCACCTATAAAGACCTCTGTCCACCCACCGTGAAGATGGGAAGACCGGCACAATATCAACTTGACATAGCTCCCGGACATCTGATTTCCTATCAAATATTCTTACCTTCCCAGAGAAATATGGCTTCTAAAACTCCCGTCAATTTCATCCTTGGTACTCACCATGTGCGTGTGTCCTGATCCGTTGCGTCGAATTCAGCACTGACCAGTCTACCTCTCCAAGGTGGGCGATAGCACCAAGAGCCCGCTGGCACCATTTGACAAAATGGAGGATGTACAGGCTCTATTGGATGCATTCCATAGTCGCGGATACACCCATCTGGATACAGGCCGCAACTACTCCCTCCACGCTCCCGGCTCCAGCGAGGAGCGCCTGGGCAAGTCCAAGAACCTCGGCCGCTTCGTCATCCACACCAAGGTCGAAGACGGCTTTGCTAGAGCTCACGAGGCAGCCAAAATCCACAACAGCATTGACAAATCGCTCAAGGCTCTCAACGTCTCCAGCGTAGAGACCATGTATCTCCACGTGCCGGATCGACAGACGGCTTTTTCGGAGACGGCACAGGCAATCCACGAGGCGAAACAACAGGGAAAGTTTAAACACTGGGGCTTGTCCAACTATGCCGCAAGCGAGGTTGAGCAATTCATCAAAATTTGCGAAGAAAAGGGCTACGATAAGCCCAAGGTGTGTCAGGGCCACTACAACCCAATTGTGAGAGGAGGCGAGAAGGAGCTGTTTCCACTGTTGAGGAAGTACGGGATCGCGTTTATTGCCTATAGGTGAGGGACTTGGGCCTTTTTTGTAGCCACTCAACACTCAATTGATACGAAAGCTGACGATTGGCATAACAGCCCTGCTGCAGGTGGCTTCTTCAACGGTAAGGTAGCTACATCGACACGGTGGAGTAGCGAGGTGAGAACTGACTCTCTTTTTAACCCTCTATCTAAGAGCAGTCGCTGACTACCATAGAACGCTACCGGAAACTTGTACAATGCACTGTATCAGAACGCCGCCGTCCGAGCCTCCGCTGCCACCGTGCATGACGCTGCAGCCAGACATGGCATTAGCGGACATGCCGCTGCAATCCGATGGACAGCGTACCACAGCGCTCTGGATGGAAAGCTCGGCGACGGAGTTGCCTTTGGGGTGTCCAAGGTAGAGCAGGTGCACAAGACGCTGGACGCGCTTGAGGCCGGTCCCTTGCCCGCCGATGTGGCAGATGCCATCACGGCCATCTATGCAACGGTGGAGGGTTCGGAGCCCCCGTACTTTATTGGAGAGGCTACTACTGAACTTATATCTACACAGGAACAGTAGATATATTCATCCTGACTCTTGTCGTACCTGTCATAGTTGATCTGAATTGGAATACAATCCACCCCTAATAGAGGGACGGTTATTGGTCGATCTCATCAAGTAGTAATCTGAGCATATATCTCTGTCTATTCATTCTACCTGTCTCTAATCACCCATTCTCATGAAAAGTCGACTTGATCTGAAACAAAAAACTTCCTCACCTCCGAACCGTCGTTCTCCTTCTATCCACACGATTCGCCACGCTTGGTGGCATTCACTGCACGCATAAATCTATTTATGTTTGCTTTGAAGTTCTTCACGCTATTGGACGCAAACAGATCATCCATGTTGTTAAATCTGGGCCCAGTTTCCGTGCAACAATAAGCGCTGTAACCGTAGCAGGTGGAGTTCCGACCTGGCACATCGTGGAAACCAAGTGCTAGTGATAGCTTAATCGAATCCTGAGGGCACGAACCTTCGCATATGTGGCTCTCCTCGTCGGACTTCAGATGACCAGCCTTGGGAACCCATTTGCAGTCGGTATCGAACGCTGCGGGAGGAGGGTCGTTGCAGCAGAGTGCCCTGGAATGGCCTTTCTGACACAACTGGTGACCACCCCAGCCGAAGGTCGAGGATACGACCAATCTGCCGTTGCATGCCTGCTGAGGTTCAACTCGACAGTCAGTCCAATAGCACTCGCCGTACGCCTTGGTTACGTCACTTGGCTTGCAACAAGCGCTCTGGTGGTTCTTTTTGCACCCAGCCCTGCGAGAGCCGACCTCGACTTCATCAGTATCACAGCCGGGTTGACAGTTTCCGGTACTGCTATGACCCCGCCAAGTGCAGGTTGGCAAGGGCTGACTGGCCGGTCAGCAGAATTGGGCGAATCCCAAACTACCGTATTGGTCCCTGCAGATGTCTTTGTCCGTCATGATGTCTTTTTGTCCTTCCTCCCGCACTTCTTTGAAACCCACCGGACATCCCTCAAAGCAGCTGGACCATCGACATTGCTGAGGGGCCGGCTTGCGCCACACGTTGCCCTGCTGTCTGGTAGTACTGAAATTCGGGGCTTCCATCTGTTTGTGATCTAAAGCAAGGCTCAGTGCCTCGATGTTGGTTTCTTTGTCATTTTCATGATTCAGGGCCCTCACTGCGAAGCTGTTAATGCACTGGCCCCGAGCAATGTTCCCCTTTAAGCGCCATGTATCTGCATCGTCAAATGACACCCACTGGTTGCCCCACGAGACAGTTTTGACGGCGTGCTCGGGATGTAAAGTGGGCTGAAGATTATTTTGTCGGATAATTCTTTCAATCTCTTCGTGATGCAAAACACCCACATTGTTCGAACACTCGCCTGGGTTGCCGCCTGAACTAACACGGCATCCGGGATCATGGCAGTTCGGGTCCGTTAAAGTGAAGCTTCGCCCATAGAACGACACTCCCATGGTGACTTTGGTGGGGCTGATGTCGTTTCGCCATAGATGATCCAAGGCCGTCTGAATTTCGGTCATATTGGTGTGACTGTTGACCCAAGGTCCCATGGACTTGTCAATGATGTCCCAGGAGCCATGTAGATCGTAGCTCATGAGATTAAACCAATCCACATGGGGTTCGAGTGATTTGAGATCAAAGCCCTTCAGATATCTGTGTGTTGTAGGGATGACCATAGAAACGCCCTTTTTGACATCCTTCATTCTTGAACGAAGTCTGTTCATAAATTCAACCTGATTTTTGTAATCTTCGGGACGTCCACCACGATCATTCGCCGTTGGGAATTCCCAGTCAATATCAACACCGTCGAAACGGTATCTATTCATCATCGAAACCAAAGAATCTAGAAAGGTGGTGGTATTTTCGGCCGAGGCGGCAAGACTGCTGAAGGTCGTCTCGTTGGACCCTCATCGTTGAAGGCCCAGCCACCCAAGGCCACCCAGACTTTTATATCCGCCTGGATCGATTTTATCCCTGCCACACGTTCCATGTGATCCCCTGAAACGTGTCCGGCGCTGACCTTGAACGTACGCGGGTCGATGGTGGCGAACCTGAAGATGACGTGTGTGTATCGAAGGTGCGGGATTTGCTCGGGTATCATCCTATAGCACGAAGGTGATTTCTCAGATGATTTTCGTATAGAAAATATCGAGGGCTCGTAGTACCCTATCATACGGGCTACAGGAGTGGAATTGACCGAGCACCGTGGTCTGTTGGGTACCTCATTGCCGCAGAAGTCTCCGTTGCATTCTGTCGTTTGCTGGTGAGAAGGCTGCGCAAGGCAGTAAATGAAGACCAAGACTATTAGGAGAAGATCCATGATTCGAACAATTGGTAGCGTTGAAGCACAAGACAGCTTGAATGGCCAAGCGAACTGTTGCGGAAAAGTTACCTAGTAAATAGCCAACTCGTCACAACAAAAATGCCTGTGACTAACTGAGTAGCACCGTCGATACACTGCCTATAAAGCTGATGAATGCTTGGCTTGTGTCACTATAGGGCAAAAACATCGTATTTTAAAAAAAACAACTATCTGCAAAGGCTTCAGAGTGTCAATACCTCGGGGTATTGACTATAAGGGGATATTTGTACAGCAGCGTTGCATAACTTGCAATTTGACTGGGTATTGGCCAACCTGAATGCCAAGATACTGGCCTGTGACCGCTAAGTTCATACGAGGTACCATGACGGACCATTCACTGCTCTCTGGATATCTGGCGGCCTCCTGGATGGATTGTGGTCATTTCGGCCAGCTCAATTTGGCCACACCCGAGACACATGAAGTCAACGACACGGCGAACCGAAACAGGCAGTTTGGAGATGAAAAATGCCTCTTTCCCTGTGTACTAAATATGACTGCTTTAGCGTTTGCTAATTCCTCTTCTTCAAGTCTACCAATATGGCCATCGCCGCTCATCTTGCCCAGCTCACCTTGTTGGTCGTTTTCATTGTGGTTGTAGCTCAACCGAATCATGTCTCTGCCACTTCAGTCTCGAACGAGCAGATAGCCGGCTTCCAGGCAATCTCTCAGAGGCTTCTTAACCTAGCCAAACTGGACTCCAACTGCCTACGAGCCGCCAAGCAAATAATCAAATGTCATGAGACAGTTAATGAGCTCGGGCGACGAGAATATCACGGCTCGCTGGGAGACAATTGGCTGACTGATCTGGTCTGCGCCCCGTCGTGCAAACAATCGCTGGATACAGCTCGGGAGAACATAAAGATGGCTTGCGCCGGCTCGCCGAATCTCCTTCCTAGCATAACTGTTGTCTCCGTTGTTGACTCGATCCAAACGGGTTGGAAGAAACCTGTCTCAAAGATGAACAGTCAGGCGACTATTGCAACCGTGAGTCTGTCTTAATGATGTTACTATGAAATCAAACTGAGAGATAACCCACCAGATATTACCGATGCGCTGGAGGAGTATAAAAATATCGAAGACATGCCAGAGAAGGAGCTCTGCTCATTCTGTTATGGGGCAAAGCTGCGTCAGATGCAAAAGTCTGAGCACTCCGCGTACGACCGAGAATTCACTTCTATGCTTGAGTTTGTAAATAAGAGTACTATTCGTCTCTCTTTTGGTTACCCGGCTGATACTAACCTTGTTTGAAGAGTGTCGTATCGACAGTCCGATTGCCCAAAAGCAGGAATGCCCTCCGGATAAAAGTTCATGGCCTAGGACCTGCTTCAGTGGCAAGACTATCACTACAAAGGAAAGTGATACCTGCGATAGCATTGCTCTGGCCAACTCAATCTCATCATCGACACTCTACTACATCAACCCCCACCTGCTTGACTGCCGTAGCATTGAGAGTGGAATGGAACTCTGTCTGCCACAGACCTGCACTACGTACACCATCCAAGAGCATGAGGCTGCCGATTGCGTCGACATAAGTATGGCTGGCGGCGAAGGGGGGTGGTTGGATCTTATTGACTGGAATCTCATGCTCGATTCCCGCTGCACGAACCTTCGGAGCACAGACCCTTTTTGGGGTCACGTCATCTGTATGAGTCCTCCAGGTGACAGGTTTATCGACGAGATGAGGTCCGGCTTCAGCGAACACCCCGGGAACGGCTACATGGGCGGCCCGGGAGGCTTCGGTACTGGTTATGAACTCCACAGCCGTGCAAAACCATTGACGGACATTGCAAAAGGCACCACCAGGAGCTGCGCCCAGTATATCGTAGCAGTGAAGGGATTGAGTTGCGCCGAGATGGTGGTGTCAGCCGACAGGGCTACGCCCATGGACCTGTTTCTACGAGTGAACCCGTCCCTCGGCAATGCCAGCCAATGCGATGAGAACTTGAAGCCCGGATTATCGTACTGCCTTAAGATACACCCCCTTTGGGACGGATTGGCAGAGATGGAGGACGACTGGGAGGAGTTGTAGATTACTCTCTAGCGAATGTCTGATGAGTTGTGGTGGGTGGAACTGGTACCCGAACAGATTTTCATGACAGGCACAGGCAATAGGATGATGATGATTGGGTCATTTTGTAACTGCCTAGAGCTGGTCAGCTGGTAGCCCCTAAGCGTATTTCGTATTAGCTCTCGCCTTATACTGTCGCCTACAAAATAAATTTTAAACGCAGTGCAATATGCTGCCCACTTCGCTCTCTGCTAAATTTATCAGCACCGATCCATAGTGCAATACCGAAAGCCTCAAGATCCGGCAGCGACATGGCTAAGTTCGGCTTTTTCCAGTATCTGCGCCTGAAATGCGCCGTCGTCCTCTTTAGGGCTGTGGCCTGGCTTGCTCAGCGTTCTGTCTTTGGGTACACCCCCACTGAGCCGGTCGAGAGGAAGCTCAGAAAGATCCCTGGAAGCTCTGCTGGAAGCTATATCAACGTATGGGTTTATACACCTCCCGATATCAACCTTGCTCGTCGCCCAGCCGTCCTTATCAACTGGCATGGGAGCGGGTTCGTGCTCCCGGGGTTCGGTCTTGATCATCTGTGGTGTGCCAGAGTCGCGCAGGAATGTGGCATATACGTGGTGGATGCCGACTACAGAAAGGGCCCCGAGGATCCATTCCCTGCGGCCGTTGAAGATGCCGAGGCCGTGTTGAGATGGGTAGCAGCCTCAGACCTGTTTGACGAGAAGCGCATCGCTGTCTCGGGGTTCAGCTCGGGCGCGAATCTGGCCTTGGTTGCCGCTTCCATACTGCGAAAGAAGCTCACCATGGTAGACATCAAGATCCCAGTGGCATTCTATCCCGTCACGAACAAGGCCGCAGATCCGGAGCAGAAGGTCGCCCCCCAGTCCAATAAGCCAGTCCCCGCCGGCATCTCGCGCATCTTCAACGACTGCTACGTGCCTGATGTCGCGGTCCGCAGCGACCCACGGGTCTCACCCGAGTTTGCAGACCCAGATTCCTTCCCAGATCGCGTTACAATTCTGACAGCGGGTGGGGATAATCTTGCGCCCGAGGGGAATGCGCTCGCCGCCAAGCTAGACAACGGGCATCGAAAGGTGGTCACTCGCATGTTTGATGATGTCAATCACGGGTTTGACAAAGGCTGTGCTAAGGGTTCTGTTGCGGAGAGGGTGAGAGACGAGGCGTACTCGTTGGCCATCGCTAGTATAAAAGAGGCTCTCGTCTGATCTTTGCTATACGTTCATTTTATTCCTCAAGCATCAAATGAGAGAGATCCCCAGTCAATCTCATTCTAAATTCTTGGTTATTCAGAAAATCGTCACATTTTCAGTTAATGAATTTGATAATATTGCATGCTCCTGCCCCTACTCGTGAGCCATCATCAGGCCTCGACCGAAACTTGGTCATCATTAACCTGAGCAACTATGATAAAGATTCCTAGATCCCTACAACAAAACATGGACAGTAGAATGATACAAGGGTGTGTAGGAAGGTTGGTTGCATTACTCTTTTGGGGGCCTGTTATAAGTACATGCGTAGTAATACATTCCAGTTTCAGATAATTGTGTTTGCCGTCGTTCAAACACGCTCCTCGATGTGCTTCGAGGTAACAGAATCTGTGTCCTTTAGGTCCTTCAGGTTCTCCAACTGCGCCCGAACATGGGGGTTCAGATCGTCAGGCGTTGGGTAAGCAACCTTATAAACTGTGTACCACGGCCTCTCGAACAGCTTGTCCATGCTCTCCAGAGACCTGCCAGATGTCTCAGGCATAGCAAAGAACACATATACCAGCGAGATGCAGCAGATGGACAAGAAGAAGATGAAGGCGCCGAATCTTTGAGTCGCCTCCAGGAGAGAAGGCATTGCCTTGGAGCACCCAAAGTACATGGCCCAGTGGACTGCCATCAGTATGGCGACGTTGATGGAGCGAATACGAACTGGGAAGACCTCGGCTGAAACAAGATACGGAATGGAAAACCACCCGATGGACCAAGCAACGGCGTGGAAGTAGATGGACACGATGGCGGCCCGACTGGCACCCATGGCAGAAGCGCTAGCTTCGATCTGTTCAACTGACCAGCCGTTTGTCACTCCAAGATAGCCTCCCACGTAACCTAGTGTTATGATCTGCATGGTAATACCTGTCATGAGAGAGCGACGGCGGCCAATGAAGTCGATCACGAAGACGGAGAAGAGCAACACGGACACAAATTTGACAATAGCGTAGATACCAGTCGCCAGAAATCGGGACTCGGTCCCCTTGATTCCCAGGTAGCCGAAGATTGTCGGGCTGTATTGTGTGATGGCATTGGCACCGCTCCATTGGCTGAAGACGTGTGCGGCGAACATCAAAATAAAGCGGCGTCTGTTTGGCAAGTCGGTGAAGGTCTCTTTGATCAGATCGAATGTGCTTGCCCCTGCGACGATCTCAATCTCGTGGTTAAGTTGGGCCTCCATGCCTTCGAACTCGGCCTGGACATAAGGATGGTCTTCTGGCAGTCCTCGGAATTTGCACAGTGTGGCAAGCGCTTCAGATCTCTTGTTCTTCATAAGAAGGAATCGTGGCGTTTCAGGGGTGAAGAAGCAGCCCACGCCCCAAATGACAGCCGGGATAACCTGAAGAGCTGTTGGGAGCTGCCACTGCAAATTTGTGCCGGAGTGGTACTTGGTAACACCATAGTTGAAGAAGAAGCCGAAAACAACCCCAAGCTGCTGGCAGCAGGTATATTGCAGGGTACATAGACCACGAATCGAAGCTGGGGCAATCTGGTCAAAGAGAATAAAGTCAGCTGTGTTTGCTTTCTGCTATAGATGGCGTCGAGAGGATGCACGTACTTCTGCGATGTAGATCGCGGGTAGTACTGTGGTGGCACCAATGCCCATACCAGCGATTATTCGGGTAATGTAGAGAACCGCCATGCTGCCATTACTGAATGTTTGTCCAAAAATACCTCCAATATAAACAATCGTAAACATGAGGAACGTGAATTTTCGGCCGAATCGCTGGGTGAGCCAAACACAAGCGAGGCAGCCGAAGACAGCACCAGCTGTGGCAATGGAGACAATCCAACCCTTTGTAGACGCAAATTCTTTATCGGACTGGTTTTTAAGGCCGAACCGGCTCAGGAAAATATCCATGACGACAACAGAGGCAATGTTTCCTAAAAGGGAAGTGTGAGAGCTTGGAAACCCAAGAGAGATGTAGAAGACTCGACGAACCTTCATCAAAGCCCTTCGCAACACCGGAGAAACTCCAGATGCAGGTACAGACCAAGAGATACCAGTTGAAGATCTCCCGAGGGCTGTCTTTGATGGCCTTTTTCGTGGCCGCAATCATGTTCGGTTTCGTCATGATGAGGGGTCGTTGTTTCTCTGCAGTAGCCGTGACGGTAAAGGATTTGAGAGCTACGAACCACACGCTCTTGTCGACACATTCGAAAACAGGACGCGGTCAGATCACTGTTTATACTACGAGATTCCCCACATGAAAGCGGAGGAGGAGCGGGGACATCCAGAAGCCCCATCAAGTGGGCGAGTCTGGAGTACGTGTATGGGGCGGTGCGGAGAAAGTCTAGTGAGATATTTCAGAAAGGAGGGTGTTGATGTTGAAGACATCGCGTTGACGTCCGACGGATGACAGGGGGAGGCTCGGGGCCCAACACCGTCCTGGATTGTTAGCCGAGACACCACTCTGCAACCGTACAAGCAGCTGGTACAGTCCGCTCTTGGGTGGGAAGGATAAGAGAGAGAAACAGGCGCTTAATTTCACTTATACAAAAGGAAACCGAACCATTGTCACAAGTCCTTTGTAAAACTCGCCGCGTTCAGCTTTGCCTATAGAGCAGGACCGAACTAGCAGTTGAAGCGCAGGTCCTTCGTCAATACGACCCCAATGATTCAGCAACGGGAGATCGGGAATGAATAAACTAGGGACAGAATGATGTCGTCGGGCCGGGCCCGAGGCATGAGGCTCTTCACTCGTCGGACCTCCTCCGATGCCTCCGCAATGTGTTGCCTAGACTGCGAAAGACCGGCAATTCCCCCCTTCCTCCAGACTTGTCACGATTCATGCGCGTTACCCCGCATCATTGACATGTTGTTACTAATTTGTACGAGATTTGTGTCTGTCAATCACCATTTCTAAATCTGGTCTGGTTGGGGTGAGCTCGTCGGTGGTGGCCCGAAGTGTCTGGATCCTCTCTCCGCACTTTTGATGTCCCTGTCTCCCAAGCAAGACGACCGAGATCGGACAACAATCCGAATTCAACCCGGGAGACAGAAAATTCATAACTGACCAAAAAAGCAGGGACCAGAAATTCGCGCCATCGTCTCGGACTTACTATTTTGTTTTCCCAGGAAAAGAAAGGCTCAAGAAAGCAATCAGCCAACATGAACTTCTACCCACCACCGCCTGTGATCAAAGCCGAGGTATACCTGCGTATCCCCGACGATAAGAGGTGTATTGGCCAAGACTCGGAGTGGACGGGCGGGTTTGCCAGAACCTTCCAACACATCTTCCTCGAAGGACCAGTGGTTGATGACAAAGGGAATATATATGTTGTCGATATACCGTATGGCCGGATATTGAAGGTAGATGGCGAGAAGAACGTAACGGTGTGCTGCACATGGGACGGAGAACCAAATGGTTTGGTTGGTACAAAGGATGGAACCCTTCTAGTGGCAGATTATAAACAGGTATTACGCTCGCTGTCGGCATCAATCGTTCTAAAGCTAACGTATCCCCTGTAGGGAATCCTTGAATTCAACCCGAAAACGAGAGAAGTCAAACCTAAATTGACGAGGAAAAACCTAGAAAGATTCAAGGGGCCGAATGACCTGATAGTTGACTCAAAAGGCAATCTATACTTCACCGACCAAGGTCAGACGAGCATCACCGACCAGACAGGCAAGATCTACCGCTTATCACCAGATGGAAAGCTGGATACTTTAGTAGACAATGGTGTGTCTCCAAATGGACTTGTCTTGTCGTTAAACGAGCGTTTTCTATATGTCGCCATGACCAGAGCCAACCAAGTTTGGAGGCTACCTCTCCACCCAGACGGTACCACGTCGAAGGGCGGGGTTTTCTTTTCTTCTTTTGGGAATGTCGGTCCTGATGGGCTGGCTCTCGACGAGGAAGGAAATCTTTTCGTTTGCCACCCCAGTTTAGGCTCTATCTTTGTTGTCGATTCGGATGGTCTTCCCAAGGCCCGAATCATTAGCGGCTCACCTGGTATCAATCTCACAAACTGCTGCTTTGGAGGACCTGACCATAAGACGCTGTACATCACTGACAGCCTTGAGGGTAATATCCAGAAGGTCGAGTGGCACTGCCGTGGCGCAGTTCCCGCTCCAAAATTGCAGTCATAGGGTTGGAATGGGTCACTTTAGGAATTCTGATAAATCTATTCCTTTCTATGCAAAACGTGGTTAGCCTGGCTCATAGTAAGATATATTTTCAGAAAAATCAAGGGGAAAGCGGGAGATTCCCCTTTCATTTGCTAGCTCTAGGGTAGGGTCATAAGAAATCTCACACTCGATGGGGAAGCCCTCATTTCTTGACCAACCACGACTCTCCAACAAGCAGTGGACCCCAGCACTTCTTACAGCTCACCCTTGTTAACGTTTCTCAATTGCCGATTACGACGACTAGTGCTGAGTGTAGGATTGCTTCTTGGCAGGCTCTACCGCTATACGACTCTGCGGCATCGTCGCTGACGTACCTTTGGCTATAACTTTGCCTCTTTGCCCTCCGCGTGAGAGTCTTTCCCTTTGGCCCTCACACTACTATATTCAATTGTTCAACAGCCAAGATGCGCACCTCGGCCATCATTTTCACTCCCTTCCTCGCTGCTGTGGCAGCTAGTTGCAAACCTACCAACGCAGCCTGCCACTTCGCGCCTTCGACCAACGCCACTGCCTCCAACTATCCTGGAGCCGACAATCAGACATCGTTCCCATACAACGTGAACGTCCTCTCCGAAGTCCCTGTGGCAGATATCTGTACTACGGTCAGTGGCAGCGTTGCAGATGAGTTGGCTTGCGCCCGCAAGTATATCGACGCCATTGATGAACAAATGGCTTTTCTATATGCTCGACGTCTCGGATATGCGGCCGTGGCAGGGCATGCAAAGTATCGCAACGGTACCGACCTCAATGATGCGAGTCGCAACGAAATTGTGGCTGAGGGCATGGCACGCCGCGTGGTCAAGTATGGCGGGAGCGAAGAGGTAGGACGGGTGATGGGTGGTGAAGGATGTCAGATCTATGCCAGCCTAATCTATGAGGCTGAGAACATCCGGGCTGTGTGTAACCCCGACTTTGAGGAGGAGTTTGCCCGACCTTGTGATGTGGTCTAAATCAAACTTTATCTTGAACTCGAGATTGTGCAAGTAAAGTAAGTTTACTACCTTGTCACGGTTCATATCTGCGAGGATGGCAAGTGGTCACGAAACAACATAGGTATATGAGTATTTCTCGCCTTTGAACTACTTTTGCGCCTCTACATCTTGTTTCCTCCTACAGCTGTCAAGAGCCACTCTATAGAATGGAGGGTACTGTTAGCAGTCCTCTTCTTCCTGCCAAGTAAATATTTATTGTTTGGAGTAAATGGGAAGACCTCCCAGTAGATAACACGGTTATTTTGAATGTAGGAATAGGTCCTGAAATATCAATCAATTGTGTAAACCCGTCATCAAGATAACTCACTTAGAGTTCACTAGCCACAGAGTAGCAGACAAGTGTACATATGAGACATGATTGGCGTACGACTTTCATCATGGACATACAAAAAGGGTTTTCTTCGACTCGATCTAGAGAATGTTAGAAACTTCTGCCTGTCTTTCTATCTCTTACCCCACAACAGCAGCCCAGTCATCCCACTCATGAATACATGAACGAATTTTATGTATCATATACCCCAAGCATAGGTTTTGACTAATTAAATTCCTACAATAATCAACACTTTTCTAGCTATATAATTAATAAAAGTAAGAAAGATAGAGCCAAGATAAGAAGAATTTCTAATATCTATATTGTTACGTCTTATCCAGCCTCAACTGGATAAGGATCATTGTGATGATTGAGGCTTTCTGGGAAAGGTGGTCATATTCTACGCTCACGTGGATTGAAGCTGCTTATCACGAAACCGGCACTTATGAGGGCAGATTGTATGATGCAAAGAGCTTGCCTCTATTAACTAGTTCAGCCGAATCACCCTTTTCAAGGGATGCCCTTAGCGTGGCCCATTCCAACCCGGGCATTGATTCCCATTAGGATCGGCACTGAAATGGTCAGTTACGCCAATAAAAGATTATACAACTCGGTGCAGGAGGAATATTGCTTGCCTGTAGCGCCAGCTTATGGAGGTCCTACTACCCCCTCGCTCGCAGTTGGAGATCTTCCTTGAGAGCAACTTGAAGCACTCGTCTTTACTAAGTGAGAGAGCACCGTTTTTATTCGAGTCTTCGAGGAGCATTGTGAACTTTACATGCTTGTAAGGGCCGATGTTATAACATCGGCTGCGGACTTCACACCTTTTATAGAGGCCCTGGAGGGGACCGTTGCAAGCTTTCCGGGCCGCCGCGAAGGCCTCGCCCCTTTCGATGCCGTACTTCTCTCCAGCGGGGTAGCAATGACGGACCTCGAGATTCTGCACAATGGCATCAGGGCTGGCGATCGACGCAGCAGCGGCCAGGCCCAGGGAGTGTAAGATGACAAATAGTGAAGTGCAGGGCTTCATTTAGGAAGCGCAAGATGAAATATCAAATTATTGAAAGTAAATTCGATCAATGAATAGAGGTAACTGGCAGATGGGTATTTGGATGTTTAATCTTTGTTTTGAACGGCGTGTTGAAGTGGTGTAAGACGAGTGTGAAGCTAGGTGAAAGATGGTAGAATAAATGGCGATCTGACGAGCGGCTCGTCTCGAGGGGAAGCGAGTTATCGGCATAAAGGTTTATAAACTTTTCCTTCTACGTGGCTGCAGCTAGCAGAGCTTATTTTTGCCTTTGTAGTCATTGTGTCGAGATGTCGGCTCTAGCCTCTTCCATTGCTGTGTTTTACTTTATACTCGAACTCTCATCAGAGAATTAGTGTTTTGAACTACTTGGAGGTGGGAATGTAAACTACTTATATATTGATCGTTCCTCAGTCGATCAGCTGGATAAAGCGAGTGCTAAAGACACTTCTTTGCCCCCAATTGCAGTACTTGAAAATTTGGGCTCAATGTTGACAGACTTTATGCGAGTTCGTGTTTTATATTTCGCGGCTACAAAAAGCAATCTGCGCAGTAGGGCGATGCACTTTATCTTAACTGCATCTAATATTGATGATTGGATTTCAATCCATTGCGAGAATAGCCATAATGAGCCTTTGCAGCGGCTATCCAACTTTTCCGGGAAGCTCCTACGAGATAGATCAAATCTGGGCTCGATATTCCTGGGATACGTCTGGCACCAAACTTTTCGGGAGGCAGGCCAGCCATTTTACAAGTGGGACTTTGAGGGAGTCTCTCCCATTGTTGTTTGGCTCCTAGGCTGGAATTGAACCGACCCCTGTGGCCTTGGCATAAAACCAACGCTTGCAGAGATTTCTCCATTGATGAAATTGTCGGATACTCTTTCAAAAAGTTTGCCTCTCTGTCTCACTTCCCATGCCAGTCATTGGGATCATAAGCGGGTGACATAACCGCCAATGTAGTAAGGTATAGATGCTGTATTCTAACATAGTGTCAAGAGAATATCAAAATAACGCGTCGTAGAGATTGGATGGCTTGTCTATAACTGGTGTTGGTGTCCTCAGCAGGAGGGCATTTGCAGCATTTTCAACGTGCGGCGATTGGGTATGTTGCGTTTTCTACTATTCGAAATATAAAACATGTCCATCTCTTTCATTCTAAGAGATTAATGTTTTAAGAATCTATTAAGACAGCCCGTAATCACCTTTGCTCCACCATTCCTTGAATGAGACACAGTTGACAGATGGGGAAGTCAACCATTGACTGGTGTCTCATTCTGGCTACCCGACCGGCTGTCGCCTGTAGGCGGGAGAGGCAGGATCAACATAAATCGAAGCTTTAGAAATGGGGTACAAGAGGTAAGAAGGCAACGAACTTTGTCCTAGTGAAGATTGGGGAAAGTCCCAGCCTCGTATCCAAGGTTACGTTCCTGTTGTTAAACTCCCGATGGCTTGATGGATAGTAACCTGTGAATGCATAAGCGTCGGGTGGTTAATCGCCCGACTGAGACACCCTCATCAGCTTCAAGAACGATTCAATCTAGGCTGTTTCGGAACGCCGCTTCGGTGTCTCAAACCTTTCACCGAACCGGCCAATGACCATCAGACTAACCATCGGTAGAGGACGGGAGAGTACCCAAGTTTGCTGCATACATTGGTGATTAGGCTTCAAGGGGTAAACTTTAAAGAAGTTTGACGTGCCGGTCAGATGGTACACTTTCGAATTCAGGCCGGCCCGATCCCCTCTTGTCAACGAATGATTCCAGTTCTTACAAGCAATCATGAAAACGGGAATATCACTGTCACTGGCTATTGTGTACTTGGTTAGCTACACGATCGCACTTCCCGTCGCGAGCAGAGATGCGGCACATTTCGCACGATTGATAGTGTTCGGTGACAGCTTCAGCGATAATGGTAACGGATCATGGGTGGTAAGCAATGCAACATGGCCGTCGGACCCTTCATACTTCGCGCATTCCTTTTCGTAGGTAATCCGTCGATTCGATTAATCTGTGATCCAATTCTAACGAGTGTGATAGAGATGGGCCCGTGTGGAACGAACTCGTTGCGGACGCCCTTGATCTTCAGCTTGTCAACGTCGCGACAGGCGGAGCTACCACAAACAATGGCTTCGTTCAAGGACGGACAGGTCCCAAGTCGGAAATCCCTGTGCCTTCTACGGCTGAACAAATTGCGTCGTTCTTATCGTGGGACACGCCCAGACCTGGAGATGTGTTTGTTCACTGGTCCGGCGTCAACGATATTCTTTTCAACCCCAATGTTACTGGCTCGCAGACGACCAGCTTGATCAGCGAGAATATTGAGACATTGTATCGTGCTGGTGAGTTGTCGAACTCGACCCTGATCGATCAAATCCATACTCACCCGGTTGATAGGAGCCAGGAACATTGTTCTAGGCAACTACAACGACATTGAAACCTTCCCAGGGACCTATGACGCCTCTGACTATCAGAGTGATAATGTGAAGTCCTATATGGACGATCTCAGCATTGGGCTCAGGAACATTGTGGGTGCATACTCTGTTTGTGCGAACACGGCGTTGGTTGAGGTACAAACGTTGTTTCGCAATATTGCGGCCAACCCTGCAGAGTACAGCATCGATGAAAAGTATGTAAACCCGCCAACTGCGTGCCTGCAAGGAGCGTATGGCACCCAAGAACGCTCACTTTGCAGTGACCCAGAACGCCACCTATTTTTTGATTCCTACCATCCAGTAAAAGAAGTTCATGTAGCCATTGGGAATCTGGTAGAAGATAAAATTAGAGCTCTTGGTAGCGAAATATAGTCCATAACCGCAATTGAAAGCTACGGCTCAGAAATGTTGGAGTTGAGCAATTCACTGAGTTCTTCATAATCTGCCTTCAGCTGATACTTCTTCTTTCCTGCATTCATTGATTTCAAGCTTACCTTTCGGATTTCCGAGCAGCGATGAAAATCTCTTGAGCTAGGTAACGCCATTGAAACACTATCTACAATATCAGCGACAGCCCGTATTTTAGAATATCGTTACTAGGTAGATGTACTGCACTAGCGGACGTCGATGAATATGACTAAATCTAGGCATGATCTCACCACATCCAACATTAATTCTGGTTCGATATGGAGTAGATTCAATGTATTATTCTAGTAAAAGCAGATGAAACACGAAATTAGATGGCTTAACCATTGAACATAATTGATTATCCGGGAGCATCCCAGAAGAAAGCACACTATCCTGTAGAAATGAATGAAGATATTTATGTTTGTAAAAGATACAACTGGAAACGTAGACATTTATTAATTTAATCAGAATTGAAATGCCTTCTACCATGCTGCTACATATATCGGATATGGCGGCTAGGCTGGCGATAGGGATCTGTGAATAGCATTGCTCAACTTGATGGCCCAATATTGAGATGAACGCACTTCATCTACTGCATAAAGCTACTTATTCGCCCCTTGCATAGCAACCGTCATCGTCCAAAGGTATCAACCCAAAGGTTGCGGTAAGTTTTGGACACCCAACGAACCAGACTCAGACCGCCCATATCTTGGCCCAAGTTCCATGGTAAATAGCTTCTCAATAAGTTTCTATGTCTCACTTTGCTTTAATCCATAGGAAGGTATCTGGGAATAAGAATTTCAGGCCAACTGTGCCGGTGTCCAGTGCCGAGCAAAAGGGGGAATACGTCCGCTCGTAGTGGATGAACAAGTACGACTAGATTGTCATAGTCAGAAATTCGTATCGATAGAAACTAGCAGAGAGTTGTTAGTGGCAAAGCTTTGAGAAGTAATGATAATACTATTCCCCTTGCGGGAACAGATCTACGTAGATTTTTCCACGGATGATTTCTCGATTGAGGCTTGATCTGGCCGCAATCATCGATGTCTTGCACCTAAAAAAGCCCTCTTGTCCAGGTCATGGGACTTGGAACAATGGTATTTCGTCATTGTGTGGCTAGTATATAGTTCTTGAGCGTACTATTGGCTTGTTGCCAGCGCTAGCAATACCGAAATGGTGGCATGGCTGAACTGTAGTGGTCATCGGATCACTCGGGATCGTAGATGGAGAAACCTGAGAGCCGTCATTTATCATACAATGGAAAGGGCTTGGGTATTTGGCATCGGATTATAGAGGCGCAAACAGCATCGTATTCGGCGCCACTTCAGGGGTCTCTCATCACCACGCTTTGCGCATGATGAATAGACGTATTTAGGATTCATGATATTTGATTCCTGCTCGGTTTTCATTAATTTACAGTATTGATTAAAATTGTGCATTCTTCTGCAAGCCGCCCTCAGCGAGACGCATCCGACTTGCCGACATTCCCTCAATAGGTGTGCTACGACGGATCACAAGGTCCGTAGGCTCCATTCTTCCTTGTTATAGTTCAGGACGATCATGACGTGGTTGAGACTTCAAGACGTCACTGAAAGTACTGGAGGATTGGGATATTCTAGGAGATAAGCTGTATATATTTGTCGACTCCCTAACCGGCTATCATCACGTAGCATTTGATATGAACGCCGCTGTCACATATATGTAAATCGACGTCGAGCCAGAGTATACCTATCTTAAGTCTCGAATTCGTATCACAATATCCAAGATGCTTTTCGGAAGGTCACACGCCGGGGAGACTACTGGTCGAACTCACAGCCCTCTACGGCCGCTGATTTCCCTGAACCATTTCCTGATTTTTGCCTCTGCCACAATAGTGACAGGCATCACCGCATACTTTGTCCATTTGGAGCCTAAGCCGCATAGTGCGCATATTATCTATCAGTTGGTCATCGTAAGTACCTTCAGCTTGTCGCGGATAATGACCCTATAGGTGTTGAACTAATTAACTACTTTAGGCTGTCATCACGCTTATCCTATACGCGATTTCTTCAATCTTGCCTTTCATCAAAAGATATCGCGGCCATTTCATGCCTGTCAATCTCATTCTTTCCTATCTGTGGCTCACCTCGTTCATCTTCTCAACCCAGGACTGGGCTGGTGGAAGGTGTGTGAGATATTCGACAGTCGCAGGCAGGTGTTCGCTAAAAAAGACCATCATTGCGTTCGACTTCCTCGCGCTGTAAGTTTATATCTGTGTGGAGGCTTCTCTATGTCTAATCTTTTCTTTAGATTTTTCTTGATGTGTAATGTCGTCTGCGAAGGTTTCCTCCTGCGTCAAGAGCGGATTGGGGCGACTGTAGACCCTGTTGTCGAGCCGAAGCATCGTCCGGACACGGCAACGACTGCCAATACTACAAGCGCCGTCTAAGAGAATGAGAAACTCGATGGCTCATTAAAGGCCAGGCTCGAAAGTACTCGGAATTTCCGTGTCTGGATCTATGACGGGTAGGGGGGGTGTCAGATTCCCGGAGTAATTGGGCTGGGGGTAATGAACTGAACTGAGGTCAAACTTCATTTATGGATGTCGCTAACCTCACCATCTCGTGTTATTTCTTTTTCCGATTTTCCCCTTCGGTTTTTATATATTTTAGCTCAAATTGAAATGCTACGTGTTCTTTATCCAGGAGGGTCTCCCTTGTATAACCTATGCATATCTTATTTTGACAAGTTCTTATGGGCTTATATATAAGATTTTCCCCAGCCTCAACCAAATATCAATGGTCTTCGCTAAACACAGAGAGGTTTGCAAAGAATCGTATGTTCATGCAAAATGCTAGCATCGTAGTCATCCGCTCACTCAACCAACTGGGATGCCTTCTGACCAACTCCGGATAAGCTCGTGTTGAATACGATGACTCATTCGGTCAACGCTATGGCACAGCTGATGATCGTGAGGGCCAAATTAGTCCAGCACTATATAACTCGCGGACAGCGAAAGTTCCAACGCCTGTAGTCGTGAAATAATCACATTATTCACGAAGCTGAGACTTGCCACAAATGCTTGAGACGATAACTATAGAACCCTCGCCCGGGAGGAGGCTCAGGCCTCAGAAACTCGGTCTTCTTCATGTTCCCCGTGAGGTTCAGCTCCTCATTTATGAATTCGCACTCATCGAATGCCCCAAGTGGGAGAAGTCACACAAGTCAGAGTGCCGCTACAAGCCGAATGATATCAACTGCACCGAGATTCCCACATTCCTCAACCTTTCCATCAATATATGGCAGGCTGTTGATGGGGAATTTAAGCAGAACGTCGGCAATCACTGCAATTGTGCGAAGCGCACTGGACTCGGGCTCCTAGGTGTGAGCCGTGCGATAAATCATCTCGCCGCTCCGATTTTCTGGTCGAGAAACACCTTTTGCTTCCTCGACGCGATGGAGTTTCTTGCCACTGTTGGCCATAGGCTGCGAGACAAGTGCCGCAACCACCTTCGATCTATCAGCATCTTGAACCCGGACGCGACCGGCTTCCCAAAACACGTTTCACTTCCGGACAGCTTAACACGAAACAAGGCCAACATGAAAGCGTTCTGGTTGACATTGATGAAATGCAAACAACTTACGAAGCTAGAGCTGCCACCACCGTATCTCAAACCCGCGCTATTCAGCATCGAGCAGTGGAATCTTCTCGCAGAGCATCTGACAGAGCTCGCAGCGATTCGATTTAGCTACCTTCTTCCATACATTAACGTGAACTCGGGCTGGGGCTCTCCTTCTCAGTTCAGATACTTTTGCCCATCTTATAGGAGTCCCGGGCAGCAGGACGTATTTGTCCGGTGCTCAAGGACAGTGCCGCTCAGGCAAGAAAGCTGGACGTCAGAAGCAGCCACCGAATTTTACAGGGAAATGGAACTCAACTTTAAGATCCACGTCGACACAATTGTGAAGACCAAGTATCTGAATGCCGACCCAGAACGCTTAGCCAATTACCAAGACACGTTCAAGCTCCTGCCCAGTTTAGACGAACATCACCGAACGCATCGCATCACGTTACCGACTGGAGAAAACACAACCATCAAGTTCTACGGGCTTCCCATTAGCAAGAAGACAAGGATACAGCAAGCTCGGAAAAGGCAGGCACTCGACCGGACACAAAGGCTCAAGAACGGATTGACCCAGTCGCAGTTCGAGGAACAACAAGAACGCAAGAACCAAATCAAAGAGCAGGAAGAGCGCAGGGAGATGAGAGAACGCAACGATGCACTCGCGGAGAGGCGGGTAAGGCGTATCCAGATGCATGATGCAGAGGCCGCTACAGTGAAGAAACAGAAGAAGAAAGTTAGGAAGGAAGATGCAAAGAGAAAAGAGCAGAGGAAACTAGAGAGGAAGCGGGCGAGTTGATCTGAATTGCCTTGCCTAATTCAACACCCTCTTTTTACCTCGGATCATTTATCTCGTTCCGCTTGAGCCTTGCACTAGAGCTCAACTCCGTAGGAGAAAACGTTCGGCAAGATCATCATTAACAAAACATTACGTACTACACAAACACTAGGCCGAGCTTAGACCAGAGACCTTGAAGCATCGTAGTTCGAAATTTCGTACTCTCGATTTCGGTGACTTTTTTGGATGTTGGAGGACGCCACATACTGGTCAATGCCGGCCCATGGTGACAACATATTTTTTTTTCCCTGCCAAACAGTACGCTGAAGTCCCAGTGGAGCAGAGAACGCAAACAAATTTCTTTCAACGCATCAGCGTACGTCAAAGAGGCATTTTTTGGAGTGACGAAACGCCTGGCAGGTCCACTTGACGGGGCTGAGTTGCATAAGGCCCTCAAGCTGACTCCTCAGTGGCCGCTGACAGCGTCTAATAAATTTACAGACAGGTGGCTGAGTGATTTCTTCATGCCTGCTGCGTCATTATATAAATAATTGGGAACAAAACGACAATTATCAATTTTGCAAAAAAAAAAAAAAAAAAAAAAAAAAAAAAAAAAAGAAGAAGAAGAAAAGGCCAGATGAATAAACACGATCTCAAAAATCCCGGAAGGCATTGGCTACGACTTCCGTTCAAAAACTACCTAGTAGAAAATCTCATATCCAACAACGATATTGATGACATGACAAGCAAGTCAGCCTTGGCCAAAAGGGGGTTCGCAATGATACGTTGGCCACTGGCCTGCCTCACCCCTCCCATCAGGCAGAGGCCACCCCCTCACTTCATCGTGCCAATCCCTCTCCAACCCTACTACGTCTAAAGTTTTTACGCAGTCAAATCGGCCAAGCTTGAGACACTCCGTGTCGCATCTGGATGCAGAAAATGGACCAAGCTGGCAATGTCCTCTGTCAAAAATGTCAGGGTGTCCAGATTGATGACACGGTGCTCAGCGATCATATTCGCACACTCCCGGATGGCAGCAAGTATTCCGATAAAACCTGGAGCGCTGGAGAGATTCTCGTTCCAATAGCCAGTTGGACTGATTATCCGCCCGAATTCCCCAAGCTGCAGGAGTCGCATATTAAAACGGGTTGCAAATTCTGCAAGTACCTTCGGGAGGCACTTCTCCTCTCCGGGGTTGAGTTTTTGGAATCTCCTATACATATCCACCTTTCACATAACTGGTTCAACGATGGAAGGTTTAGAGAAATTCAGGAGGGCAATTATTCCGGTATAGTAGGGCATATTGAAGATGGAGAAGCAACGTATGGCATGTACTTCAGAGCCGGGTCCGATGATTGTAGGCAGGCATTGATTTTCTCTCTGGGCGGTCATTCTAACGTTGGATAGTTCGAATATCTCAATGGTTGGGCATACATGGCACCCCAAAGCCGGTCGTTCTATGTAAAGAGAATATACTGTGGGCTGCAAGCTTGCTAGATAATCCGGACCATACTTCAGCTTTACAGGATCGAGATGACGGGTTTCTTCCGACTAGGCTGCTTGACATCGGAGAAACCGGTACACCAAACCCCCGCCTGGTATCAACGTCAAAAGAAACAGGACCAGTATCATATTGTGCGCTCAGTTACTGCTGGGGGGAGTTGAATGAAGCTCTTCCACAGCTGACGACAAAGAAATCGACTTTTCAGCAATATTCATTGCAAGGAATTCCCTCGCAGCAGTTGACGAAGGTTTTCAAAGATGCCATTGACGTGTGCCACTCATTTGGGATCCGGTATCTTTGGATAGACGCTCTTTGCATTACCCAAGATGACCCGAGCGATTGGGAAAGAGAGACCACGATGATGCACCAAGTTTACCGAAACTCATATTTCACCATATGTGCATTATCTTCGAACTCAACCCATAGCAGCTTTTTGGAGAGGAATCAACACATGCTTGATATGAATTTCCTATCATCGTTGGATTCGGAAATTTCGGGGAAATTGACCTTGGACTTCCAAAGAATTAACACAGGTGGGGAAGTTATGCCGAGTCATTATAGAAGCGATATTTTCACAGATGCTGAATGGTCCTCACGAGGTTGGACATTTCAGGAAGACCAGATGTCTCAGAGAGCCCTTTATTTCACGAACTCGCAGTTGGTTTTTCGGGCTAGAGATCAATATTTCGCCGAAGATGGATGGAGCTTTCCAGGATTCAGGTTTAACCTTAGGACCGTTCCAACACTCGAAAATTGGTACGGGCAAATGATGAGTTTCCGGAGGAGAAAGTTTTCAAACGTAGGAGACGTGTTGCCATCGCTTTCGGGTATCGTGAGAGGGTCTATCAAATACCATGGCGATACCTATGTCGCTGGGCATTGGAAAAGTGATCTTCTCCGGGGGCTACTTTGGCAGTCCAGCACCTATCGACTGGAGGAAGGTCGGGAGGCTCTCTTGAGAAATTTGTCATTTCCTCCGCTGTACATCGCCCCGTCGTGGAGCTATTTAAGCAGAACTGAGTATGGAGCACACGGTATGAATTTGCATCAAGTGGGAAGAGAGGGACACTTTCGCAGCAGAGCCGAATTTGCGGACGCCTGGACGATACCTGCAGGACAAGATCCTTATGGAAAGATTCTCGCAGGAACGGCGCGTATCAGGGGAAGAATTATCCCATGTCCGTCTGATTTCTCAAAGATACATGATGGCATCTTTGAATACGCCGAGTTATTTCAACTTCATGTTGATGGGGCATATACTGCTACCTGCCAATTGGATTGGCGGGTCAACGATGATTGGGAATCCAGCCATGACTTGTCCTTGCTGTTGCTCGCAAGCACTTGTCATCGTCGGGAAGATGGTCGTCCTACTACTCATTATCTTGAAGAGCTAGGCAACAAGAGTGACAGCGGCAGCAGCGAGTCCACTCACGGGGAGCACAACGGCAACGAGCAGGAAACATTGGCCGATGAAGAGCTCCCCGTGTCATTAGCGTTGCTGGATATACAAGAAACAGCCGCATCAGAAACAGAAAACGAAGAGGAAGGAATGAGCTTTTGCTGTGAGGGTTGCAACGGGAGCAGTCTTCAAATTTTGAGTGATGAAAATGGAATCGGTAAGTGGAATTCATGTGAGGCAATCGCTGTTGTTTGCACGCCAGCTAAAGAGAAGTGACTGACACGAGTTTCATATAGATTCTGATGTGCCACCCAGCAAGACTTTGCACGAACTTTGCCATGTTTGCGGCCACTGCATGGAATGCTGTAAAAGCGAAGTAAATAATCATGCGTGGGGCCTGATTATCCATCCAGCTCTGGAGTCGGGACAATATTTTAGGGTTGGGGTCTTCACTTCACGGTCGGATGGCTCTGGAACGATCTGCGGCACTCGCTTGTTCAATGAAGCAGATTATCAGGAGATTGATATCATCTAAGGCAGGACCAGTCAGCCAACGGGGTGCCTACCCAATTCTTTTTTTCCTTCTTTCTTGATCTAGATCTTCATTTTGCTGGCTCATGCAAGTTTGTGGTTATCGATCTTTCCCAGATTCTTCGGAAGTGTCTTTATTTTACTCATGCGAAAGGATTTTCTTGGTTCTTTTCAGCCACTATATTGAAGTTCTTTCATATCCGTTCCCATAAGATACTTTTCATAGCTTCATATTCTCGTTTCATGACACACTAAATATATTTCCTGGTGGTCAATTATTTTACTTATTTAGCGCTCTGATATCGTGGGTGGCTCTGTCAGTACTTTCGTCAGAGGATGTTGAATCCTTCCCTCTCCCTCGTCCAATCCTATTCAGGAGGCGAGTGAAAGTTCTTCCTCGGCTGCTTAATCCTACCTAGTTGTGGCTGTGCTCCACCAAAAATAAACTACCAGACGGTGTCTCTCCTAAATTCCAATAACGGCTGAAATCAGCCCCTGGACATGGGACGGGCACGAACCACGTGTTATGTAATACCTGTTTTGTTAAGATTGAGGTGGCCCCTTCCGACGTCCCCCACCATCCTCCCTTCTTCCCGCGTTCAGTCACGCGAAAGACCTCTCATGTCCGTCCCAGCCTTGCAGGTTCTCGGGCCATAGGGCTGTGACCAGCGATGTGAGCCTAGTTGGGATGGGCTACCACGGGAACAAGCTGTCCGCCATCGGCCTTGCCTTCACCAGTCTCGCGCTCTTCATTGCGCTCATCAATGGCGCCGTTTCAGTCATTAAGCTGGGCAATTTGGGCCCTCAAGGCCACACCAGTGCCCGGTGGATCCGTGCATCTGCTTTTCTGGTCATCATGTGAGTCCTGCCACGACCCTGAAGCAACCCATACCAACCTGGATAGCTAACCATGTCTCTCAACAGATATCTAACCCTCTCTCTTGCAGTGGAGACCTATTTACTTGTCACTCCCCCATGGGACAAGCATCCGGGAACCAACAAAACCGCTTCCGAGCTTCCGGAGGTCACAGAACTCCTGGTCAATCTGGCGCAAGCAGCCATTCTCATGACCCAGTTCAAACTAACATTCGATCTCTATTCTACCGGAAGCAGGGCCACGAAGCTCACGGCTGTCATTCTTTTCATCATCTCTCAATTACTAAATCTTACACGCTTTATTGCATTTCATGTCGCCCTGTACGATAGTAATGATTACGACCTATCTGAATCTATCCCGGGGTATGTCTATGCGGTCTATGTCCCGGCCCTGATAATGGAGGTCGTGCTGTTCTCAACATCCGCAATGTCCGTCGTCGTCATTGTGAGATATTGGATAGACTTTGGCGCAACACCTAATGAGACGGTAAGTTGGTCGCGTGACCTCCATGGCCACTGAGAATCTATCCTCTAACCGCCTCATAGGCACCCGGGTTGCTCTTTGCCGCCAGTGCATTCTCCCTCCTGCGTCATACCTGGAAGGTAATCACCAGTGGCATCTCACAAATTACCTCAATGAAGGGCATACCCGGGCCATCGGTTTTCCCAATGTGGTTCTTTTTAATTGAGAGGGTGCTTACACATTGGGATAATGTCATCGTCACCACTCTTCTCTTCTGCTCTGCGCTCTCGGGGCTGCGAAAGCTGAATTCCGGACGAGCATCGCCAGTGAGTGACGTGGATGGGCCTATCGAGCTTATCAACACCGCGGAGGCTTCACACCGCGTTGAGCAGAACCATGTTTGGCGGTAGCCATTCTGCGACTGGGCCAGAGAAATGACTATAATATCATATTCCAAGACTGTCCTGCAATATACTACAATAATAGACAAAACATTTTTAATTGAACAAAAACGAATCATTCGTCCTGAGCGCTACCATCATCAGGAGACTGTACAAGTTAAAAGACAAGACAAATGCTATAGCGCCTCATTGTATATTTTCCTTGGTTCATGTTACCGGGTAATATGATGTTGCTAGTGATTCGAATGTACCTATATAAGTTAGCTTTCAACTACGTTCTCATTTTGAATTTGTAGCCTGGTGGAATGTGGAATGTAGAGGAGTTTATTGCATGAGAGAGAATTTTATGACCAATTCGCCAATATTCAGTATGTCATTCATTTCCGAAAACCTCGAATTGTGCCAAGCCCCGTCAAGTGATATATGTTAGCGCTCGTGGAATAGATCAAAACGTGAACAAAGTATCTTTATTTGTCTAGGGATCCCAAGAGGAAGGTTTGAGACTGTTGGGAAGATGGGAACATCCCGGGCTAAATATAAATACGATCAATATATTTGTCAGAAATTTGCTGTTATTATCAGATGTTCTTGCACTATTCAACTTGAAGGGGGGTTGAGAAAAGTGATAATTATATCACAGTTCCGAGTCCAATGATTATACGAATATCACGCCAGTAATTTCAAAGCCATGTCTAGCTTTTGCCTCTTCGTAGCTTATTAGACTGCCAGATGTCGGTTCTACAATTCTCAATGTGATTTCCTGTAGAAATGTGGATTGTTTCTGCAATGACATAGTCTTTTGACCGAATTCGCTCTATACTGTTTATTCTCGTGGTTCTATATATGTCAGACAAAGCTTTACAATAAATGCATATAGAGTTTCTTACTAATATCCAGGTGCAAAACGAGAACCGCAGAGGTCAAAATTCAACAGTAGCAGATTTTCACGTAATCGTGCATGAGAATCCTGCCATAGGTAAGAATTCAACCTAGCCGCAGAAGACTTGATAGCAGTAGATGCCCATCATGATATAATTCCTGGCCAGTTCAATCAGTCTGCTGGAAAGTAATTTCAGGGATGTCATCTATATCTTGTATCTGTGTGACATATTTGAATATAGAATGGCCTGCATCTAAAGGGAAATTGGATGCTGAGAAAAGAGTATAAGACTCTTGAGTATTAGAGTTTTTCGATCATCGTCTAGGTAAATAAGAACTGAGTTCAAGAAAGCCACTTGAGTGTATTAACAGTCAGTCATCGTGAGAAGATTATTTCTCCGAGTAGGGAAACCCCAAGAACGCATTAGAGCAATAAAACAAAGCTACCATAGATGAAGAAATCCGTTCCAGATCATCAACACGACGAATCCTGCATAAATTAAGATATGTCCTCTTTTTGTGTCAGTGTCTATTGACTGATACGAAATACGATGAGGAGAATACGCTAGGACTTCTAGGAAATAGAGCTGTATTAGAAGCCGCGTGATAGCTTGAGCAAGGAAGAGCGTTGAGGCTCCCTTTTGGGATTATTCTCTCGTTGATGTTTTCCAGAAACAATCCCGTTGACATTTTTTCCTGTCGACTAAAGTCCCAGTGTGACTTTCTATATAATATACTAGATAGAAGTACGTTGGATTGCTCGAATATGAACAAGTGGTTATTCGTGTGTTCGGATTGAGCTCTTGCTCAGATGGCGTCTGAGAAAGCCCGATATGTAGGTATTTTGAGAAAGACTCAATTCGTAGATTGCAATGTTTCAAATATGCTTTAGCATCCTAAAAATGATAGTTGATTAATTTTTCCATCACTTACTAGCGACACTAATGCTCAGGACATGGCACGACTTCATCTGGGGGTCTAGGTTAGGTGAAACAATATCCGAAAAGAACAGTGAAACGGATTATAATTTTTCCTACGCGGTTGCCTAGCGCTGCACTTCTTGTGAGTGTTGCTGACATTTGATGTTTCAAGATGCTCTCGTGAGCGATTGATCCCTGAAGTCCCGTTCGCGTGGGTTATCCTTTTGAGGTCCCAAAAATTGAGTGTACCCTTGTAGAAGATATGATGACGTTAGCACTATATTTTACCTAGGCTATCCGTGTCAACAGTCTCCCTCTTAGAGCTGACATGATATTTTAACCTTCTGTCACGTAACGCTTTGAGCAGGTCTTTGGAGATTCTGGTAGGTGGTGAGAACCGCGACTGGGACATGCATGTATCAATTCACCAGCGAGTACTACAGGGATGGAGAAGTTGACTTAGCCGAGGATATTATTGCTCCAGGAACCCCAGCGTTGGATACTACTATGCACACAATCCTTCCAGACCCCGAAAGGGCAGTCGCCGTTTCAAATTGCAACCTAAACCTGCTTGAGGCTCTCTTGGCACACGTGTCTATGTAAGCATCGTTCGTCCTATCTGCACATGTTTCTACTGCTACAGGGGCATAATAAACGATGTGACCATTCTGGCGTTTACGTCGGTGGCTTTTTATCTCCGGAATTGACGTCAGGGACATTTGGAATGCACCGCGTTTGACAAGATGCTCTCGGAGTTTCAATCGAAGAGAAGAGCGAATTCATACCCTAATAGATTTTGCTTCGTCGAAGGTTCGTCGAAAGAGAATGTCATTGTGCTAGTCTAGGTAAATCCCCTAATCACCTGGCCGCAGGTAGCTGAGCGAGCTCGGTATCTTCCATCCTATGGTACCGGTTCTCATGCGGTAGGTTGGAAGGCCCAGAATGATTTGAGCTAGTTCCCTGCCATCTACTTCCGTTGCTCGTCGATGTTGATTTCGTAGCACTGCTTCGGAACTTGTCTCTCGCTGACTGAATAGTCGATGAGGCACCGGGGGGCATTTTCGGATCCGTGATAATGTGGTAGACGGACGGGGCGCAGTACACCACAATGACGCTCAAACACTCGCCGAGTGCCCACAAATAGGCAGAGGAAAGACTGTAGTTTGTGTCGCCATCGTATACGAAGGAGTGCATGTTGTAGGTGCGAGCGATGGCAAGTGCAAGGCTTCTGTAAATCGAAAGGTTAGAATACCACCGTCCGTAGATTTCGAGATCTGTCGTCCTTCCTGGGCAGAATGAATGGAGGACAATAAAGCAAGATCCAACAACTTACATCAAAGCAAAGGAAAAGGCTAACGATTGGGTGGTCTTGTTCAGAATCGACGAGTTCAACTTCCAGATGACGGTTTGGGGCAGAATGTAGATGATGAGGTCGATGAAAATGTTGATGTAGGCGGAGACCTTATCCACGGCCTTTCTGTCAATACATGATCCCGACGCCCATGGGCTCCAGGCCCTGCTTAGAGGTCGACACCAAAATTGCTGAAATATCAATACCGCTATCCAGTAAATGCCGACCACGAATTGTGTGCCCCTGCACACCCAAAAGAACTTGCTGTGAGTATGCCCTGGAACAAAGATATGGACGTTTCCGGGGATGAAGATACGAATCAATTCGAGTAATATAGCGGACTGGGCGAAGAACATGGTGAGGATATACATCGTGGCGGCGATATGGCCCATCTAGATCGACGATATTAGAATACTCTGATTCCCAGAATATTTGAAGAGAGAAATAAAAGAAATAAGGAAGAAACAGCGTACATAGAATGCGTCAGCCAATGTCCATCGGTCTATGTCCCATTGATGAACGAAGAGAGCGCCGATGTATGTCATGAAGTAGCCTGGCCAGAGCATGACGCCGAAAGTGGTCTATATTTTAGGCTGTTAGAGCGTTGGGACAATCGGATCGCTTCTCGAGACAAACCATCGCGAACAATGCCAGCACTAAGGTATCCAAAGTCAGTTTGCGAGCAACGGGAATATGTATATCCTCACTGTGAAGTTATACTCACGGTCCTGGATCGCTAGACGCCTGCGAAAGAATGCGTATGAGTAAATCCTCAATATCAACGCCAATCCAGCTATTACTGTGCAGGCGACTGTCACGGAGAAACCCAGTGAAGTCTCCTGGGGTGGATCATCCAAGTTGGACACCAGCCCCTCAGGCGCCTCCATCGCCGGCTGGTAGAGGTACTCTTCCTGCTCCTCATATGTCCATGACTCAAAGGAAGAATTCGCCATCGCGTCTCAAGGTAGGCACAAAAATGAGAAGAGAAAAGAGGATCGATCTTGCAGATGCAGCTTGGGAATCAAGCATAATTATGACAGCCAGAGTACCAGGGGGGGTGAGCACTAATTCGATCCTTGGAAAGAGACAAAACATTGACCTGCCTAACCCTTGCGGGGCTTGCGAAAGATATAGAATGATACTTACCCCGGTCATCCCTCCATAAACAAGGGCCGGGTCTTTGGAAACAGACTGGACCCCCAGGATTGGGATGCTTGCATCTAGGTTGCGACTCATCCCATGTCGTACGTCCATTACCAAATCATATCCGACTCCACCCTATTCTACGCAAGTAATATAGATGAGGCATGGCTAGTCTACATTAGCCAAATTGAGTACTATCTCCATTACCATCATGCCGTAAGTGGTAACCTGAACCGCCCTGCCTAAAGTACCTAGGGCAGAATCTCCTAAATGCAGGCTAGAAAGGAAAAAGGCTTAGCTAAACTATCAAGTCGCTATTATATATCATTTTCATATCAAATGGTAAAGATAAACTGAGCTTAGCGAGATCTCCGCGCCTCCATTATTATCTTGAGAATCAGCGGCTCAAGTTGCGCTCTATCAGTCATAGTCTATGACAGAGGATTTGTTAGAAGCCATTGTTGTATGGTCTCTTTAAAAGTGTAAAATGTTTTCACTTATCATAGTAGTAGCATTAGAGGAGAATTGGGCTGGTGAGCTCCCCCTTAGATCTGAAACTAAGCATTGGACTGGCACCCCCTCATAGAGGATCCAAATTTGTCTGGAAGTGCTAGAGGAGGTGATCTCGCTCTGAGATTGAAAAAAAAAGAACCTTTAATAGCGGAGAATTGTTAAAATGAGATAGGTTGACATTACAAGATTAGATCCTGAATTTGATGAGACCGAGGAAGGGTGAAGGGTGATTGAATTTGCTAGTAGATACAATGACATCGATAGGGCCTCACTGATTGTGAGGATCTTCTACGCCATGTTCTAGGAGAGGGTATTAATGGAGGTTAATACATCAAGGACGCATCAGCTGGTCTTCTTTATACGTTCCTCCGCCTTTTGAAGCATCGACGGTATGACACTGCGATGCACGACTGATAGGAATATCCACCAGATGCGACTCAATAATGAGTTGTATTGTATCAGAGTAGTCAAGGATACACTGTCGGCGGACTGGTGTACAATCAAATTAGCGGACAACAACCATGACCGATTTTCAATCTGAACCCCATCCTCGGATTGTTTGCCAATCCTCCATCCCGCGACTGTTGTTGGCGATCGTTCCTGAAGTAGAGGGAGACCAAGGAGACCAGTCCATATAAACTTTTGCTGAGTGTTAGGAACATCTCCAAATATGGCGCGGATCCATTGCTCAGGTAATCTCTTTGGACAATCTTGGGTGGGCGTGAGCAAGAAAGTGTCTGCGTAGTCGACTCGCTCTAGTGAACTATGTTTGCGTATGTAAGGATGAATGCCATCGGGGGCTAAAGAGCCGCCGGTTATTCGGGACTTCAACGGCATGCTTAGTTCGTCGATGGAAGATGTAAGTGATGCATAAAAGACGATGCTGATTTTGATCTCGTTTGCTGTGACGGGGCTTCTTATACCTGTTCATACGCTAGAGAATCTACGCTCCGATGATGATAATATCCCGATTTTGGCCGACAATGACGATCTGGTCTTGTGATGATTGGAACCCGATCCATCCGACCCCGAATCTCGCATTGGCTGCGTCCCAGTCTCAGCCGCTTGTAGTTAATCCCCTCTAGTTTAATCCACTGTCAGCACGGAAGCTTATTCGAATGATGGCTAATCGGAGGGTTTCCGCCCAGATTCTTATCGAGCGGGAGGTTGTGGATAGAAGACGGCGACTAAACTGGCCGGAGGCATTTAAAAAGCTGGGAAGCCACCTAGGAAAGGGCTACTGAGCTTGCGTATGTGGTGAAGCTAGTGTGCGGAAAGGAGCCTGGCTGTAGCAACTAGTGTTTCCGCTTAAAGCTCTAGAAGAAATTGTCTCATTCGCCTAGTGTCGTTATAAGCTGAGTAGGTAGTTGGTTATGGATGTAAGAAGAATTTTCATGAAGTGCGGAGGCTGACGGTTTGCTGCCCAAGCGAAAATGGTATAGTCTTCTCCCTGTATGTGGACAGGAATTACGAGCTTGACAAGCGTATACCATGTGATATCAGTGTTCTAACGAACAAAATAGAAACATATATCGGGCAACGTCTATTCTAAGGTTTAATAGAATCATTCATTTAAGTAAGAGATCTATAAGACTGAAATCTAAAGTTCACAATTAGGGTATATGAGGGGCTTAAGCTGTGTGAGCTCTAGGAAGGAAGCCACCCCAATATCCTAGGAGAGGATACAAATTACACGTGTGTACTCACGTCTCGTGTCAACGTGTGTGATTCTATTGCAATCCGGGTGTTCCGGTCTCATCCTGTACTACTGATGGGCAGAGAGACTCAATCTTTTCTACCCCTCTGTTCGCTTCGCTACCATGTTGATTCACTGGTTGCAGCCCCTCGAAACTTGGTGGCTCCTCATATGGCGGCGGAGGTTGGTTCCAAGTCGCTGAAGTCGCGCGTATATTGTCGATGGCTGGGCCGCGAGGGCCGCCCGTATTATCAGCCGGGGGGAAAACCTTGATCTCACGGTCTATTTCTGCAGTAATGACTTTGTCTGCGACTTTGACCTCCACGGTACCCTTTAGTCTGTTCTTAGTTCGTATGTTGTAAGCCGTAAACTCTGGATATAGCTGCTGAACGTTGAAAGGCATTCCTTCCCTTCTATCTTTGGTAGTTTTCATTTGAAGATTGAGCACCGCTCCAACATCGAAGGGCTCCGAGTCATGCCCAAAAGGTATCTCAACTGGTGCGTCGCTTGGCCGCAATTGTCTGCTTCCCTGTACCTTGGCGCACCACTTCCACTCTGCATCGTGAGGGTTTAAAGTGCCTTCGGACCGAATTGTCACCAGGGTTTGGATCTCGATATCGAGTGCCCGAAGTCTACACGTTTGTAGCACGTCCTGAAGAACCTCGCTCGTTTTGTCCCACTTGGGGACCACGCGTAGTTTGATGGGCACATGGCTAGGTTGGTCCATTTGCAATGTGATCGGAAACCACGTTTGCAGCGTAAAAGCCAATTTGGGTGCTGGCACGCTGCTGAATATCTTCTTGAACTTTTGTGAGGTAGTCAGCTGGTCTCGGCTATAACCAGGCACAAGGCTGTCTCCCTGGATTGTATGCAATGTGTTCAGTAGATTCATCCGCATCTGAATCGGCGGGCCTGGATTGTAGCGCTCGATTCTCACTGGCTTCACGGCGGTGGCGGTCCCTTGAGCATGCATCTGCATCTCGGCTTGGATGTAGTATTCAATAAAGCCCTCCTTGTACTCGCCTGTAGATGTTCCTGAAAAGGACGCAGGGAGCGGTACGTCGTCGTCGAAAGGAACGAAACTAAACTTCTCGTTTTCTTTAACGCTCACAGGAAGGCAGCGACTGTCTGCATGAGTCGGTAAAGTGAAAGTGAATGGCCAGCCTTGATGGTCTTCCCCTCTTTCGGGGATGTGAACGGGTCCGTTCCAGAGCTGCTGCTTATTTCGAGGGCCAACGATGAGCGTATACCGGCCCCGATGCTGGGTTTCGCGTTCAGTGAACTTTGATTTTGCTCTGCCGTGCAGTGAGACTGTCAGAATGGCCCTTGAACACTCCGTAAAGCATCTCCGAACAACGCGGCCGATGATGACATCTCCAGGTTGGTACCAGAGAGCATCGCCCTCGAGTTCAACCGCCAACGACGGTGAATCTTGCGGGATTGTCTGTGGCATGTTGGAAGGTGAGCTATGGGTATATGTTGAGAACTAAAAAAGCAGCCTATCTACGTGATAAATTGCGGGAGAAGTCGGCTTAAAGGTGCTTCATCTGGAAATGAGTCATGCAACACCGTGGCAGTGGCGCAGCAGTTGCCCGAGTGGCGTTAGAATACCACGGCGTCATCATCGGTTTGGAACTTTGGACAGCACACTGTTTTGAGACATGGCGTGATTCGACAGACTCCATATGTACAGTGCTTCACTTCGTTCATGCAAGACGTTATTCATCGCAAATTCCAAGTTTATTGCTCCGCAGAAAGCAACGAGGCGTGGCTTGGCGAACTCGTTAGGTGCTATATCATGCAAATGATTCACAACCTTTGAAGGGCACAATGCAGGATTGTCGATACCATCGGGTATGTTAGGGTATGTTAGCCGCAAGTCATAGGCTGGCAACACCCCTGTTGTCAGTCAGCCCAGGTGAACAGCCAAGCCAATAAATCCCATCATATGGTGGTATCGTAGCAGCTACGACTTGTCACATGCATCTTCTCAAAAACCTGCACCTTAATCAGCAAGGTGCTTAGTATGACTTAACAAGAACTTATGGTCACTGCGGCATAACGATTTGCAATTACAACGTCATGTATGCATTATAGAAAAGAGTTACAAGTCTATATGACAAACAGTCGTTGAGAATATTCCCCTTCGTACTGACAGAGAAACCAACATCATCATGTGATAGGAAGTGGGCTGCCCTCGGTTTACATCGCGCTGTGATCATACGCAAAGACAGTTTGTATGCTAAGAGTTATAGACCAGAAAGGTTCTTACGAACCCAAGGGGAATAAGCCAGATAAATAAACGCAGACCACGGGAATCGAGAACACAGTCGGTCAAGCCAGAGGTCCACGGCACTCAAATCTAATGTTCGGCCGTTCTGAAATTGCCTTTTTAATAATATTCTTAGAAATAACCGTCACTTTTTAAAATTATCATTTTCTTACTATAAATTTATAAAGCCTTTGTTTGCAGTATTAGATTCTCCAACTGAAAAATGTTGGGAGCATGATTAAAACAGCGCCCGTTTTAAGCAACGCAGTGGCCTATGTATCCTCGAAGGTATCAAAGAGTCCATACACAAATTCCAAACTTACAAACCAAGCCTTACATCTTGAAATGAAGTCTACTTCTGTGTCGTGGCACAAGCGTCGAGTGGTACGAAAATCTACGTTCTCACATATAGTAGTACTTCTTTCAGCCATGTCTTCATCCTCGTTGTTCACTTTTCGCTGGTGTTTTCTGTCCCCCGAAAATCATATGTCCGTCACACACAAAATAATTCGGTTTTTGTTTGACTGTGAATGTGCAGGCAACGAGCTTACGGACCTTTTCACGCAAAGAAGGTCCATGCATATCTGAGGCCGGCAACGCCTAAATATGTGAAGCCATACTCTCCTCCCCATTCCCTTGCCTTGCCCATAAATGCACGCTCACAGCACTAACACCACGCGCCAAGCTACACGAATATATTTGCCAAGACTCAATAGCGATTCCTCTCTTCATAATGTCTTCTAATCAACCCGAGGAAGATAAGGAGACTAGCTTCAAAAGAGGGCGGTTGAGTATTGCTCTATTTCTATTGCGGCCTCGCTTCTCACAGCTGTCCTCGACCTTGGGGGCTCTTCCACGAAGACATTCAAGCTTTCGAAATGCAAGTCGAAGGGATGTTGTTGAATTTCTTGATGAATATTTTAACCGTACAGAGATACCGTGGAGCGATGACGAGGCGTCCATTCACAGGCAGTACGACGAGGTTATGGAGATTATGTGGGAAATGGATGACAATATTCGATTACTCGATCTAGTTTACCAGGCATCCCCCTCCTCGACCATTAGAAGGGATATCTCCCAGGCGGTTGAATGGTGGAGGCAAGCACTTCTCTTGATGTCCGAGGTTGACCAAGATCCATGGTCACACTAGGGTCTGGATCAGAGTCCAGAGGGCGAGTGATGGCCAGAACACGGTCCAAAAAAGCCCACGGACCTATTTTTATAGGTAAATGGCTTCTTTATGCTTGTTACTGATGATATTGGCGGCTTCAAACACGAAGTGTTGAGGAATAAATGCAAACAGGCAGTGACTTATGATGTCTGATAGTGGGCTGATTTTCTGATCCTAAGGGCGCCGCCGGTATCGTATCTGGAAACTTCTAGGGGATAATTGGTGGCAAATCATGATGTTTTGAAATGATAAAAATCATATCTATCCTAGGTCCCGAGATAGTCGCTTGTTATGTGGCACAGAAAAGGTTTTTCTATAGCTGTTTGGGCTATCCCGGCTTTTTTCTGTCTTTTATACCTTATGTTAATGGTTGCTATTTTCAAAATGAAACGTGAAACTATTATGCGAACATTGGTACTCTGAAGACTCGCCCCAAAATTATGAACTTAAGCAAATAAATTACAGGCGATAATCTCTCTTTCGTGTTTGTTTGTTTCCCTTGTTTGGATGTAGAAATGGAGACTTTAGAATGGTGTGTAGGTAGCTGGTAGACGCTTTATCCGTCTTATGTAGGACTTCCCTAGAGAACACTCCCTTCCCACTGGCCCGAAAAGTGTGCTGAGCCACCTCGGTTATGCAAGCTTTCGGAGTCCAGCTTTGTTAAATGTGAAGCTGCTGGATCTAGGAGCCGGACATCCTACTCGATCGGGCCTCGGGGTCCCACTTTGGTCTGATCAGTTTGGCGCTGAATCACGAACTATTTCTCGGCTACTGAAAGGTGGCGTAAACCATTAAAATCTATTGCATGGATGGGCTACCCATGACGCGGTGTGAGATCTAAGTGCTATCGAAATCAAAGCTAATAACTCCGATTCGTCTATTTACGGATATCTCCCGTCGTTTTTGGTTTATTCTCCGGTTGTGAATCGATACCATGCGCAAGCCACACGACGCTACCATTTAGCTGTATTGGACAGTCTCATACTGACTCTTTGCTCTGATGCGTGGCCCATATTTGAACAGTACCCAGGGAACAGGTAATAGCACGAGGGAAAAGAACCCCAAAAGGCTGCTAGCCCAAGAAATGCCCAGCTTTTGATACACTACATCCAAGTCAGTCAAGGTGAGAAACCATAGGGTTAAAGGTTAGGCTTTGCCTTACTCTGAACAGTAAATAGTGGAAAAGCTGCGGCAAATCCATACCGAGCCAAACTGTTGGCACTGGCGGCACTGGCAATCACGTTTCCAGTGTATGTGTCAGTCTTGTACTGAAATGTGGTGATGAAGATGGAGATGTTCCCCCAGGCAAAGAATGAGATGGCTGCTGCAGGACTGGCCCACGACACGCCTGCACGTGCTGACCATCCAAACCAAAATAGTCCTATTGGCAATACCAAGCTGCCGACCATGGCGGCATAGAGGCGGTGCTCAGGAGGCACCTTGTTGGGTGGAAACTGGCTGATTTTCTTCTGGTATATCATCTTATCACAGACCACGATTGTGATAAGTCCAAGAAAACACCCGATCACAACAGCAAGAAACACAAGACCGCATTGCTCAACATCGAACCTATACACAGATGCGAAAGTATACGGCACTGCTGCGAAGAAGCTGAACAGGGTGCCGAACCCAAGAGCAACATAGAGACAGATGAAAGTGACAATCGGTTCGAGAACCAGCATTCTAACAGGCCGGATGACAGAGACAAGGGCAAATTCTCTGAGGCGCATTGAGAGCGGCTGGGAGGGAGAGACTAGTTCGCCCCGGCTCTTGGCAAGTCTTCTTCGTAGTAGAGGGTGGAAGGTCTCCTTGGACAGAATGGAAAGCGTCAAAGGGGCCGCAGATATGACAAGAAGACAGTAATATGGCCAACGCCAGCCATGTCGACTAACAGCAAACGCTCCTATCACGGGCCTGATGTAGAATGTTAATTTATTTTCATTTTCAGAAAAGAAATAAGACGATCAAGACTTGAAAACGTACCCCAGGCCAGGGCCAAGAAAAGCCATCAGCACAATTATTGCGCTTACAGGGCCTCTTGCCTCAGCTCGAAACACCTCAATGATCGAACCCGCCGTGACGGCTAGGGCAGGACCCCAGCAGAAGCCAGAGAAAAATCTCAGGACACAGAGCGCAGCAAAGTTGGTGGCCTGAGAGGCACCGATCGTGAATAACACACCTGTCAGAATACAACCAATGTATACATATCGGCGGCCGATGGTTTCAGATAAAGGTCCACCGATTACAGGGCCGAATGCAAGTGCTAGGACGTAGAGTGCAAGGCAAAGAATGGCGACAGTTCGAGAAACCGAGAATTCCAACATCACATACGCCACTGATGGACTGACAATGGATGTCGCGACAGAGCTATGAAACTCCCATGTTAGAAAGATACTTCAGACCAGGAGGGGTTGAAAGAAGGGAATGGTGGGAGAATTCGAACCCAAGGAATGTGGCAGATGAGAGCATAGCAATTTGTATAAACTTGGTTCTCGGGCCCCAGTTCAGAGGATTTTCAGGGTTCTTGTCCCAGGCGTCGTCCTCCTTCTCAAAATCCGTCGATGTCGCCCCTCTCGCACCTCCCACAGTGTTATTGCCATCAGTCGAACTGGCTTCTATGTCGACTGGTAACACGACGCGCTCCATGTTGAGATATTTGGAGTTTAAGTTTATCATCGGAACTGGCGTTGATATCTGTATGTCGTTTTCCACTCTTCTTCACCGCGGAGGAGAGTCAAAGAGGTAAAAAAAAATACCAAGTCACAAAACTACTTGATGACTGAGGGCGTATTTAATGCGTTGACAACATGTGTGGCAAAGATCCACCCATTCTGTCGTTTCGACTAGAAGGGGTGAAAAGCGGACTGAATATATTCAGCTTATATTTTGCGTAGGGCTAGAACGAATGTAAAAACAGCATGGCGATATTAGGATGGGACACGCAAGCATCACCAGGGTTCAGAGCCTTTGGGTCGGGTCTAATGCTCCACCGGGGAGGCATTGCCTTTTCCATCAACAGAAGAGAGTAAGCACGAGTCAGATCCAGACCGTACATGGCATGCATATCAATACTGAGCAGGGCAGAGTCGAGTCGGCTAGTGGGCTACTATTTACAATCCATGCAGCAAGGTGGAGAGGCACGGATATCATAGTGCCGATGAATTCTCGAATCGTCCGCTATTGCTTCTTTGCACTCGAATTCCTTGCACGACGTGTCATACATCTACTTTGGTGGGTCATTGTATTCAATAGACTGACAAAAGTAGATCCTAGCTCGCTGTGAAGCTCTCATGTTCATGCTGACCGAGAAGCCCGCTTGGTTCAGCCTCATCCGCCCACACCGATTCATTAGCGGCTGATATTTCTCCTTCATAGCTGGTGGCGCAGTTTAAATTAATGGTCTTGTGCCCAAGAGCCAATGGTTGCAGGGCTTTATAAAAACGGGTCGGGTTTCTGGATAGGTGCCATTACAGTCGCCGCCCTCATCGAACGTAGAAGTCGATAACCCGGCTTAGCCTTGTGATCATCATCTTACAGGGCACGCGTCTGCTCAACGGGCCCCTTCTCCGCAGAAGAATAGTTGAGCTCTTCCTCGACACCGTTACTGGCCCCTTTCACATCGGCAGGGTATTTCTTAGCGGTATAGTCGTCGAGCTACTGAATGTTAGACGAGGGTTATGCATCCAATGCGATTTGTGCCACTTACCCAACGAAGAAGAAAGATCCAACCGCTCAGGCAAGCAATGACTACAATCATGGCAATGTAACCGTTTCTCCAGTAAGGCGCATGATTGGCTGGGTAGACCACGATACCCCAGAAAGTGTAAAGGAGCATGCCACTGGCGACCATAGAGGCAATAATAACACTTCGAGCCGCGTCGTCCCCTCCCCTGGCCGTAATAACGCTGGGCCACCCATACAGTAAAGGGTTGATACCATAAGCAGTTGCGGCAATATAGAGTGCACTGAGGTTACCGGAAACGGTCATCTGGGGAATCAAGAGAACGATAGTGCAAATGAGCTGAATGACCAAGAGTGCAAAGCCAGTCGAGAGGCGTAGGTTAAAACGATCGATGGCGGCGGCTGCGGCGAATTCAGCCACAATCCCAATAGCTTGGATTCCAAGAGGCATGGTGTTAATTTGTTCCTGGGTGTATCCGTCAATATCTTTACGGTTCTTGAGATAGAGTAGCATCAATCCTTGAACGGAGTATGCCTGCAAAGCAGCCGAAAGAAGTGAGAAACCACAACAGATATAGCTGTGAATGGTATATTAGCCCCCACCCCCTTTTGAAGGGGTTATTTACGGTAACACTTACAAAGCTGGCTGCCCTAAAACCCTCTTGGTAAGACTCCAAGGGGCAATACTGTGGCCATCCTCCCTCTTGGGAGGGAGACGATTGAGGGCAAATTTACGCTCCTTCTCGCTCAGATAAGGGGCACGAGTGTTCTCCGGTAGGTCAGGGAAATATAGATAACCGAAGATGGCGATAGGGCAGGTGATGATACCATCGATAATGAAAACCCACTGCCAGCCTGCGAAGCCAGAGCGGCCATCCATGGATTTGTAGATGGCAGCCATCATGACGCCGGCGAACATGCTCCCCACCTGTCCAGCTACAGTGAACATGGCAGTGCGCTTAGCGATCTCATTGGGTTTACTGTTTTGAAGGATATATCAGCCGGGCCAAAGCTAAAGAAGAGAGAAGGGGAGCTCATGACTCACTACCAGGAACCCATCACGTAGATGCAGCCAGCGTAGGTGCTGGCCTCGGCCAAGCCCATGAGGAAACGAACGGCGCAGAGCTGGCCATATGTTTTGCAACCCGCACCAGCCATAGTGAGACCAGCCCAAATGATGACCATTGAAGGGAGCCAAATACGCGGGGGGACCTTGTGGATGATAATGCTATTGGGGACTTGGCCAACAAGCATGCTGTCAACCGTCAGCTTCCATCCCGAGGAATGAACTCCAGTCCAGGTTACGATCATGGATAGAAACATACCCTGCAGAGGCCATAGAAAGAAGAACATTGTATTGATTGCCATCTAGGTTGAGAGCCTCCTTCAGGCCAGCGACCTGTGTCAAAAGTAATATTAATATACCGCCCACCCAGGCGAAGATTGGCGTAGTGCTTAATGATAGGCGTGTCGCTCATTTTGAACTCACATATGCATTAGCGAACGCCGCCCGGTCTAAAATGGAAGTGTCAGTTGTCGGTCTTTGGACTGCAAATGCAAATACCGGGTACAAACCAAGGTAATTGAAGAAGTAACTCATGCAAGAGTACGTCTTCCCAACAGTAAGAATTAGCATAGAACCTCTTCTCCTTTTTAATCTCGAATCAGTTTACCAAAATGAAGAAATCTAAGAGGATTGTTAGACGGCAAGCTCGAAGTGAAGGGGTTCCGGTACAAACCAAGTTTGCGAAGCAGCCGTCTCTCCTCCAGGGAAGTGTCTCCCCAGAACAAGGTGGTGACTACTGCGACAATTCCAAGTTAGAAAATGGATGTCTTAGTGTGCGAAGATTCTTGATGAATACCTTTCGTCACTATCGAGGAGGATTTAGCGGTCATGATAGGCCACGGTTATGTGATAAGTTGAGGGCCTCGACGACAAGAGTGTTGTATGAAAGGAGAGGATCAAGTTCAAAGTAAGGAGGTAAAAGTGACCATGTCACCGGTTTTATTCTTCATCGCCAATGTCGTAGTGGGCCCTTGCTGATCAGTGATTGATAAAAAATGTGTCACGACAAGGCAGCTTGGCTCGCTCGGTACCCAATAATAGCCTCTAGCGCTACGACGGCAGCGACTCTCGCTCCAGGTAAAGTTAAACCGGCTAATTACCTGGGTGTTTTATTGGAAGGAGATGTCCGTGATAAGAGGGGCTGTTTGGGGGGCTGGCCTCCCAGTCTCGAGACTCCAGGCATTAGGCTGACTAGCTCTAGCAATTCTAACCCTAAGCTTAAGCTAAACGATGATTTTTTCATCTGATACGCATTATCTGATCCAATCCTGGAAGAGATCGGAACTGGCGAAATTCTAAATGCCTCTTCTGGCATCCACGTGGTCCCCTTGGTGCGCTTTAGTCTGGGTAGTATTACGACTACGGTTTAAAGTATGATATGTGATTGACACTCGGGCGGAATACCGTGAAAAGACAGCTCGCGAACCTCTACGGAATAAAAGAGGGAACTATAGCATGCGGCAAGAAGTGGACGAGGAAATTAAATGACTTCTGGTTGGCTTCGTGTTTCAATATGGGATGCAGCAATGCATTGAGACATGCTGCCCCACGTGGACATCGTCGGCCGCCTGCTAAACTCCCCTGTCAAGCAATTGAAAATTTCAACGCGTAAAGTGACATTCATTGGAACTATGGTTTATCAGATGGAACCTAAGGCCTGCTTCCGGAGAAGCGCAGGGCCTGACCCTGAGCCCTGAAGATGAGCAATTCGTTGAGAAGACTCGGAGTTCCGAGGTCGAACCCCAGCGGTCTTGGCGCATGTGGAGATTTGGGGTTGAAGCCCAGGTAACAGTGTGACATCCGCCCTACCATGCTAAGAGGCGCACATCGCCAAGCTCGGTAACCGGGCTGAGCGCCACTAGACTCCTTCTTACATAGATTCAATTACCACTAGTCGGCAGCAAATGACCACTAGAGATCGTCAGCAGTCACTCGTGGACGATCTAACAGGCGGACATTTTATACATTTCTCCTTGGTAGGAAGTGACAAGAGGAAATCGGTCTTCAGAGGAAATCGGTCTTAAAGCGTTGCTCGCGCTTATAGGGGAGAGGAAATTTGTTTCTTATATCAATAGGAAGCCCTAGACAAAAGCCATAGATAGAATTTAGCTTTGGGAACCAAGTCTTCCTCCAGCCCCAAAGAATTCCCGTTTCTTCACAAGTGAAGCTAATTGTGAGCGCTTCCCCATAGCGACGAGAATCCCCACCTCTTGTGTGGAGAGGTGGACAGTACCGGTAGGTATCATTATGTGATAGGGTATGTGAGCGTCATTATTTTGGCTAGACAACTCTCCTCTCCTGGTAAACAGATCAGGAACATAATTCAAGGTTACTTTGACCATTTATCAACGTTGACATATCATCGTAAGATTTGGCCGGACAAAGAAGGGGCCTATGCCAGAGAGCGTGGAGGGAGTGCTTGAGTTGATTTGGGCTGTACCATAAACCCATCCTACGCTGCTCCCATCCTCCCTGTTTGGTCTAATGACGCGGACAGGCAAAAACAACCCCTGTCCTGCATAATATTAGCATTGCCTTGGCTGCTGTTCAAATCTCACCCGAAATCAAAAACTCGTTCACAAATTAAGTTCGCTCCATCGGAGATAAGGCTCTTCCTCCTTTTTCTGGGATGAAGCTACGGGGATGACTAACCTCATTTATGACTGCTGTCTTTTCTACTTCTCGTAGCAATCAATCTCCGTTCGGAATGAAAACACGGTCGGAACTCTACAAGCGTACTCTTAGTTCTGACCCAAGCATCCAGACCCTCTCTTTCGTTTTCGGCTTACAGCCTACTATGATTACAGCCTACTATGATTCCAGCCCCTGACAACTATCTCGGCTCGGGGCTTGCCCTAAATCTATGCCAGCCTAAATATTATCTCATCCTCCAGCTGTCAGATAGTGTCGTGACAGGCATTGGCATCACTGCCGAAAACTCTAGCTTCCAGTCTAAAAGACGTGCCGTTTGCCCTTTTCGCAGCCTCATATACCGTGGTATAGTTCCATATTGTCATGAGGGAATTAATGCTTCCAATTAGAGTTAACATCGCGCCATGAACTCTTGAAGAGTCTATGTTATCTGGTGAAAGGCAACTGATCGTGTAGTCTCAAGAACTGAGAGCATCGCCTAATATTAGAGCTAACCTTGATTGGCCTTCTGGGGAAAGACCAGACGTTATACCCCTAAGAACTCCCTAACGAAAGCAAGCAAATTCCGTGTGGACTTATTGCGGCTTTGGTGAACCATTAGAATTCGGGGACTCCCCCTCCTTGAGACGGCTCTGATTCTCCTTTTTTTCACTGAATTTCTGGTGGATAGCCGGCGATTTGCTCTTCATCTCCTGCAACACGCGATGTACCACCGGATCAACACCACTCCCCTCAATAGGCTTCATCCCAAGCTTCTCAAGGACACTACCCCACCTCTTCATTTCGTCTGTCTTTCCGTGCTGGGAGTCAGGATACCACTCCGTAGCCTTCTCGCTCCACGCCTTCCAGAGGCGTACTTCATTCTGGGTTGGGGTCGACATCGGGAACTTTAACCCGTTCCACAGCTCAACCTCGTGAGATCCATCTGAGCTGGCATGACTTTTGATGGCCCCTTTTGCTAGAAGCGGGACGGTGAAATGGACTTGGATATCCTTGCCCAACCCGTGTCCGCTCCGAACAGCCTCTCCCACACAGCGGTCACGGTCGCCACTGATCATGCCGAACGAGAGTTTATGGGGGATTGACCACCACCAAGGCGGGTCATTCACCTGACCTGCAGATAGCCATTAGCAGGGCACAATGTGGGTTTGCGTAAGTCTGTGCAGCGTAGCCTTACCCTTGGACCTTAGTAGGCCTTCATACCTCAGGACGTGCGCTGGTTGGCCTGTAGAGAGCTTCTCCGTTGATAAGTTCCTCGGCAGAATAGGTACTATTGACTGCAACAACGCCCCCGATTCGAAGGAGACGTCGCTAATATCCTCAATCCGGGACATCATCCATAGCAATGCGATCGTGGAGAGACCCGTATCGATGTTACCGCCCCCAATATCCCCGTGGTGGCCTGCAAAAAGACACTGCTGGACTCGTGTGGTGTCGGAATTCGCTTGACGCGTCCACAGCATGGGTTGGAAGCTCCATCTCCTCTCATCAATGGCGATAGCCATGAATGCGTGTTTAACCGAACGTGGGACCGTCCCTCTCACGAAGCTCAACCTCGAATCCCACAGAGAACTGACCGTGTCCCACTCAGCCATAGCGAGTATGGGCACGCGAATAATAGCGTGGTCCTCCTTCAAGGCCTGCTTGATCTTGGGGTCAACCTTGCCCTTTCCCTCCACCCAACTCTCGAAGACCAGAGGAAGCAAGGAGAGGTACTTGCGCCTGAATAAACCAACTTCATCGATGAAAGCAGCCAGACACCTGACGGCAAAGGCACCCCTTGAAAATCCGACAAGAATTATCTCATCTACATCCCCGACGAAGTTATAATTATTAGACAGGAAGCAATACGCATTCAGGATGGTCTTCTCGAGGCCTGGTTCGTGAGGTCAGCTTCATTAGGACGGCGTGAGGGCGGGAGGCAAACCTTGCCCCGTCACTCCCGAGTATAAGTAGTCGATGGGGACAGGGAGCACGGAATCCGTTCCTACCCCGCTTGCATAGTAGACTATTTGCGGGACTGGGAGGATGTTATCTTTGCCACCCCATCTCTCGTAGCCGTGACGATCGACCGAGCGGGCTAGCCGTGCTACGTTAGTAGGCGGGAGGACAGTGCCGGACGCGTTCTTCCAGGTGCCATCGCAGCAAACGATCAAGCGCTTCTTTCCTTTTTCGTCGGCTAAAACTTTCGAGAATGGTAATCTAGGAGGCCTCGAGCTGCTCGAGCTGCTCGAGCCTTGGGTGGTGTCGATGTTGTCGGCGGCACCGTTGTCCAGAGCATCGGCAACCCTGGCCCCAAAGTGCCACAGGGCTGCCGGGGCGGCGAAGTGTGTTATATTCTTAAACATGATGTTTTCTAATACAACAGGGAAACGTGGACATTCAAAATTTTCTCCTTCTTGCTTCTAGTAGTGCAGAGTGAATTTCAAGAGAAAGGATGCTTTACCGTTATGGCCAAGCATCACGTCATTGTCAAGGAGAGAGAGCTGAAAGCAGCCCCAGAGTATTTGGGCGGTTATAGCGGGAGCAGGGAAGTTCTACTGCGGGGTACATCGACCTCAATGTCACATGGATAATTCCTACACGAAGCACTACGCTGAGGATACATGATTAGGTGCTGATGGCCTTGGGTAGCTAGGTTTCTTTCTATCTACAGTCTGGAGTAAAACTCTAGTACGCTATTCATAGAGAATAAGAAATCCCCTGTCCATAGTAGAAACACACCATTTAGCTATGCCTACAACGGTTGGCCGTTTGAAACTTCTGCCACCACTAACTCTCTTGGCTAGAAGAGTTAATTAACGTTCGACATCTTCCCCATTCTTGCCGTTGGGTGGTCTTTTCGGCGTGTCGATGCGATCCTCCCGATCTTCGCTTCTACTTTTTTGTGAGGCCAAATCTCGTTTTCTAGGAGAATTTTCATCTTCCTTCGACCCTGTTCGATTGGCATCATCCTCCCTTCTACTTTTGGGTGAGGCCAATCCAGGTTTTCTCTTAGGTGTGTCCTCTAGGTAGCTAGAAGTATGAATATTCCTCCGCCCAGTAGGCCCGTCTGGGAGTGCCGCCGATCGCGCCGGTAGCAAAAGCAGTTTTGGGCGGGTGGGTGCTCTGAAGACGAGCCCGACATTCGCGCGATTAACGGCCAGAAGAGTAGCCTTTAGTGCTACCTGTTGAGGCGCTGTGAGCAAAGGCCGGAGGAATTGGGTATGAGGAGCGTGCAAGCCTACCATTTTGATACAGACTATAAGTTAGTTTATATTACTTGGGAAGTAGCTCGCGAGTGAGAGAGATGTTAGAGCTTAGTGCTCCTCTTTGCCGAAAATAAGGAGTTGAGCTCGGTGGAAGAATTATGGCTGGCTATTTGAGATAGGAAGTCTTTTTACCTTCGTTGAGTACCTACCATGCTCGCTTATCAGGTAGCTCGAAAGCCTTGCAATACGCCATATGCAGGTATGTCTGCCTAACACCCCACTCCGGTTGCCTTCTAGACGGTTTGACTGGGTGTGGATATTGGGTATAGCTCTGCATCTGACATAAGACCTCCTTTCAGCCTTCGATTTCCCCTCTTCTCTACACCTAGGGCAGTCATGATTGGAAGATAATATTCTCTATCATGGTAATGTTAAACCTGCAAGATTCTCTCAAAGACATTTTTCATAATTCTTAAATATTATATCAACTAATATCACAATGCTCTGGACCTTCGCCGGGCCTCCAGGTAATCCGGCATAACCGAGGTGTGGGAGGGTGGCCAATCCCGTGTTCGTCTCTTGCATAAGCGCCCATCCTTCTGCATCTACAGTAATCCTGAGTGTGCTGTGACGTCTGCAACATGCCATGCATGCAGAAGAATCCGACTCTGCATTCACTTGATTGTTTCTGGGCGTAAGCAAGGGATATCTTAGGATTAGGCTAAACATGAAGCTGAGATTACATCTCATTTCTGCCTTGGCTTATAAAAGCTTAATCTAAAAGGGCAAATTGGCGAAACGAAACACGAACGGAAAACAAAATGTTGATTATGACAAGCTAGCTCTGAGGAACTAATTTATCTATCTGGGCGTATGGGCCCCGGCTTGATATCTTAATATACCTAAGAGAAAGAGAATAAAGTTCAACAGCAATGGAAGCTGCCAGAGCCCGACAACTCAACACAATGAATACGAGATATCTTAATATACTCTTACAAATTGTCACTCCGCCGCTGGTTTTTCGCGAGAAATATTTTTAAAGAAGGCGCTCTGGCTTGCCTTGCCCTTCTCAAGCGATTTATTAGTAGATTCGGTTTTGTTTTTGTACATAAGCTATGTCCTATCCGCCACTTAATTCGCCTAGCATCCCGGCGGTTCATATAGCAGCTCATTTCTTTTCCCCTTAACTATAACTACCATCCAGATAGAATAAGTCATCAGGTGGGATTTTATTTTCTCGGTCACGTTGATAATTTCTCTGCCTCTTTAAGGAGTACTGAAACAACTTATACCCTCCTGACACTAGTCTTTGGAAGACCAGGGCTGGATCATACTTTAGAGCTGTGAGCCATAAGAATGCCTTGTTTCTTGCACCATAACTAGAAATCGGGTCTTGATTGCTACCAGCGTGGCTCATTTCAACCCATGGGTGGTATGCTCTAGATGCTTTAAGCATAGCAACACTTACAGCCAGCACCTGGTCAGTTGCCGCGCTCGTTATCTCGTTTCCGGATTCAAGGGGGAATGGCACCGTTACCAGAGCGAGCCAAGCCCCCTCAGGCGGCGATGAACCTATGTTAAACACGTTGCCTCCTTTTGCCTCGGTGATATCTTTGATAAGGTCTACAGATCAGCGTAGTGGAGTCCAGTGTCAAAGCGTGATTCCTTCCGGCTCGGGCCGCAGAAGCCTGCAAGGGAGCATTGGTGTCCACATGTCCCGAGGTTCGTATTTAACAATGATATGTGTTTCGGTACTGTGACGTAAATAGCGCCATGTGAGTATAGTTACATAGCTTGATGGCTGATTCAACTCCAACTCTCCAGAGCAGTGTCTGCGCCACCCAGTTTCGTATACCTAACGCTATCTCTCCACACCATGAGACGTTTCTGACCATCAGCGGCCTCTGGTACCACATCCTGCACCTCGGATCCATTGTAGAAGCGACCTTGACTCTCTGTAGTGACATCTAGAGCAAGTCTGAGCGTGTCAGAGGCCGATTTGTTGATTGTCCGATTTGACCATTCGGTCGCCACCAGGTCATCAACGGAGCAATTAACGGCACAACAATCGGCCATATGAGCACCCTCGTGGCCCAATTGCCCCGACGGACGAGCCCAGTCGCCATCACGCCTGGGTCTATACCGGAAATGGCTATACCCTTAAGCCTCGAGTCACTGTCCAAACGCCGCTGAAGCTCTGCTATCATCATGACAAAGCACATTTTGGCCGCGCCATATCGTCGGATACCAGCATGGCGAGCAAAGTCATCCCTATTGCTGCTCCAGGTGCCGTAAGCAATGGCATCAATGTTGTCTTGACGGAAAAAGAGCTTCCATTTTTCCTCATTATAGTACCCATCTAGCTTGTGAACAGGGGCATTGACACTGCATGTGCTCGGTCCCCATTAGCTATCTTCAATCACCATTGCAGTGTGCACCAGCGTGTCAGAGGGCGAGGGAATGATGATGATATTGAGAACTTACTCGTAAGAATCGCTGCCGACAACTACAATTCGCCCGTGCTCTCGGTCCATAGCTTGAAGTAGCATGAGGGTCAATAGCCAATGTCCCAAGTAGTTGGCAACGAAGGCGACATCAAGGCCTTCCTCGGTCTCACTCTGCTGCCCCATATCATTATACCCAGCAGCTAATATGAGTCCGCACAATGGAGGGATCGCCCCTTCAGCAACTTCAGTGCGGAGAGATTGGGCAATGGACCGTGTGTTCTCGAGGCTCGCCAGATCAAGAGACACAATGCGATAATTGTGCGAGCTTGGGGCGCGGGACAGGACTGACTCAAGTGCTGAGGCTTGGGTGGCATCACGAACGACATAGATACCATGGTAGAGAGCGAGTTCTAGTGTCGAGATGATATGAGAAATAATACCGCAACCGAGGCCTCCATTTGCGCCCGTGACAAGGATGGTACCTTTGGATCTCGCCATGTCGATGGACGGTGGGTAATATTTGCGATGTTCAGGGAGAGACACAGGAAGGGGCACCGCCGCTGACACCACCTAAGTTTCATAGTCGTGGACCAACGGATACACAGATATGTATGTGCGTATGAAGGTTGGGGTGGGGTGCGAAAACAATAGCAACAGGGGATCGGAAATCATCAGCATTAGGAATAGATTGGCGGTGTTGTCGCCCCCAGAGTGCATTGTTCTCAAAAGAAGGAGACTCCAGAAAGTCCTCTCTTCGCTATTGTTTCTACATTGGGCTCCAGCCCTGCACCAACACGATGAGATGGAGAGAGTCTCCGTGCCCGTAAGAGCTAGTGACACTACGGCCTAGAAGGAGATTGCATATCGCTAGGATTCAGACTCCTTCTCTGCCTTTCCTTGGCAGGCACCGGCGTCGAGTTGCAATACAATATTTTTCACAGGAGAATTGGCCCATTGCACGAGTCCGTCAGTAGATCCCCCATACTCAATCCGATGTTAGCCATTTCACATGAAGGTGTATCAAAGGGGCTGAATGCGTTTTTAGCTGAAGGTACTCGATATGAGTATAATTACACTGAAGGCGCCAGAAGTCAGCTCAGCCTTGGAAACTGTGATTGCCTATCTCGAGCAACCATTCTCACTGGCCTTCTTAAGTGATCATCGGCGTCATGGAGATTATCAACGTGGCAACTCTACCACACTCACGATACTCTTCAAGGCTACTGTTCATTACCCTGTTGGCTGTCCTGCTTCGCCATGTCTAGTCATGGCTTAAGTACCATCGGGCCCAGACAATTGGCAATAAGCAACAAGTTCCTCCTGCATATCCTTCCGACTTCCCAGTTCCGGGAAACTTTATTTCCCTCACATGGAAAAATAGTTCTTCTTTCGCTTGGTCAATCCAATTCTGTAGGGCTTCAATGTAGGCCGTGCTGGTCGCCGCATTTTAACAATGGTTAGTTAGCAGCTATATGCCGCACGAACATGCCATTCTCTATGGCATCTGACAATATTAAAGTGGCTATCAGTTACCTTTCCCTAGGGCATGTGAAAATAGTTTCGCCGAGGAGGAGTAAATAATGAATGAGTGATGGCTCGTGATCGGGTTCTGCGAGTGCAAGGGTACAGATTGTGCATTACATTTTGCCTTTAGTCAATGCGGTGTGCGCATCCGATTCCCACTCCGATATCACATGTTTTCGCATCCTGCAGGCAGAAATGATAAGGACTTACAGGTGCCGATAAATCCCCATTGCATAGGTCGATAATCGGGTCAATTCGGAGCTCCATCGACTGCAGTAGAGATCTCATGTTTCTGACGTAGCATCCAGCTTTCAAGGCGTGACGGCAGGGGTAATAATCATGAAATACAAAGGCACGGCCAATTCCGCCATTTGAAAATTGCTACTGTTGTTACTGTTAAATAAATCTTGACGTATTCTTACTCCATCCTAAAGTGCTATTGTTTATTGTTGCCTACCTAGTTTACTTGTCCATCCAGTTGATCCACAATGGGAAGCCTTCGACCTGTCGTTATTTCTCGTAAGATCATGTTCCTCACCGCCAGACAGGCGTTGACTAATGTATTTCCCAGTTGGTCGAAAAGCCAGTTTCCAAGTAGCTGCTGCTTGCTTCTCGTCTGTTTCCATGCACAGATCGCATGCACCATTCGCGTACTACGATGGTTCCACGGCTTCCCAACTGACCTCGTTCGATGCCGCCCATCTTCATGGAGAGCTCATGGGGCCTCTGTACAGGGCAGCCTCGATTTTCGAGGCCCATTGCAAGGAATCAGGTATGCAGACCTCATGATTTATGCTAAATTGTATACTACAATGCTCACTAAGTAAGCATACCATGGGACAGAGGAGGCTGAACACCCTGAGGCTGGCCACTACGCCGATGCTGGAGCAGGCTCTTCCTCGGTACCACCCAACCCAGTTTCCAGACGGAGCGATCAAGGTCATTAACTGGGGGACCCAAACAATCCTTTCGGTGCCATGTGCCAACCTTCAATCGATCACCCATGAGGTTCCTTTCCGCGAAGCCTCTTAACCCTCGTCACTATTTTCCGTCACTATAAGGCCTCCCGGAGGCTTTTCAATACCACTTCTACGATCAACAGAAACCGAAAAATGCCCCTTTGAAACCACAAGTACAGGTCGTCATTCAAACACACAACTAGAGTCGCCATTCATGGAGGAAACAGGACTTTTAAAAAGATTGGGCTTCGAACCTCAGAATTTGTTTATAAGTTCTCAAGTGAGAACAGTCTTGGGCCAAGACTTCGGTCTGACTAAGCTTTACATTCTGCTGATGGTCATATGTCTCGGATACATCAAAACCCTAACTCTCTTTTATGAGGCTTCTATGGGCTACTCGACTTTCCAGACCTAGTGCAGCTTCCAGGTCATCTAGCAGGGATTCCATGGTACACATTTATAGCCATCGTGATCTTCAGACACTACAGAATAGAGGGCCTAGTTCTTCCAAGGATTTGGGAGACCAGGAAATCGAAACCAAGCGCTAGGACCTTGGTGTGGCAGAAACTATTTTATCTAAAAGAGAAACTTCCGAACATCAACATAACTAGGACAGGGCGTGCTGGCGCGGATATGAGCAAGATCATTGCTTTTATATAATAATAAATAAACTTTGGTGCAAATGACTCCTTAATTTATTCCTCATTATTTCCGTTCGATTGTTGGGGTGTCAGGGATACCAAATGAAGGGGCTGTGCATTTTTCCGCAAGCAGTGAATTTGTGATGGAGCCTTGTATTCATTAGAAAGGAACTCTAATAACATAGAACCACCCCTCAGCTCTCTATCGATTAGTTAATATCTATTTATATGCCAGACTTATACCAGAACCAAGGCTTGCTGTGCACATGCCAACAACATCTTTGGTCACTGAGCAAAAAAATGACAGGTAGGAAACAAATTTGTAGGACCCCAACTCAGCCCTCCTGTGGCTGACTTTGCTGATGCAGGTGAGATTAGCCGCACGGGCTGTGCTGGCGCCTATTGCTACAAATCATTGGATCCAACACCAACGTAGCCTACCATTTATCGGCCGGTTCCAATAACTCACCCAGCTGCAGCACCAGATCATATGTCATAAGTAGTAGTTTTGGTAGGACTCATATCGTTTTCTGTGGAAAACCCGTAGGATCTATCCCCAGGGCCTATTCGCTTGATATGTTGTTTCCTTTATCAGATCTTGTTGTTGCCGGGGAACATCCAAACCACGAAAGCTCCTTCGGCCGGGAACGCGATATCTCGTTCTACTTTACACACTTAAATTGACCCGAATTCTTCCATTAAAAATTTCATCGCAACACTGGCAGAAACACCCTTGATATTAGGGTCTTTCTCTAATAAATGAATTAACTTATGCTATAAATCTCATAGAGTTAGGGGGTATTAGATCTTACTATAGGAAGGGTACTTCTTATAATATTCTTCCTCAGTCATTATCGCCTTATCTTTTAATATTTTGTCAATCATCTCGGCGGATGAAAATGATGCCTTCGGAGCGAAAGGGTTATGACGTTCAAATTCAAACTTAGGCAGAGCAGGTGGCATTTCGGAGGGCACAGTGGATGGTTCAGTTAAGTCGGTGGACGCAGCAGATGTAGCTGCTGTAATAGCTATCCCGGAGGATTCTGAGTGCTTGTTCTTCTTCTTCTTTGAGTGCTCGTTCTTCTTTGGTTGAGGCATCTTGTCTGGTTGAAGGAGTGATCTATGATGAGGGAGGAGGAAATTTGAATGTGAGATGTGGAAAATGGAGAAAGTCTACCTAGGAGAAAGAGAATAAATAGCAATGGAAGCTACCAGAGCCCGACAACTCAACACAATGAAAACAAAAACTTAAAAAAAAAAAGCCTTTGCTAGCCCAAGGCTGTAGCCGTACGGAAAGAAAAGTCTGCAAACCTTCATGCCGATGACTCACTTGCCGTCAGGACGAGCGGCTCGTCGAATGACTATTAAAGCTACCTCATAGAGAAAGTCTAAATGGGGTATATGATGCAGACTTTCTTGGCGGTTTACGCTTTTCGGAACAGGAGGAAAATATTAAACCGCCGACTAATAACTAAATGCTATATAAGATCCCCGGCCGACGGGCAAGGCTCGGATAACGACAATAATAAGGAGAAGGCGTGGACATGGCATGGTATCAAGAAGGGCAAGCTTGCTGGAATGGTCGTGTCAATCACAGGAGTCATTGTTGCCATCGTTGGGGTCATTCTTGCTCGGTCACAACGCTGCTTCTGCTTCCGCCCTCGCTAGAGGGCACTGTTTCGCATTTCCTCCTATTCCCCAAGCAAGGCGAGCCAAGGGACTTTCCGATGAGATATCGCGAGAAGTAGGGAGCCTGTCACCTCCTTTCGACCAGGCCGCCGGTCCATCTTCCCTTCACCACGGTTCGACTCAGCATGAACACCATGCATGGTTTCGACAAACGTATTTCGATCGAAGATGCCATTCACCCGGTCCAACGATGACACCTAAGCGGCATCCCAGCGTCAAACAAGCATAGGGAGGAGGTCCTAATTGAAAACAAGCCAAATAGATTTATTTTTAATAGAGTTTCCCGGAGTTATTGTTTGCATAGAGAATTCGCCTATAGAATAATAAATGAACAACAGCATTTATTTTCCATAGAGAAGAAGAAGAAGAAATTGTTAACAAATATATTGATTTACATAGTTGCCGAAGTGCATTTTACATTGGGATCAAGTCCTAACAGTTATAAACTATAGCTATTTTTCTTATAGTGAACCTCTGCCTGCCTTTAGAAATTGGGATCTAACGTGCTTCATAGAATTCAAATAGGCATGTTTGTATTTATACCACCTCTGATACAGTTTCTCTCTCTCATACAACCTCTATTTCGATACGGTACTCTTCACCCTCCTGTTCTACTACCTCAATCGTCACACCAAATTCAGAAGATGTATAAGATCTGGCACCAGACCCATCCAGAGCCAAAGGTGCGTTCCCAAAAGCTGTACCGTCGCACCCAATTGAATCTGGACTAGAGTCTAGCACAACAACTGGGCCTGTCCCAGTTGCCACGTTCGTGGCAACCGTATAGAGAAGCACTCCCTTGGCACACGATCCAACGTTGTTGCCGTTACTCGATCTCACTTCGGCAATGAGGGCAGAAGTCTCGTTCTTTTTAATCACCACGGCCTTGATCGGACTGTTCCCGTCTGGGGTATCCATCGGTGAGAGTGTATGTGTCGTTTTGCCGGCCTCTGAGACACAGTCCACCTGTTCATCCTGAAGCCATCCTAGACGCCACTTGTCCCATGCGAAATAGTCGGGACTTGCCCCGTTGATATAGCCCATCAAACTCCAGCCTCCCACATACATTCCCGTCTCCCCGCCAGAGAACGGATAGTAGTCCGCAAGACCCATTGCATGACCGGATTCATGGTTCATCACTTTGGAGAACCATTTGACGTATGCATCATATCCAATCGTCACTGCTTTCTTTGCCACCTTCACCCCCGAACGTGTCGTCACGGGACCCATGAAAGTTGGCGAGAAGCTAATAGCCGACGCATTCTTCGTGGCCACGACGTACAAGATATCAACAGGTTTCAGCTTTTTGCATTTTTCTTCGTACGCCTGCAAGGCATCCTGGATGTACCGGTTGTGCGCCTCCCATGTCAAGCCGCGAGTGAACCCATATGACTCAGTGTCGTTGGGCATGCGGAAGAACTTGGACGTGTCCGTCGTGATTTGGTGGTTCAATTTACCGAACGATGCGGTACTGAACCAATCGGGCCCTTTGGGGATAAAGATATCTCTGAGAGACTCGGTGGCCTCACCCGCGACCCCGTCGATAAAGTCGACGAAAATCATGAATCCCGTCATCTTTCCGAGGCTTGGAGCACTGTCATAGTCGCCACCAAAGCCGGAGCTAAGATAAACATCCTGAATTGCTGGTAACTTGCAAGCGGATGGGTTGGCCTCTGTGTCGGCAAGAGCGCTTTCGATTAAGAGAAAGGCCCAAGCGAGGGCGGAAATGGTTGCAAGACGCATTGTAACTAACCTGTTGGAAAACAGGCAGAACAGCGCACAGCTTTGCCGTCAAATACTTGGGGACGCAAGGTGGTCTTCTTTATATAACCGGAGAGACCCATCAAGCCATCTACTTGGGTCTCGCTTTATCAATGCTACATCAAGCAGGGAGCTACAAACATCCATCCAGAGAAGGCAAGTGGTAATGCAAGTACCTGTATGGGCCTAGTTCGTCTAACACCCATGGAGCTCTGTAAAACACATTGAGCGTACAATCACACGATGCATTCATAAACATCCGCGGATTGGGCTAAGAGCTCAACGTCAGACAAGCCAGCATCAATTAAAGACTTGAGACATGATTTTTAGAGAACATGATGCCTACAAAAATCAGAGCTAATGCCTTTCTCTAAGAAGGCGTCGATCATCCGATTTTTCCGGGCATCGTTGCCGATCGCCGGATCCCTACTCCGAGTACTACGGACACTGGGGATTGTTGCAAGGGTTTTTTTATCTGGAAAAGGATTTGAAATGCTGAACAAGTCGAGAATCAGGGAAGCCCTATCTTTAGCTTCCATGTTGACCCTTATAGGAAAAGACATTATTGGAGAATTCTTCTCTCCTCATTGGCATCATCAGGCCATCCGATGGCCAGAATGGACCCATATCAGACCTTTTGGTTCTCTCTAACAGTAGAGACTCACTAATAGATAAATCAAGATCTTCGAAACCACATATCAACCTTCATATTTCCAGCGGATATTTAGCCGATCGGAACTGTTTCCTATCTTGCACGCGGTGAGTCGGAGACCCGTCACAACCTGAGCATGCCGACGCCGGCCCCACCATCCGAGTCTTAGATAACCTCATGTTAGAACTCCGACGCACTCTGTTCCACCTGTAAGCTTTGTATTCACCATTGAATATCGAAGTCGAGTTCATGTGGACCTGGTGTTGGTTTTGTTTCATCTCCTACCATATGGTCCAACAAGAACTAGCCCGAGGCAGTGCAACCAATATGGGGACTACCTCTACCCATAACGTATTGCTTGAATCGGCCCCATTCTGTGGGGAGTCTCTGCGTTTCATACAAGATTATCCTGACCGAAGTGTTGAAAGTCCCGAGGTTCTAGAAATTTTGAGAAATCGTGTCAAGATCAACTCAATAATAAGAAATCCAATTGTCACAACGCAGCTATGGAGTTGAGTGCCAACATAAGTTCATGGATGGTCCGCCCCATGTGTGCTAAGGTTTCTGACGTGTTGGCAAGATAGGATAGGTCAGGTTACCACTAAAGGCAGAGTCCTACTTATAGAGGCCCAACCTTACGGAACTATAAAATGATCTGATAAGTAAATATCCAATGGGCATTGTCGTTGTGCTTAAGAACAAGGAGCGGTGTTGCTTGCAAATATATGTCTAGGAATTAATGTCGCCGTCCCTCGTCCGATCAACGAGCTCCAGAGCTCCACGTGCGCATATCTGCACGTCACGTGGAGCGTCTGCCACCCGAGTGGTGCTGGAGTGGGAGGTGTCGTCGTACTGGCTAGCTGAGAAGGGCGCGTGCAACATGATTCTTTGATAGAGAGAAGACCCTAAGGCTTAGATCTTGTCCGAAACTTTGAGCTTCCCATTGATCTGGAATTGAGTCGTGACACGTTGATCAAGGGCCTGAGAAATCTCACCTCAGATCCAATTTGTTGTGACGGTGACTCACTAATCTTGATGGAGGTTTCAACACCGCTTGTGAGTTTCAAATGGGCAATCGCAATAAAATAATAAAACAGCTTTCAGTACACGAAGCTGCCAATTTAACCCAATTTAGACGCAAGTTTACCCTTCTTATGAGGAGGAAATAGGGGCGAGGCAGGCAAAACTTGTTCGTATAGGGTAGCGCGTGTTTCGGCTTGACCCAACAAGGTCCTCAACGCGCCAACGCCACAGACATCCTTCAAGGCAGCGGGCGGAGCAGACTCACGCGCTCAAATGCTTCACGCAGCTGACGGGTCTCTGTGGCGTTGCCTGTTGTCGCATCCCCCGCGCCCAGGTGCCGCGTGAACCGAAGCGCAACACCGTCACGCCCAGGATATGCCACTCTGAATTTGTCGACGATGCCACCCGATGACACGCAGAGGCTCAGGCACCTATTCTAGCAGCTTTACACCTCGGACCAGACCCATCGCACCGGGGATCTCGGGCTTTCACGTTGAATCATGATCATAGGCAAGTAGGTCTAATCATGAGCCCATCGGCTCGACGCATGGAGAGCAAGTCGAACGTTCGAGAGCCAATGCTCTACTATATACCATACCAGCTTCGACACGGAATACAGACACCGAAGGCAAAGTTGATGCTCCATTGGCGGCGGTAGTTCAAGAAATGCCTCTGATGTGCTACAGAGCACAAGACGACACGCAGACGACAACCTAGTCCGACTGGCCGAGACGCACGTTGGCTTCCTACATCCACAACCACGTGCCCCTTGGATCGCCTCGTCTAACAACGAAGCCCCGAACGAGGACGCTACAACGTAACAACGAGAGTCAGTTGGGGCTGAGAGGTTTCTGTTCATGATAGCCTGAGGCTGACCTTCCCGCTCGATCTCGCATGGAGTGTGGCGACCGCCCGACTGCTGTGGTTCTTATGAAGATATAGACTGGGCATGGCCTACCAAAGCTACCGAAAC